TGTTGCTTGTTTTTTTTTCATTTTGAAAATAAAAAAATTATAAAATATTTGTTTTTGTTTTTGGTTTTTTTTTTTCTTTTAGATGATTTTTTATTTTGTTTTGTTAATTTCGATAAGTTGTTGTTTTTCACTTTAATATGTTTGTTGTTTCATGCGAGATTGATTATAAACATGCTTTCAATGTTCTTATGATTATATATATATATTTCTTTTTTATTTATTTGTGTCATATTATATAGATAATGTTTTTGTTTTTCTCTCATATTATTTTCATTTTTTTATATTTAGTTTTTTCAAATTGGTTTCTAAGTTTTCTGTTCTTTGACATATTTATGTGTTTTTTGTATTTAATTCATAATAATGGCACACCAAACGCACATAATTCGTCTTTTTCTTTCATTATTCATTGTATATAGGTTTAAATTAAAGTTTTACAATCATTTAGAATTTGGAGGAAACAAAAAGAAAATAATGCAAAATTGTTGAAATTGACAGAAAACTGTTTCAGTTATCTATGGGAAAACCCGGGTTAATGCCAAAACAGACACATTTACAAAAATGAAATCTGTGTTGCATTTTATTCGATTCAATTCTATTAGGATCATCCATCACAGTTTTTGCAATAGTACAGCCCCATTTCATTATTTAATTCCATTATTTTCTTGGTACACGAAAGTTGGGCATAACCCAAGTTTTCCCCACAAAGAAAACAACCCAACAAACAGTTGTTGTATTCACGCACTTGACACAGAAATGCACATCTACGTTCCGCTCAAAAAAAAAAAAAAAAAAAAAAAACTATTGGGAATCTGTTCCAAAAAATTTGCTCAAACATGTTTTGTAAGGTACTCATAACTATTCAATCATGGGAAACTGGGATGTGACGTCCATATTTAACGAATTCCAAGACAATTCTTCTCTACACTACTATAAGGCATATCGTCCATCATATTCGAATAAATCGTGTGATTTGAAATTCAGTTTGAAATACTTGTGATTTTCTTCCATTCGTATGCGGTTTTGGAAGGACTACTTACTTGTGTAATGACTACTTACTTGTGTAATGACATATCCCCGGAGTATATTCGGAGCTGTATTTTACTTTCTCTTTTGTTGTTGTTGTTTGGATGCATTGATAATTGTTTGTATTATTAAATAATTTTAGATTTTTCTTCACAACCATATCATAATAATAATTTTGTTATTGACAAATTATGCCGAACGAAATGTTACGACGATGTGTTTTTCAAATCAAATCAAACAATTTTGCACTATTTTTTGTTAAATGTGTTTTTCGAGACAACTTTCAAAGGGGGGCGTGGAGGCTTACATACATCGTTGTGTATGTATGAATGATAATATGGTGGTATTTTATAATCTATTGATCCTTTATATATTGTATTAATGTAGTAAGTTTTGTTAAAAAAATTGGTTGTTCTTTTTTTTTGGATTTTAAATTTAGATAAAATTACATTTCTACTTTAGAGGGTTTTTTCATTTTAGTATTTTTTTCTCAGATGTTTTTGTTGTTGTTATAACCATTTTAATAGCAATTGCATTCTTTAATCATCCACTGGTATTTATACCAGTATTTTCCGTCATACACATTGTACTGGATTATGTAGTTGAATATACATACATACATATATTAAAATCATTTGTTACAATTTTACATCCAAATATTTCATCATTTCAGTTGGAAAAAGCCATGCCAAAAATCACAAAAATTAGCTTGTTTTTCTAAACATTTCTCTTTTATATTTGAATTTTAATTTCCAAATGAAATATCTTGATGCGGTTTTAATTTCTTTGGTTGGTAGTTTAAGTAGTGGCATGTTTGTGTTTTCACTAAATTTGTACAATCGAATAATGTGACGGCAGCGAAAGCATACTTCTTAGGCAGACTTGGTTTGGTTAGGGTTTTGGCATGTTTTGGTAGTTGTCCTGCCTTCTGGGATTGTGTTCGTTTGACTGTGTTTATTTTTGTAGGTGGTTTGGTGAAGTGCAGCAGATCCCCCTGCATGATCAAAACTACAGTGAGTTATGACGACTGTTTTTTTTTTTTTTTTGACGTTTTTATTTGAGGCAATTATTTCTTTTTTAAATACAAAAATCACAGAGACTTGATTATGAGGTGGTTTACCTCCCAAGGAATTTTCTTTTTTAGATGTTTTCATGTTCCATTTGCATTGTAAAACTTTGTTCTTTTCAAACTAACAAAAAAATCGCTACGATTCTCTAGCATTTTTTTTCTTCTATATAACTAAAGACCATATCCATACACAATACTCTCTAGTTTTATTGTATTCCGTTTCTTTATTATCATAGTTCTACATATATTGTGTATATATATGTATGTAAGTCTAAGCAGTATTTACTTTTAGTTGGTGTTTAATAAAGCAAAAAATCTCATGATTGATTTCCCTAAGAACGACAAAGACTTTTGTTAAAATACACTTTTTTATAATATCAGCAGTTGATTTGTTTTGTTTTTTTTTATAGGTATTCAAGCCCACGAAACCTTTCTTGTCATTTTGATGCACGGAAGATCTTCTGAAACTACACCGGAAATAGTAAATTAGTTTTAAAAAAATAATAACCAAAACCATTTTGCCAAGAGCCGCTCTCCTTTGAGTTTCACCATAATATGCACTTCATTTTGTTGAAATTTATGAAATTTACTTTTGGTATAAAATGTAAAAAATTATCACAAAATAAAATTAACATTCTAAATGTTTGTTTTCCACTTGTGTTAGGATGCCAAATTCAGGCTATGCCAACATTTCAAAATGTATGAAAAAACCAACTAAATGTCAACGACTGCAAACTTAAATTTGTGCTAGCGATAAAGTACAAGTGTGTTTAGAATTATAGCAATGATTTCCATTTTGTGACACACACCATCATAGATATCGACCAGGGTTACAAATCATTAAATTAGTCACTGTGGCTAGCCTCCAAGCAATTTTAAGCATATTTATAGAAAAAAACAGATATTCAATTGTGTAATTTTAACAAAAAGTTATAACGAAATAATAAGATAATTGATAAGATCTCCAATTCTGGAGGCGCAACTTGTTGATCCGAACAGAACCATTTATTTGAATTGAAATACAGTTTTCGGTTTTGGTTCAAAAGTTTTCTTAGACAATAGTTTGGTTCACGGTTCGGTTCTTTTTCAGAAATAGAGGTTCGGTTCAGAACTGGTTTGCAGCCCTGGTGGTATCAAATTATGTTGCAACCAAAACTATCTGTTAGCACAAATAATTATTCTTTTAAAGAAACCCAGTCGCCACTAGACGTCGAACATACTCTCATCATTGTCGAACAACTAATGCAATTTTAATTATTTTTTTCAATGTTATGACTAGTATTTTTTTCCTGTGCTAAACTTTCCAACACCGGTGTTGGCCACACATTTTTGGCAGGCGATTGGTCACACATTTTTGGCAGGCGTTTGGGTTTTTCTTATTCTCTGTTTGTCTTGAAGAGGCAAAATAATACAACTAAACGAAAAAACCAAAATGTCTGACGATGACCTCCTCCATGTTGTTGTGGCATTGCTGTTTTGTAGTGGAAAATGAGTTACCGTCGTTAGCAGCCAAAAAATACCCAAACCTGCGTATAGACAGATAGGTATCTAGACCTAAAACAAGAGCTTCGAAAACAAACAAAAAAAGAAAGAAAGAAAAACAAATTGGGGTTTTTTGGTTTGATTGAGTACAGACCTTCACAAAAGGTCTGCACCACAAGTATTTATTTAAAAAAATTTAATTTTTTCCTGTCTATTTTTGTTGTTTTTAATTTTCTTTTTTTTTTTCATCAAATGTTTAATATTCGAATAATGTAGGTATAATGATATTGTTTTTGTTTGGGGGGAGGGGGTTTTTCTTTTTGTTTAATTACTTTCTGATACTTAATATTGTTCTGGATTGGGATATACAAAGGGAGGGAGTGGACCGTGTGATTTTAGAATACGTACATAGAGTTTTGTTTTACAATTTTTTTGTTATTCCATTGTATACCTATAAAATATAGTATGCAATAAAATGGGTTTTTTGCTTTGTTTTCTAGTTTTAATTTTCACATTATGTGGTTTTCATTGTAAATAATCGTTTTCCAAATGTCTTCGTTAAAAATAAAGAAATACACTTTACAATTCGGACTTAGTTTTTTGATTATAATGAGTGCGGTATGTATGTGTGTGTGTGTTTTGTAAAAACAAAAATAAATCACAAACAGAATGATTAAAATTATTGCAGAGATTGATTCTTTTTATTATTGATTTCTTTATCAAACAATTTTCAATTGCATTCATCAATTGGAGGGTGGTTGGTGGCTTGGGGTACAAGGAGGCTTAGTTTGTTGTTTTACGTTAATACACATGGTGTTCGTTCATCCATTTTGTTATTATCACACATAATTGCATATTTTCTTTAATTTTAACAACTTAAGAATGGATACAAAGAAGAAAAGGAAACCTAAATCCAAAGCTAAACAACACCAACAGATGACACAACAAGTTAAGTGTGGCTTATTATTTTATAAATGCAAATGGGAAAATATTCACTTTTTATGCAGCTCATAGAGAATTCTCATTGTTGTACGTTGTACGACTGCCGGCGGAAATAACTTTGGATTCAAGCTCTTCTTTTCTTTGGGCTTTTGGTTTTGTTTAATGTTGGAAGTACATGTTTTGTTTAAAAAAAAAATAATAATAAAATAAAAAGAAACTAAAAATTAAACTCAATGGTATTTGTTGTCGCTTGATTTCTTCTTCCGGCTGTAATGCCAGAGGAAGATGATTTAGTATTCGAGCATATTTGTTCAATAATACACTCAAACATATACAATTTTTGGGTTTGTAAAATTATTTATGCCTTAAGAAAAGGGAAATTATGTTTTTTCATTTTTCTTTTACTTTTTATTTTACATTTCACCAATTTATTTTATTAAAGAACTCTTAGAGTTCAATTAACAGGTTTTTGGACATTTCCTAGTTTTTCTTTTTTTTTTGAAAATTTACCTCTTCTTAATGGCATAGATAATTTTCGACGACCTAAAGCACACTTTAGATTCGGGGAGGTGGTAATTTGTGTTTCATAGAAGTAAGCAGTGTTGTGTTTCTTTTCTTAAAGTTTTCCGGTCTTGTTTAAAACCTTACGAAAAATGGGTCATACACTTTTGTAGTACTAATTTATAATTATAGCATATATCTGTGTGTGTGTGTATTTAAGTCTTTGTTAAAGCTTGATTTCAATTTCGTTATAAAATAATATTAAAAAAATAGAAATAGTAAAAGAAAAATAAAAGCTGTTCTTTAGGGATTTTGAAAATTTACTTTAAGATGCCGAAATATAAATGGGATAGGAGGAAGAAAGAACTAGTATTAGAAATATATTGCATTCGAACAAAATTTACAAAAAAAAAAAAGGATATTGGGGCAGCAGAATCGTACTAAAAACACAGCAAGCCTGCAGATACGATCTTGTGTTTTATTACTTTATCTCTTAAGAAAAAGATTTCCTTTTATAGAATTTTGTACTTTTGGTGTTTAAGAGTAATAATTTGTTTTTATGTTTTTTATTTTTTTTTTTTTTTTTTTGTTTTTTAATAATTATTATTAATATTCAACACAAGATCCTACGAGGAGGCTTGGAGTCTGTGTTGTTCTATTTTTTGTTTTTTGGAATAAAAGTTAAAATATTTATATATACGATTTCTTTGAACATATAAAGTTAAAAAATAGGAGAGTTTTATATAGTATTGTAGACGACAAGAGAAACTTAAAATAAAAATGCAAAATTCTTTGTTTTTCTTTTTGTTTTTTGAAAATTTGTGATAGAGCACTGCTCCTCACAGTTTAAGATTGCATACAAATATCACGTTTTAATAATTTCATTTAAAATAGGGACTTTGGGGTCGGTTGGTAGGGGTTTGAAAAAAGGGAGGAGGGGGAGACAAAAAAAAAACTTTAAAATGTACAAAAATGGCAATTAAAAACCAACAACACTTAAGAAACTAAACAATTTCGATTTTTTGTTTTTCTTTTTAATTTGTACAAAACGAAGTGCATTTTGTTTTTGGCTCGCATTTTGTGTTTTTGTTTTTAAATCGATTGATGGGTGGGGGTCTCTTCTTGAATGGACGATTTGATGAGACACATGTCAAGCCGCCCTAGATAAGTGTTAGCATTAAAACTGCTCAATAATTACAATAATACTATGGCAACCGGACACATGTCACACTTCCACCACCCATTCTCCTCGGTTACATTTCTGGGCTTCTAACATAATCACATTTTTTGGTTTGGCAACAGCAGAAGGAAATTTCTTCCTTTCTTCTCTTCTCTTAGACATCATTATTGTGCAGATTTCCATGTTGTTTTCTTGTTTTCTTTTCACATACATATCTTATCGTTGTAGTATTTTAGGATAGTAATATAAACATTTTGCTTTCAGTGTGTTTCTACGTGATTTTAATTAATAATTTATATTAATATTAAATGCTAACAAAAAACAAGGTACTGGGTTAAAGTTTTTGTGGTTTTCTTTGTTGTTTTTGTTTTCTTCTTTTGTTTATACGAGAATCAAGAAATTACACAAGTCATTCAACATTATAATATTTATACATACAGATACAGATAGATAATAGGTCTAGTGGGGCGGGGGGGAGTTACATAGTATACAACACAGTGGGACATGGGCAAGTTTTCATTATTGTTTGGGGGAGGGGAGGGGGGTTTGTTGGGGTAAGGGAAAGGAGAGGTTTGGGATAAAAATCTTAAATATAAGTTATGTATATACGTATATTACCACATCATTCAATCAAAATACAAATAATTTAAATGTAAATGTATATAGTTACAGTATTAAAATAAATACTTTTAGTTGCTCTTCTTCTTCTTCTTCGTGTTTCCTTTCATTTAGTCAACTATTCGGACATAATCTTATTGAGGTTGCCACAAAGTGTGGCAATCTTAAGACAATAGGAATTCTCAATGTTGAATTGATTATTGTTTCAAGGTTGCGTCTTATTCGAAGAAAAACAAAAGAAATAAGTGGAGAAAATAGTAAAAGAGAGAATATATATATAAATATACAAAATTACATTATATCTCTAATTACACAAGGCAAAAGGGAGATCGTTTTTAAAACGACCACCCCCTTGCCCTTTACCTTAAAAAAGTGATCACTTAACAAATGCCCCATCTCTGCAATAGAGACTCACTCTTGCAATTACACGTTTTTATTATACACTAAAATCGAACACAAACTGGAAAAAGAAATCAAAAAACGTTCTCCATTGCAAATAGAGGTAATTGTTGTACACGCTGTTTTTGGTAGTTTAAATTTACAAAAAAAAAGACAATAGATATATATATATATATTATAAAATAAAAAAGGAGACTTTCAAGGGGAGAGGGGAAAGGGTTGGTGGCTGGGTGGGAGGGGAGTTGGGAGGTGAGTTGTGGAGACTTGTATAAAAAAGTAGTATACTATATAAATAAATACATGATATGACTGATTGTAGACCGAATTTCCCTACAATTTTCTTAATATTGCAAAACAAAGTTGTAGTTCTTGGTATGAGGAATGTTGTACACAGACGACACTGCGTCCCCGAGGTAACCATACACCGGACACCTAAAGTCGCAAGTGCCGTTCATCCATCCATTCATTCATTCCCAAAGCTACAACGAAAGTATTTTGTTTTCCACTTCACGTGAATACATACAAATAAATAAAATTATGATTTCCAAAAATAAAAACAAATGTTTGGAAGAGTTTGTTCTGTAAGATACATACATACATACATGCATTACATACATAAGAGTAAGAGTAGCAAGCATTCTCCTCATGTGGTGTTTAACTGGATGAAAACTAATCTGCTAATACAATAAATGACTGCTGCTGCTGCTGATGTTGTTGTAAGGTTTTGTTCTGCTAATGCGCGGTTCCGGCTCTAACTCCAAATTTAAAAGTTCCGCTACTTCGATGAGCTGTAGCCAGGAATCTTTGGGAGTAAGTTGGGTAGGTTTGGCAGGGCAATTTGCATTGCATTGATTCACGGCCAATGCGAATTGAGATTACCGAACTACGAGGACGGCATTCCGACTGCATTGATTTGCGACAATGTAGTGCTGATTGGCCATTTGTAGGCAACGTTTCGGTTGCTTTTGCTTGTTGGTCCGTTCAGACACCTTGACCCCGTCGTCCTGCGCCAACATCACAGTGGTAGTTGTAGCGAAACAAGCTAACAAACAGGTATGTCCAAATAATTTACACACTTCAGGCTCAAGTCTTTACTGTTTTGTTACTTGGAAATATTATTATTATTGTTGTTGTTGTTATATAAGTTCATTAGTTTGTTGCTGGTTTTTCTTTTTGTGGAGCTTTGGTGGGCTAATTTAAATGTCTATAGGTAATGATTATTCAATGGGCATGTTTTTCATTATTTTAAACAAAAAGAAACACGACAAATCCTGATGTTTAGCCTGCGCATTGTTGTTTTTTAGAGCCGATGCTTTGTGTTTCAGTCACTTGTTTGTTTGTTTTTTAAACAAACACAAGGCCTTTTGCTTTCTAGTTTCTATTTATAATTTATTATCCGAAATCACATTGTGCACATGGTGCACCACTTGTGTAGATTTTAAAGTTTTTTTCTTTAGTTGTGGTTGTGGTATTTATTTTAAATAAAATTATTAAATTGTTCACAGTTTTTTAGTTGGTTGTCATTCAGTGTTGTTGCGGTTGTTTTGTTATTATTTGTATTGAGAATTTTGCATTGTTGGCAATTGTATTTTTGTTTTGTGTTTTGACTTAGCGTAAAACGAAAGTTGGATGTCCGTTCTGTCTGTACTTTTGTTTGTTGTTTTGTTCATTATCTGTTTGGGATTGTTTGTTATTCAATAATTTAGTTCTTGATATTGTTTTGTTTTAAAGTGTGACTTTGTAATATTCTTGAGATCACAAACTGTTTTTGTTGTTCACGACATGAGGGGGAGAGTTTGTTTTATGAAATTTTAATTATTTATTTATTTATTTTTTTTTTTGGATTTTTCTTTCGTCTTCTATTCTGGCTGGCTATTGGTTGTGGGCTGTAGTTGTTGGTTGGGTTTTATTGGCAAAAGATTTGTGTGATGATGATGATGATGATGGGGATCGTGGCCGCAGGTGGGCGGTTATGATTGCACGTTGAGCAACAATTTCAAATTGTGCGTATCAAAGTCGTCGAGAAGATTGCGCTTCGACGATTTGACAACGTGGCCGCCATAGGTGTGCGCATCGACGGCATGGGTTGCATTGGAGTGATGGAGATGGTGGTGGCTGCTGTTGTGATGGTGATGGTTGTGTGAGCGAACCGCCGCGCTCAGCACACTTTGGAGGCCGGGACCAGCACTGCTGTCGACCTTGTCTTCGCTTTTGCTCAATGTCCAGTGCTCGGGGGGTTTAGGCAACGCCGTGGGGGCCGGAGCATCGAAGCACTTGCTGCCAGCGAAGTGCGTCAAGGCGGTGGGTATGAGTGGATGAGTGGGTGAGATCTTGCCACCGACACACAACAATGGACTCGAGTGCTTCGAACGCGATTTGCGGGCCGAGTTGGGGTTACTGCCTATGGAAATGGGCGAAGAGGAACTAGCGCCGCCACCCAAAATCGCGGCTGGGGACTGACGTGTAACTTGTCCTCCCTGAGGCGAACGTTGACCATCACGGTGTTTTTGGCCGCTGCCGCCGCCACCGCTATAGCGTTTACTGCCGCTGTTGTTGTTGTTGAAAAAGCTATTACCATCGTTGTTGGCATTACTGCTGTTGTTATGCTGAGGCGAGCGCCTCTGTTGCTGTTGCTGCTGCCAGTTACGCTGCTGCTGTTTGCGCGCAGAAGCAAAATAACTGCCACTGCCATTACCCGAGGAGGAACCCAACGAAGATACACCGGAACTGCTGCTGCAATTGGAGCTGGTCGAAATGGCCGATGACATGGGGCATCCTGGAGGCGAACAGCTGAGCTGGTGATATTGCTGCTGCTGGTGCTGGTAATGGGGATGGTTGTAGTAGTTTGTACTGCTAGCAATACTGTTGGAATGTGCACTTAGGGGTGGTGTTGATGGTGGTGAAATATTACTGCCTCCTCCACCATGCGGCACTTTTTTCGAGCGCTGTTGCTGTATCGTCGCCGCTGCGGTTGCTGCTGCTGCTGTTGTCATTTTCAGATTCTTACTAACGCTATTGTGCGAGTATGTCATAGTACAATTGTTGTAGTTGTAATTTCCTCTGGTCGCTTGGACTCAATTATACTGTTGATGATGATGATGCTGCTGCTACTTGATTCGGTTGGTTATTGTTGTTTTCCTTTTCTTTTTTTTCTCTTCCAATCGCAATCTGTATGTATGTTGCTTGGTTGGTTGGCTGCAGTTGCTACTATTTCTTGAGTAATTTCTTGATTTTGTTTGTTGTTTATGCTTAGGTTTTGTTTTGTTTGTTAAATTAATGCTTAAGGTTTAAATATCACACACAATAAAATCAACGCTTATTTAAAATATAAATGGGCATTCTTTAACGTCTCTTCGAGTCAAAATTTCTGCACTGACAGCTGTTGTTGTCGATCGGTATCCAGCACTTTTTAACGGCTGTCTCAGCTGCTGTTGCTTTTTCTGCTGCCCTTGTACTTCTTCTACGTCTTCTTCTTCTTCGTCTCGTCGTCGTCTCTAGAGCCTTTTGCTGCGCCCTCTACCTCCCTTCTTCGTTCCTCACGCTCTCTCGCTCTATCTCCTTACACAATATTTACAATATTATTTATATATAAATTCTTCTTTATATATTATTATTATTATTATTTATATATGTTTGTTTGTTTGTGTATTGTATTATATGTAGGTAGTATAAATTATTATTTTATTATACTCTTTACGTTTAAAATTAATTAATCAGTCTGTTGATTTATCTTTTTGAATTTCCTTCTTATTCAATATGTTTGCAGAGTCAACGCTTCTTCTTTTTCAGACTTCGTCTCCTTCCGACCGGAATTCGGATCGCTTCTATCTCTTTTCCTTCACTTTTGCTGGCTTTAAGGAGGGAAGGGTTTTGTTAGATGTTAGCGTCTCGTTAACCTCTTTATGGCTTAACGTCATAGATTTATTCTTCTTCTTTAAATCTTATCTATCTTCTTCTGCTTCCTGATGGTACTTGATGCCGTTGCTCTCTACTAATGTGTATTTATTTGTGGTCCTATATAGAGTTAATAATGTAGCGCGTTCGACGAGTTTCAAGCAATGCCAAAAAAAGAAGAACAAAAAGAAAGAAAAACAAATACTTAGTAAATGAGGGTAAAACATAATTACAAAATGTAGGTATTTACACAAATACAAATAGGTATAGTATATATATAAGGGTTTCCCTACACACAAAAAATTATAATAATAATAAAAATAATGATTTAATGTAGTAGTTGTGGTATTATTAACGCTGTGCTTGGGGATGTACAATAAAAAAGAAATAATAAAAGCAAAAATAGTATTCAGGTTATTGGAATAATTATTACATACACATCAAATCAATATTTCATTCAGAATTTTAATAATTGTACCTATAGATTTTCTAGCGTTTACACTTGTTGCTATTCCAAATATGAACAAACATTTGTTTAACTAAACTAGATTAAAGTATAATTTTAAGCTAAAGTAGAATACATCATTGATGAAAGTTACGACCCATCATTTCAGCAGTACCACAAAAAGGCATTCTCCTGTTTATTTCTTAGTGATAGTTGTAACAAATTGCTAGTCTTATAAATGAGAGCGGGTCGGGCGTGCAATGTCAATGGAAAATTTACTCAGTAAAAATTTGCAGGTTTGACCAACCATTTTTTTTATCAGACAATATATAATTTATACATTTTTATGTTTTCTAATGATAAACATTCAACATTGAATTATATAAATATGACTAAAAAATTGCGATTCCAAATCGGATTTTTCGACAAATTTTGAAGTACTTATAACGCTTTCACTGGGAGAAAGAACTGTTTGAATAAAAGTCTAAAATTTCAAGAAACGCACATAAAAATAGAAAAATATGATAATTGATCACAATCAATCACATAGACAAATAGTGAGTGGCCATAAAACTTGACTACCAGACGTTTTCAATTCAATAATTTCGAAACAACTCTAGTTTAGTAAAAACTCTTCGATTTTTTCGAAAATTTTTCCTGAGGTAGGAGGTATTTTTACCCTGATTCCGGGAAATTATTTTTTTCTTGGGTACGGACGGGTACCCCAGATTTTTGACCCCAAAGTCCGGGTATAGGTATCGTTTGAAAGCTATCCAACAAGTAGTCACATGATGGGTTGGGAAATTATAGTTAAATTATCGATTTTTTGGACACGGATTTTTTATAAAACCCCCAAAAAGCCGAAGAAGGCCCAAAATTGGTGCCAAATTTTAGCTGACACTCTTTTCTTGCCAAAATGCTACAGTTTGCCCTAATTTATTTTTGCTATCAGGGATCTGGTTAAAAATAACTACCACTGGAAAAAATTGAAGAGTTTTTACTAAACTAGAGTTAAGCCGCCGTTTCGGCCGTCGGAATTATATTTGACATTTTTTCAAATTCAAGGAAAACTAGAAATTAAAAAAAAAATACAAATAGTCCACCACACATATTTATGTATGTATTTTATTGTCAACTAAGTTGTCTATACCGAACACAAAAATTGTAGATTCTAAAACATTTGCCAAAAATATGGAACTTTTTTAAGGGAGATATTTGTAGCCACAACTTATTGCCGTCAAAAGAAAAAAACTGTGAACCTTAAAAGAAAATTGTAACAAATATACACAAGAGACAAAAACTGGTCTTGCACAAACAAATCAAGCAAAATGTTTTTTCCTACGTCTTTTCGTACGATGGCAATACAGAAAGAAAAACAATGCGGCCACCCCGCCGCCACAACAAATATGGGTATCTGAAATTCGACAACGTAGCCACCATTTGTGCCTTGTTTTGAGCCAGAGAGCGTCGTCGTCGTTGTATACGCTGTTTTTAGTTCCCCCATGTTCGTGTGAATATGTGTGTGCGTGTGTTTGTGTGTATGTGTGCAGCAATACATTCTCAAAATGCTACGTTGCCAGTTTTACTGCTGATATACTGAAAACGTGATTTCAACTGAATTTCTTAATGGTTTAATGGTGGTGTGCAAATAAAAACTTGTAGGAAACATATTTTTCACAACCCTACCACCACCACCAACAGCAGCAGGCAGCTGTAATTTTTGTATTTTGTATTGGCTTTTTATTTTTGTTTTTCAAATCAAAAACTTAGGTGATATACACTTTGTACCATGTGAACAATTATAGAGGAATGGAAGAATATGCCGTTGACGGACTTACTTGGAACTTTGTAAACCATTTAGCTTCCCAGTCGTTGTTTTTAGTTTGGTGGTGGTTTGAAGTTTTTAATCAATTTTTTTTTTTCTTAATTTTTTAATTTCTTTTGCCAAGTTCGCTATATATCGTCGTTTATCGAAACAAACACTTGCTATCTCTTTCTCTCTTGTAAATTTGTAACAAATTCTCAGAGCAGAGCAAAGTAAGATGACTATAGCGCTTGTTGTTGCTGTTGTGTCGTGTCGAATTAAGAAAAAATTAAAGAAATCACCTTCGACGTTACGTAGAGGGAAATTTTTCGAATATCACAAAAAATTTACGAAACTTGAGGGAATTTTCTTAAAAAATTGTTACAAAGTGTTTATCCCGCACTCGACACGAAAAGATGTGTAAATTTGTATTTTTTTCTTGCTTTGCGTTTGCTTTTTGTTGGTATTATTACACACACACATACACTTCGGAAATGTTGGGTCTATTATTTTCTTCTGATTTGGTGCATAGAAATTGTTTCTCAACCTCAATTCTGTTGTATTTGGAGGTACCGAACAACAATAAAATCACACTGAATTTCTGTTGAAGCGAAATAAGTATTGCATTAATAATGATTGCTGTCAATATTGCATATATATTTGTATGTATATTTTGATTTGTACAACACACGCACGCACACACTGGAAATGATTGGATTTCAGTGCTCACGCCAGCCGAGGTTGGTCAATTTTAATGGAGTTTGGCGGTGGACTGCTGGGTCCCAGAATTTATTTTCGGTTGGCCAACACCTCGGTCGGAACACTACTTGGATACACACAGTCGTCGAAATGTTTTATCGAAAATATTTTCAACGCCTGTTTCCAGTCGATTTAGCACGAATTTTATGCCGTTTATTGGCCAAGTTTTTTTCAGCTGAACTTAAGATTGTTAATGAATTTTTTCATGGATTCGAAAGCTTCACTCGTTGTACTATTTTTGCTTTTATTTTCTTTTTATGGATACATACGCACACGCACAGACATATATGCATATACTAAAAATATCTTTCTGCTATGGAGATGATGGGCACAAACATATGAATGTGACTTGGCGTTGTTGATGGATTGAATTTGATTTGCTTGTTATCACTTATTAAAAATTACATTTAATTGATAATAACTATAACAGATCACTATTTACTTGAATTCAAATTTGCTTTTTTTTGGATTTTCTTTAATTTTTTTTTTATATTTTTGTTGTGTGTATAATGCGTGTGAACGCCTTTTCCGAACCTCTTACATGACTCTTCGATCGAATAATAAAAACGAAGTGAAAATGTAATTTTTATTTAGGGTGAAAAATCATTCGATGGCATACGACGACGTCTACCGATATATACCGATAATCGATAAATCGATAGGCTACAGCTATTATTAAGGAGGTTCGCATTAGGAGACTCCGTTGGTTGGTTGCATAGTTTGACAGGCTTTGTATGTTTAATTGGTTGTAATGAATAAAGTGTGTGCGTGGATATGTTGATAATGTGTTCCTAACGACTACGACGGCAGAGAGCCAGTAGAAATGAGCAAACAGAAGGACCCTTTGTTACATTTCTAGCATTAAATATTATCGATAGAACAATAACCACAATAAGACCAGTTATCGATACTAAGCGTTTCCCTATTGTTGTCTTCTGAAAAGTACATAGGGAAGATCACATGTCACAAATTATCATTCTAATGTATGGTACACATGGGTCGATATTTTCATTACAGGCAAAACAGAATGAACGTGAAAGTCGCACGTCCACTATAAAACAATATCAGCAATGAATCAGCTTTATCGTCACTAAAATGCTAAAGTGTGGGTGACTTAATCAAGTGGATTTTAATTGACAAATCCGTCGAATGAAATTGGCTTTCAAATCCAATGGGTTTCATTTGAGGTATACTCAATTAAATTGAGTCTTGTGATGCGGCCTTTCCATTTGAAGCCATCATGTTACAATGAATAGGTTTCGAAACTTATCATCTAAACGAGGTATAAAAATATTTGAGGTGAATATACATAAAGTGGTTATTTGGCTAGATTAAATAATCGGTTGGCTTCTTCGTAGAGGAACAAAGCAGTTTTAGGTTGACTTGTTCGATTTTGGTCCTATGCTCCATGGGTTAAGCCAGCCAAAAAGCGCTTTATGTATTCCCACCTTTAATGTTAAAGCATTTCTGCCGCCACATAGCTCGCCTCGCCTCACTTCAAATAAATTTATTCCGTGGTACATTTTCAACCGGGAACGGTAAAAAACGTACATTAACTACCTTAATGTTAAAAATCTTACAATGAAAATAGTAGGATTTTTAACATCACACACAATATTTTATTTTTTATCATTTGCTGTCATCCTTTATAAAATCGAAAGTAGTAAATTCTTGTAAGTTCTGCAACAGAGCAATGAGCGTTTTACATACATATGTAGTGTAAATTTTTCATGTGTAAAAGTTGCACACATGGTGTGGTACAGACGATATTTCAGTTGTGAAATACATGAACAAGGTACATATGAAATTTTTCAATCACAGCGAGCCCTATTTTCATCGGAAAATATAATTTAATCAAAAGTGGTGTTCGTTTGGTGTGTAAACATATACAAAATTAAAGAAATAACCATGGTAAAACTAAGAAGGTAAAGTCATATAATCATATGTTTACAATTTTTGCAAATGTATACATTTGACAACATCTCATTGTCAAATCTGCGATGGAAACTGTTTTTTATGCATTAAAATTTGATAAGGTAAATTACAGAAAATGCAGAGCTGGGAATGTTAATTTGAAATGAGGTTACCTTTACTTCATTGTACCATGGGAACAAATCTAGTTTTTTTTTTAATTTTTCCAGAGATAGGTATTTTTACCCTGATTCCGGGAAACTATTCTTGACCCGATAAACCGGGTTTACCTTCTTAATTATACAATATCTTCTTAATTTTATAATGGATAGTACATTTCATGGTAAAATAAGGAGGTAGAACAGCTTCATAAAACTGCAGAAATACAGCCCTGAGGCTATGCCCGCTTCCTGTCAGAATTATTCAAAATTATAGGCAAGAAGTTGTTTTAATTCATTTGATATTTTTTGTTCATTTCTAAAATGAGTCAAACAACGCAGAATATGAATAAAATGCCTGGATGTTCTCCCAAAAATATGATCCTGAGTGTTCAATCTTTCAATTCCATGGTAAATCTCGTTATTATTATTAATGCGCGCCCCGAAATTTAAGTTTCTTCAAATCATTGATTTTGAAAACATTTTGTTTTTATTTTTCAAAACAACAAATACATACACAAAATTGGCATAAGTCGGGCACTATACCTTACCTTTTTATTGTACCATGCGTGGACCTGCATAGATCATTTTCTGTCATAGGATGTAGTATCCATTTCGAACTTCAAATACAAAAGTTGAAACGATTCCGGTGAATAATGTCGCTAAAAGTATCAAAATACCGAATATCGGGAGGTACCGTTAAATGGGGGCTATATGAAAACATGGAACTACATGGCCCATTTACAAACTTAACCTGTCTACTGGAAAAATAAACACGTGTGCAAAATTTTAGCCTTCTATCTTAATTCGTTCGAAAGATAGCGTGATTACAACAGACAGACGGACATGGCTAAATCGACTTAGAATTTTACGCTGATCAAGAATATACCCGACCCAACAAAGTGGGTCTGACATGAGCATTTGGATGAATTACAAACGGAATGACAAAGTTAATATACCCTCCATAGTATAGTGGAGGGTATAAAAAAATGTAGACATATGATTGCATGACTTTACTTTCTTAGTTCTATCCTGGGTGTATTTGAACACACATGGTTAACAGCTTGTAAACCCAGAGGGTAATGTTTAATAGTATAAATGCGCTATAAATTTCAGGATGATCATCGCAATCACCTATACTTCAAAATGTGAAAATGGCCTATGGAATACTCAAACGCAATAACGGCAAAATGTCAAATTCATTCGAAAATTGAATTCGAATGAAGACAAAGAATTGTAACATGCCAACTAGTTGTTTTTTTTTTTACTGTTGAGAATAGATCGATAAATATTCATTTAGTCAAGATTTTAAATAGCCCACCTTCCCAATACGTTTTTTTGCCTTCGAAATGATATTGCAATGAAAAACTTACATCTTTATTGATTTATTAAGAAGGTGTTTTACATGATTTTTGATTAACTTCTAATTTAAATTGTCCTCTTTTCGGAAATTTCTAACACATATGTAGTACATTCTTGAGGTTTGTTTCGAATTTCTTTACTTTTAGTTTTTGTTATTTTGTTACTAGTTGTAGATAGAGTTTCAATTTTCTTGAGGTTAAACATCATCCACAGTGTTCGATAGATTTGTGGGAGAAGGGTTACGCAGAACGGTAACATTAAATTGTTTTAATATCATATGTGTGTAGTAGTCGACACCAAAGAACAGAAAACATCAATATGTGCTAGACTATCATAAATTGCCAACAATTTTAATGCATACGAGCTAGGAAAGATATGCCTTAGTTTTTGTTTAGTTGAAAATTTATAAGAAAAAAAGAGTATTATGTTTGTTGTTAATGATGTTATGAGCAGTTACAGTATGGCGGTGACAACATCGAAAGCATTGTCATTTAGGCAATTAGTCGAAATAATCACGAAGATATACAATGTAAAAGTATGTTTAGATTTACGAAATTCACTCGATCTCAAATGTCAAATCTATTGCGTATACGTCAAATAGTATCCACTGGATTTATGAGTACGATTTTCGTTACGTATAGTAAAGTTCTGCCAATATACCATGGCATAATTACCGGAGGTAGAACAAAGCTACTCCCTACATACAAATTTTTTTCTTTTGGTGCCTTTATTCTGTCAAAACTTTTACACATTTTGTGTATCTGTGTGTAATGGGTTGTGATAAAACTGTATTGTGGAATAACCTCAAAATGTTGTTTTGTTTTGGCTATTGCATATGTCACTATCCATTTAAAAGCTCAATCCAGAAGTGTTAATTATCAATTTTTTAACTTAATGCTTGTGAGAACAGAACGACAGTTTTTTTATATATACAGGGTGAGATGAAAAAACTGCAATCAACTTCAGACAGCAGTTAAAATTATTCCAGTGACAGCTCATTTTATTGTTTACAAGCGTACAAAAGCATTTTGGTGATAAAATATATATTTCTTTATATTTGGCTGAAAAACCACAAGTGGCTATCGGTCAAGCTACTGGTCAAGGAGGTGGATGGAAAAAACAGCAACATCAGCAGAGATCGTTCGAGAAGTAAAGAAGCGACTTGATCGAAACCCGCGTCGCAATGGCCGAAAAATAGCTCGTGACCTGAACATATCGCATTATTCCAAAGCCATTAAAATTCCAAAAAGTGCAAAACCCTACACCGCAACTGAATGAAAATAGACTCCAAAGAGGTAAAGAGTTGCTTCGCTTGGCCAAAAGTGGTGAACATCCGAATTTGGTTTTCTCCGATGAGAAAACATTCGTTGTCCAGCAGTTTGTAAACAAACAAAGTGATCGTGTTTACTCGTCAAAGAGGTCAGCTGAAAATGTGCACGTTCGGTTGACCACCATAACTCAAGCGCGGTCCATGGTGATGGTGTGGGCCGCCATAACTGCCGATTATCGCTCTGCGTTCGTATTAATCGACCGTGGCATTAGAATAAATACCGAATATTATCACGAAAATATTCTGGAGGGTGTATTAAAGCCTTGGGCACGCAAACATTTTGGCCGCAGAACTTGGACATTCCAACAGCACTCAGCACCATCGCACTCAACACGCGCCAACCAAGAATGTTTACAAAACGAGGTTCCTCCCTTCATTTCCAGCACACAATGGCCACCAAAATATCCGGATTTCAAATCCGTTGGACTATTGGGTCTGGAGTATTTTGGATAGCAAGGTTGGCACTAAAAAAATAACCAAGTAACCGGGAATGGACCAAAATATCGTAGAGTAACATTCGGGCAGCGTGTGACGGTTTCATTGGCCGTTTGAAGGCCAAAAATAAAAAAATGATGTTATTCCCGACATTTTTTGCTTTTATTCAATAAAATTTAAAAAAAATGTAAAAATTATGTCGTTTGGCATTGTTGCAGCTTTTTTTATCTTACTCTGTATGTCACTAACCATTCAAAAGCTCAACCCAGATGTTAATTATATTTTTTTCACTTAATGCTTGTGAGGGCAGAACGACAGTTTTTTATATATACATATATTTTTTTCCAAATACAAGCCACAAGCCTAATACAAGCCTTTATGATGTGTCACAAATATGTCATGCGAAGACTTCAAACTGTTTATGTACCCTAACCTTTAAGGTGCAAGTACATAAGAAGCTTGAAATCATGGCTAGGCATATTAATGTCAATTTATAATGGAAAACGACGGCAGGATTTTAGTGCGGATCTGTAATCCCTTTATGAAATGTCACAAAATATGCCTAGCCATGACTTCAAGCTCTTTGTGTACTTGCAACCTTACTGTCAGAAATAGAAATTTCTTCATAATAAAGTATACATTAAATTGAACATAATATAGCTGACATAAGTTCTTTACTTTACAAATTCTGGGCCATTTCCCAATAAGCCGGCTGGATCTGACTTTTTCTCTTGTTCAATTGAATAACAATGTTGCAGCGCAATTGCTTTTCTGGGATTACAACATATACAAAATTGTGCCTACAAACCGATATGCGATGATGCATCAGGCTGTCTCTCACAAACAAAGATCACTACGCTCAAAAGTATTACCGCTGTTAATCTACAAACATTGAAAAGCCCGTGAACAATTTTATAAACGCCATATTATGTCTCATAATTTGATCAGGAAATTGTTAGAAATATTTTGAGCTTTATTTTATTTTTTTTTTTTGTTTTTAAACAGAACGTCTATTTTATTTTAATTAAAACCTATTTTGAAGCCATTATTGAAATATATAAAGATTACAAATGGAGACAATTCGTTAACATTTTTTGCAAAAATACATACATACACGTACATATTATAAAATAATGAATATAAAATTAATAGTAGGTATACGAAAAAAAAAACATATTTTTATATATTTAAGGGTATGGATTAAATATTGCTGATTGATAGGCAAGAACTACAAGCAATCAAATGTGAAAGAAACACATGCATAAAACTGACGTGACAGCCTGAAGAAGATGAAAAGAAAAACAACGTTAGAGTAAAGTGTGATAAGTCCGATCTTTGTGAGTCTTACAACGCAACGCATATCGCGACTTGTATGCACAACACCTGCTGTAAAAAGGACACAAAGTGGACTTATCGGTTTTTTGTCAATCTAGCTAGTTATACATATGTATGTGAAAAATTGTCAAAATAGTACGATATATGCATTATTAGTTTGTATATGTGTATTTATTGGAAAATAATTTGTTGATGCCTTTGTCTTTTTTGGAGAAAAAAAGAAACAAATTTGAGTTAAATACAGAAAATTGCATGATTAAAGATTTGTATATGTATATTTTTTCTCATTTTAGTTTTCAATTTAACATACATCACAGCAAAAATTCATATATATATATAATTTTTTTTATTTACTTTCCATTAAAAATCTAAAGAGGGAAATGGGGGTGGGAACATTTACATAAAATATATATTTAGTAAAAAAGAACTAAGCCATTAAACCACATAAGACTGTTGAAAACGTTAACATACCAAATTAAAAATAAAGCAAAGTTTTATAATTTTTTTCTTTTTTTTGCTGGAAACTCAAATTGCGCACCTTTATCAAATATCTTTCGAAGTACTTTGTTAGAGTTAGAAATAGACATTAATGAATTTAGACAATTCTCAACATCTCGAGCAACTTCTCAATAGGAAAAATATGGTTATTTCCAATCTTTCAGAAATAGGATTTAAAGATTTTACAAAAAAAGTACTTCTATTTTATATTTGAAAATGGCTTATTAAAGAGTAAGGAATTTCCATTGTTATTGTTGTGGTAGGTAGTATTGTTTTCACTTGTTTGTTTCTTTGTTTTTTCATATCTATAAAATACAATTGCAATTGTGGTTTGTTATTTTTATATATGTTTGCATAGGTTTTTTTTTGTTTATATAATTCTATATATATTTATATATAAATCTAAATACATGTAAATAATTATGAGTGCACGTATAAAAATTACCTTTTATTTGTTATATTGTATATAAGTATGTATATATTTTTGTTGTTATTGTTTATTGTTATATTTGTTTTTCTGTTTCATAAAACCATACCATTTACTTGGAAATTGAATAGTACATTGTTTTGGTTTTTCGTTTTGTTTTTTTTTTTTTTTTTTTTTTTTTTTTGATTAAGTTATAATTATGAACTTTAAAATCTAGAAAAAGCACAACACGTTTACAAATGGTCTTTTGGAAACACCATTTAATCTATAGGTTTTTTTGTTTTGTTTGTTCTGTTTTTTTGTTGTCATTGAGTAGTTAGTACTTTTAAATGTTCTATGTATATATTTGCATAGATATATTTACTAAAATGGTTTGTAGTAAAAAGTCCAAGTGTTTGTTAGTTGAAAAGAATAGCGTACATACATATACATTAAGAGTTTGGTAGTATATTGTTGTAGTTAAAAAAAAAACAGAAAAATTACAGAAAAATGTCTTAAGCTAACAGTACGTATAAGTGATGTGTGTAACTCGACCGAGGAAAATATTATGCATACGCATTTTAAATCAGTGTGTGTGTGTGTGAGAGAGATAGAAAAGAAGGTTTCCATTTCCATCGGTTTTCTTTTGGTTTTGTATTGTATGGAGAAACTTTGATTAAGATCAAATCGTTGACTTCGTAAGGTTCTTTGTAGTCTATAGGTTACAGTATGTTTTGTTGTTGTTATTATTGTTGTTGATCTTTTACTTATTCCTATTTAGTACAGGTATTTATATTGGGTGTTTATTTTTCTTTTCAATATAGCACAAATAAAAAAGCAAAAAAGTTGGTTTCATTTGGCGTTAGTAGTTCACAAATGTGTTAAATGTATTGTTTGGTTTTTTTTTCTTATATTTTCCATACATGTATATGTAATTGTAATGCTATTTTTAAGTTTTTTCTTTTTTTTAAATTTTTTTTTGTATTATTTAAGTTTAAAGTTTCACATAAATACTAAGTTGCAAATGGAGGGCAGGATTCATTTTCTTGTTTATTTGTTTTGCTTAACATTAAATAGTAAAGAATGTCTGTATGTTTAGACTTACGTATGTTGGGAAATGTTTGTATTAACTACATTTGTGCAAACAAACAGAAAGAATGAAATAAAAAGAAAATGGTTAACTCTGCATTTTAAGTGAACATTTTAACATGACCATGGAAGTCAGGCTCACTGTACCAGCATCTACTTCCAAAAAAAAAAACGGACTTCTATTCATACATTACTACAATACATTTTCCCAAACATACATAAATAGAAACATTCTTCAATTGGTGTGTGTGTGTATAATAGAACATAGCGACATCTTCAATTTGATATTTCAAAAGATATTGAGATATCTTTGAGACTTTAAGCATTAAAGTTTGCTGGAAGCGATGCCTGAGGAAATATCAAACTAAGAAAGAACACTATGGTCCAATATAACATTTTGTAAAAGCGCACACTTCTGCTATCGTCTGCATAATCTTGGGTTTCTTGTTAAATATTATTAAGGACACACACATATACATGTAGCATTAAAATTATTACCTCATAAGTTTATAACAGGCTTGCTCTTTAAAAAAATCAAGTCTATGATAGAAATAGTAATTTCGTTTTATATGAATTAAGGATTTATAGATGTTTTTTTTATTTTTTTGTTTTTAAAAGTTAAAATTTGTCCATTACACTCATACATCATATTATTAATAATTTTGTTTTTTTTTCTTTTTAAGATTGCTTTTTAGTTTACAGATCGGTATTATTGTTCATTTAATTATCAAAAACAAAATGAAACTCTCTATGAATCACGATTTGTATACATTTTGGCTTTGCACAAATTGTGTAAGTAATATGAAAGCATAAAAATAATATAGACGACGACCGGTCAACAATCAAAGCTAAAAACAAATTGGTTAAAAACCTAAAATATATTCTGAAAACACAAAGCTAGTTAAAAATAAAGCAAATGTATATGCAATTCGCACAGGGCCTAACATTAGTATCGGAAATGTGTAAAATAACAATTAAATTCTATTGCTACAAAGAATAATAAAAAAGTGGTTATGTGTGGCAATGATATTGTTCATAATACAGACATTACAGAGGATTTTCAAACTGATTTCTCTTTTAAATCGCATCATCCATCAATGAGGTTATGGTCAGTACTATCTCCATGGAAAGAGAGAAGAGTTGTACCTTCAAAATCTCATCTCTTGGTTGGTTGGTTGGAAATTTAATAACTGAAAGTTTGAAAATACCCAATAGGGTCTCGTTCTATGACTAGATCATTGCACGCATCGTTTTGCCTTTTTATCCATCAATTATTGCAAAAAGATAAAGAAATATATTATTGTTGTTGGAATACACTACAGTGTTGTAATCCATCACATTAGATGATGACAGTTTAAAATAGTAAAACAAAATTTATAAAATGTGTGGTTTTTTTCTTCAGAAAGGCCAGCATTTGCCATTTAAAAAATGAACGTTTTGCTTGTTTAAATGAATGTGTGCCGTAATGGGATGATAGAAAAACAAATAACCTTGTAGTGAGGGTAAAATTCGTTGTTTTTGTTAAGACAGACAATAAGTTATGGATGTTTATTGTCTTTTAGTGGGTTGTTGTTATACTCTGACCATTTGGTTGAACTTGACTATTATTGGAGTTAATATTAACTGTTGCTGCCGGTGCTGGGGTCGCATTTGTATTGCTGTTATCACCACTTGCCCCTGCACTTCCTTGAACCGCAGCTGGAGCAGCAGATGCGGTTTGGTTTGTTTGCAATTGGGCCTGTGAGGGTTGTCGTGTTTGCTGATCTGGGTTATCAAAATAGTCGGAGGCATTACCTCGGCATATCGGGCATGTTCGATTAGACTGCAAACCACACGAAATAAAATTTTAAATTATTTTTTTCATAAAACACATGGATTATTGTACATACCCGCAACCATTTGTCGACACATTTGGCATGGAATTCGTGTGAACACGGCAGAACACGCAATATTTGTCGTAGCTCAAAATCGCACATGCAAACAACACAGGATGTTTGGTCACCTATGAAATGAATCAATTTGCAAAAAAGAGTTAATAAAAATTGCTGAAAGAGCATAAGTTCGAGACTTGATTCTACTATCCGTTAAGAAACCTTAAACAAATTTTGGTCTGAAAAATTGCACGGAGCATAGAAGATTTACTTACCGTTATGTGTTTCTGGATTGAATTTATAACTGGGAAGCTGATCAATTTCATTACGAGCCAAACCACGTGGCTTAGCTTCGCCCAGACGTTCAGCTAAACTCAATAATGCTTCGTAGTTTTCTGTTTCATTTGAATCGGACGAATTCAGTTCATGTTGATTGTAAGGGGACAACGGGAACATGGCACTGTAAGTAATGTCGAGGCCGCAGTTAATGACACCAACTCCCACACACAGAGCATAGAAAAAGATATACTTACAGGAAATTTAGTAAAAATCCAGGATTTATGATGCCAGTTGTTTGTATCTGCACTGGCGTTGGTTGTGGACCCAGGGTTTGTGGAGGCAAGACATGTCTATGAGGGCCGTGGGGATGGTTTGCGGTCCAAAAACGTGTAATACGTCTATGTGGAGGGAATGTACGTCTCTGAAAATAAAAAACACGCTTCGTTAGTATTGACCCCCACCCACTCTAGTTTTCGGTGGTTAACTACTTACTTCTGCTGATATTATAATTGGCTGTGGTTGAGCTGACAGCTGTGAGACTTGTGCTGCAGCAGCTGCTGCCGCCGCCATGGAATGTGAATGATGGGCGGCAGCTGCCGCTGCTGCTGCTGACATCGATGTTAGGTGTATGGATGTGGCCTGTAGTTGTGGCACTGCTGTAACACCTTGCGAATGATGGTGATGATGATGATGAGTTCCTGCAGGATCCAGCGATAAGCTAGCAACTGCAGCGGCTGCTGCATCAGACCTTTGCTGTTGTGTCAAGTGTGTCGAATTCTGGTAGTTGGCAGCAACTGTAGCTGCAGCCACTAATGCTGCTTGCGATTGTTGTTGCTGGGCCACTGCGGCCGTTGCTGCAGCCAGGTGCTGCGGAGTCTGAGCCACTTGTAGGGTGCCAGCCGGAAAACTGGCAGCATTAGTAAATTGAGCATGCGGATGCGAATTACAGGCGGGTTGAGTTGGAAACGTTTGTGGATATATGCTATGAAGATGACATGGCGCCAAGCGTGGTTGCTGCGGCGGTGGTGGCGGTTGGGCGGGATACGTAGTGCATATTGAGGCCCACACTGGTTCAGCATGTCGTAGAGATAAACTTAAGGGAACCTGGTTGATATCAACCATCAGTGGCGGCGGCGGTGGTAAGGCTGTTGGACTTTGCGCAGGATTGTGTGGATGGGCAGGCGGTGGGGTGTGTATGAGAGCCAGTGAGGGAGCGGAACTGGTATTGACTACAGCGGCAGTATTTAAATCCCAGTGGGAATGTTGTTGCTGTTGTTGTTGTGTCATAAAATGTGCATTTGAATGTTGCTGCTGCTGTTGCTGTTGGGTATGTTGATGTTGATGCTGCGGCGGTGGTGGTTGCTGTGGATGTTGTTGCTGTTGGTGATGTTGTTGCGGCTGCTGTTGATAGTGATGCTGCTGCTGACTTTGCTGGTGATAGCCCCCATTATTAAAATAATTTTGGTTTTGTGAGATCGAACTGTTGTCCCTCAGGCGGGGTCGTCGTATAGGTGGGCTTCCTTGCTGCAACTGTAGGGAAAATGAAAATCTTATAAATGTAATGTGATAACTTTTTTCACACGTAACTACATACCAACATGCGTGGCGAACGCCTCTGCTCCCACAGAGCTGGAGGCGACTGGCTTGGCATTCTCCCCGATATACGCCTTCGTTTACGTGACGGACTGTCCGATTTAAGTATGTTCGATCCGGACAAACCAGAGCCGGATGGTCCATCTGAAAGCGAGCCAACACTGCCAGCACCTAAAGCAGATGCCGACGTCGATGGTCCATTGTTGGCGTACTGATTGTTATTGTTGTAGTACTGCGAAGAGCGATTGTATGCGTTGTTATTGATGCGATTACTGTTCGCAACAGGGAAATTGGAATTGTCACCAGCTTCCATAATTCTAGAATTGCTACCACCCATCCCCAGATCATTGTGCTAGATGGATTAAAAGAAAGTGTATCAGCAAGGTTACAATTCAAAAGGGTCGCTTTCAAAACTCACGGCATTGCTATTGTTCATATTTCTATCACATAGACCTGAGTTTGATCCAACACCATTGCTGCCGTTATAGTTTCGACTGTGATTGCTGTTGCCATAACGATCGCGATCGGTATGCTGCTGATGATAGTCAGCATTGCGATGAGGCATCATCATCATCATATTCCCATTGGTTACGTTGGACCCGTTACCATTGTTGCCACCGCCGCCGGCACCACCACCACGCCGGAAACTGTAAAAATCGCCGTGAATATTTGTACCTCCCCGGCGACTATTCTGTTGATAATTTTGTGCATGGAATTGTTGTTGTAATGACAGGTTGCTAACTTGTTGTTGTGGTTGGTGATTGTTGCTATTGTTGCTGGAATATTAAGAAAATAGTGAACGTTTGTTTATTGTGAACAATACTAGAACAAACTCTATAACAAAGTCTATGTGGATGATGGATAAGGTGAATGGATTGTTGATAGGTTGATTTTAAGGTTACTAATGTGTACCTCGCAAATGTTTGTCATTATGTTCAAAAAAAAGTTCAGATTAAATTGCAATTTTTCTATAAAATCAATAAAATATTTAATCTGTAATAGATTTCTTTTATATAACTTCTTAATCGGTCTTGGGAAAGGCGATTAACTGTCGCTCCTATCTTCTTAAGATTACATGTAGTGTGATATAAAGGTCCGCCCTTTTATGTATGAATGAATAATTATTAATGGGAGTTGTCCTTAAAAAATTGTGTAGTAATACTAAGACCTTCCAGTTTTTGGAAAATTAAAAATTTTCCAGCTGAGGTTCCGAATTTCAACGTCGGGGTAGTAGGATGCAGTGTATTTGGTGGTTTTGGTTTGTGGACTATTTTGCCGTTTGTTTCTGTTTTGGGCCCATGCTAAAAAGTTCTTCTTACCCAAGCGAATTCCACGTTTCCATGTTGTTACTATTAGCGTTGTTATCCTTATTGTACCAGGGTGTCCCTGGATTGTTGTTGTTGTTTCCTCCGCCGGAATTGATGCCATTATTGTTCATGCGATGATGGTTGTTGTTGTTGTGCTGCTGTTGTTGCTGCTGCTGGTGCACTTGCTGTTGACTCTGATAAGAATGTGGGTGATGATGTGGAGAAAATACCGAACGTCCTCGATGGTTGCGAACAGATGGACCGTTTCGTGAAAAAGGTCGACGGGTCGTACCCGTGTGATTTGAATTGATCATGACAATGAAAGCCAGATGTACCGATCAACCAATAACCCCTCGCTCCTTGTCTTCGTTGAGGAGAGTTCTAAGGCAGCCGTCGTTCTCTGGTTTGGACAATGCACTTCTTCTTCTCCCTCGAAACAATGACTAATGCTTGGACAGATGGATGAATGTTTGATTGCTCGTTGATCGGACTGAATATCCACTAATTGTTGATTTTGTTGTTGTTGTCGGGGGGAGCTATGTTTTTGTAATTTTTGTTCGAAGTATCTATAACTGTAATTTCACAATAAAAACATTATGTATAGGTATTTGGTTTCATTGATCGAACTTGACGTTGACGATGAGGATCGTCATTATTGGTAGTGCATACATATTATATGGCATGTATGCGCATACATACATCAACATGTGCGGTGGCTATGTGTGGGTGTGTTCGGAACACATACGCTTGGAAGGCACTGGGAATATAAGTAATACGAACGTATGTATGTATGTATATTTAAATGTGTGAGTAATTTATGCATGTTCGTTGTAAGTATGAGAAACGATTAAACTATGGAGGCAAATAAATGCAGTTGCAATACAAATATTCTTATGGAGGATGACATTAAATAACCCTTGTCAACCCTGGAAAGCACTCTAATAATGTACATCAGCCAGCCAAAGAACTCTACCACTCTCCCAGTTGCACACATCATCCGCGTCCAACATTCACTACGTTACGTGTATCAATTTTCATTGAAACTCAAAACTTTACACAAGTATTTTGGGTGTACGATAGGTATGTAGGTATGTATGTTTATGTGTATGTGTGTTGTGGTGGTCATGCAATAAAAAGGAACTTCGAAAGCAGATGTTACGAATTACAAGATAATCAATCGATAATCACAATGAGTTGAGGAAGTAAATTGGACTTACGAAACATACTTACTTTAGAGATTTAGGCTTACGCTTGTTACTACTTAAGGGTGTTTGTACGAGGGGCAAGGGGTAAATAAGTAAGTAAGAGGGTTGTGGATAGATATTTGGATGAAGGAATAGAAACAGTACCCGCCTAGGGTACCACAATATAATGAAATGAAACTCCACCCCCATCATGCATTAATATTTTGCCATTTTTTTCAATTCCCGTGTTAAATTGTTCCGAAGAGAGAAAACCGAAATTGAAAAGGATTTCAGAATATGTGACGGAAATAAATAAATATACAGGCTGGCTCATAATAGGCATCTAAATTTGTTAAACATTATCGTCTATCGCATCCCCTTAAATAAACGTTTCTGTCTTCGGAGCAATTGTGACTGTCAGTCAGTTCATCAAAGCTGAACTGTTTTCAGTCGTTATAAAGGACAATTCTTCCTACAGATCCATGGCACAATAAAGAAGGTAGTGTAAGTTCAGAATTATGGAAAAAAAAACTATGTACTGGTTGTAATAAGTCAAACATAAATATATTAGCATGCATCAAATTCTGTTTTTTTTTTTTTTTTATCGAAATTATTAATTAAGATATGAATAAATGTGTTTAAAAAGTTCAATATTTTAAAATGTGTGACAAATGGAATTAATATATAATTCAACAAATTATGTGATACTATTCAAACCAATACACAGACACAAATATAGTGTTGGAAAATTGTAATCGGGAGCTAGCGCTATAGCCTACCTTGTTTTATTGTGTCATGTGCGGATCATTCGAAATGGCGGGATTGGGCAAACTTAGACGTAGCTGTAAAGGAGCAAAATCCAAGAAAATAGTATGGGTTTTGGTAAATTAATTTGTTATTTTACATATCTACAAGCCAAGTTTAAGTTTGCACACTTTTGTTCTACTATGACAATAAGAAGTTCAATTAAAAGATGATGATGATGATGGGTTTTTGTTTCTTATTTGGCGTGCAGATGGTGTTAGGAATTGAGAAATAATAAAACAACTTCCGACTGAACTTCAAAATCACCAAGACAAAAAGACATCTTCTAATAGAAATGGATACCGAAAAGGAGGGTGGAGGAGGGGGAAATGAAGTAGGCGGTTGGTGGGGTAACACATAATTTAAGATGAAAAGTTAGATTAACGCTAAGAGGTACCATCGAATAATGGATACGCAGAACAAAAGGAAAACAAAACTTTGACAAATTATGATAAGGTGACCAAAGAAATAGAACCGGAGACAGACAGACAGACAGACAGAAAGAGACACAGATAAATATAGAGAAAGGCAAGAATAGAATGTAAACATAGGATGTTGTAGCAGATTCACAGTAGTAGCGACATTCGTAATTAAAACAGAGAAAAGTAAAACAACCAAAAATTATGGTTTATAAATTTATTTTTGCAAATTTTGTATATAAATATTGGTATATATAAATGTTTGTAAAGTATATATTTTAACCATAAACATTTCATCAGTTTTGTTACAATAAGCTTAAAAATTAAATGTATATACATACACAATGTATAGTAAGTAGTAATGGTTGTTGGTATAATGATAAGTATGTCAAAGAAAAATACAAACGATTATTTTACTAAATTAAATATTATTTTAGGTTAGGATTTTCATTTTTGTTTTGGTTTTTGTTTTGTCTTCGTTGTAATATTAATATTGTCTATTTATGTATGCATAGATAGTAGTATTAGGGTAGGTATGTTATGTATGTGTGTGTTTGTGTTTGTGTTTCAAATACTCTTAATTTTGGTTTTATTATTAAAATTATTATTATTATTATTGTTTTGTTTTGGTTTTAAAATATTCTAGTTAATAATGTAAAGCCATTGAGTTTGAGTTGAGATGACAAATAATTCAGTGGGTTAATTTTTAAGGAAAGTAATAAAAGCTACACAAAATTATAAATGGTGATGTGGTGGTGGTGTTTGGAAGGCCGGCACTTTTAACAAAACAATATAACAAAGACCCATTGTATTAATTTTTTATTATGTTTTTTTTTTGTTTTTGTAATTATAAAAATTATACACATACATGGCTATCATTAGTTCTTCAAAATCCAACTACAATTACAATACACACTACAAAATATGGCAATTAATTATCGAATGCAAATAATGTTACATACATTACAATTGTTTAAAAAAATGCATTTTTATTTTTGGTTTTCTTTTTGTGTTTCTTAATTAAATATTAATAAGATTTTGTGAAAATTGCAATTTATGAAATTATTATTTTATCGTTCGTAACCAGTCAGTTGTTTGGCTTTTAAGGGAAACGTTCTATTAGTGTACGTATTGTAGCCACCCTCTAGAAAATTTGGGACAAATGTCCTTTATCATTCTTCTTAATGAATATGTTTCATTTTCTTCGGAACTTTAAATGTATATATATTGATTGAATGAAAAACAAGAATTTTCTACTGGAAAGTAAAATTAAAAAAAGGAAACATAAAAGGAACAGAACAACAAGCGTCATGCATCAAGGAAATCATCATAAAGTACCCAAATATACAAAACCGAGACTTTTGAAAAGCAGTACGTTTTTAATACTCGTGCTAAGACACTGGTGGTTGGGTTTTGTTGATTCCGATCCGATATAACTTTTCGTTGTACGTGGATAATTTTACAATACTGTCCGATGACCGATCCCAAATCGCTATTTTTTAAACCTCACACTGACACCGCACAACATTGTACTCGAAAAGCTAACTCTATCACCAATCATGAGTTCCATTGATAGCGGCCAAATATTCATACCTTAGGAAGTGGTTTATTTTATGTATAAAACATTGCCACGACTATTATTTTTTAACTTAACGAATTCTGAAAACCATTTTCGGTCATAAAAACTCGAATATGAAAAAGAAGAAGTAACAACACTGGTATTTGATTTACGCCAGACGACAGCCAATACTCTAAAAGTCTAAAATGCTACATTCTTTAAGTGGTTTAAAAATGAAAAATGGGACTGAACGCAACATTTTCTGATAAAAGACAGTCGGTAACTACAATTGAGAGGGGTAGGTCATTTAAAATAAAAAAATGATAAAGTTGTCAAACAATTTTGGCAGTCTAAGTCTAATATCGGATAGAACCATCTGAACCCATTTAATGTAACATGTGTCTTTCCTGCCTATATGATGTCTGATGCCACAGAATGAATAGTAAACGTATGGTAAAGTTTCCAAACCACTCGGAAAGAACAACTTCAAACTCAAAGTACGGAAACGGAAACTTAGTAAAAATTTTAAGCCGACAATCATGCTATTAGTTTTTATTGGACAAGTTTGTCTATTGAAAAGAGAGAATTATTTTAGCCATTAATTTGGGAAGACATAGGCTCAGTCGAAATTTCAACCATCGGCTAATCAAATAGCAAAGACATAAAATGGTAAAGACTGGACAAAATGCTTTATGGCAAAAATAGTTAATATGAAAAACATGTAGAGTCGCTGCTCACAGCAGAGACATGTTAGCTTAAAAAACTTGATTAAAGAGCTGTTTTAACATTTTCGGTAAAATTACAGGGTGAGATGAGAAAACTGCAACCAACTTCAGACTGCTGTCATTTTTAAGTAACTCGTCCGACAGCTGTTAAAATTATTCCAGTGACAGCTCATTACATTATATTTTGACTCTGACTTATCCTATCTTTATCCTTCCATGTTTTGTGTATCTTGTCTATTATAGCCTGGGATTTTAATTCATTGGAGTGCAAGTTCAAGTCGCTGTGTAACCATTTTCCATCTTAAGGTTTGTAGACATCAACAATACTTCCAAAAGACATTTCGCAAGTGTCACAAAGAAGTCTAACATTCAAATTGCACATGATCCTTGTGCCACGATGGTGTGCGGTGTCTCTTTGGTTTTCCTTTCAACTCGGAATTTTCTAATCAGTGTGCTCAAGCCGAAGCCAAGAAAGCCATTGCTTTTTCATCCCTTCAACAATGAGGTGTCAAAAGAAATGCAGTACCAGCGACCAAAGTGGGACTTGAGTGTACATCTTTCAATGTTACACTGCCCCCTCAGGATATGCATTATCATTTTTGGAAATCCCCATCTCTCCATAGAGCAAAAATTAATAAAGTAGACCACCAAGGTTCCAATAACTAATTAAAAACTAAAATAAATTAATTTAATCAGGCAAAGAGAAACCTGTTAAATTGCTTGTTGGGAAATGTCTAGTCGTATTAGGCAGCAAATAGTAATAAAATTAAATCTGCAAGAGTGAACGAGGAAAATAAATCATGGATATGCCAATTTTATTTGTTTGGTCTATAAATGCTGTTGACTTTTTCGGTTTCAATTTACAAAATCAAAATGAAAAAACACAAACAGACAATTAAGCTAACGGTCAGTTGTCTTTCAGACGCTAATCAATTAATCATTGGGTCAAATATTAAAAAAAGGATATGTAGATGTAGTTACTACAGGTGGCTATATGGTAGTTACGGTTGTAGTAGTTGTTGTGGTGGTGTTGGGGATGGTAGTTGTGGGTGGCGGTGACGGTGGCAGTCTTTATGTGGTAGTGGCAGTAATTAAAATAGCGGTAGTAGTAGTAGTTGGAACAACACGTCTATAGAAACCGTTTGACATTGTGTTTTTGCAATGAGTAGAACAGATGCTAGCTGTGGGGGGAGGTGGGTGGGCGGTGGCTGTAGTAGTAGTAGTAGTGGTGGTGGTAGTTTAATTGTGGCGAATGAGTGATTGATTGGTAGTTGTTATTGTTGTTGTTTTGTTATTGTTGTCATTCTTGTCTCTTTTGTTTAGTTACTCTATTTATCTCACAATATACAATTTGATATTGTTTTCATTTTTTTTGTTTTGCTTTTAGTTTTTGTTGTTTGCATTATCTATATATGGCATTAAATGTACAGTACAAAAAACACATGATAATTGCTTTTGTTTTTTTTTTTTTGGTTTTTTTTTTCAATTTAGAGAAAGAGAGAAAGGAAACATTTAAATAACATAGTAGATATGTATAAATATATATATATATGTATGTATTTTATTTATATATAAAATAGGTAGATATTTATAAATTGTTGCTTCTATTTGGCGCTTTATTTAGTTATGTTGATATGTTTGGTTTTATTGATTGATTGATTGGTTTTTAGGATGCAAGATTTGGTTTAAGATTAGATTATGCTGCACGGTTGCAAAGAAAACATTTACCAAAACCACCAACTAAAATGTATAACAAAAACAATCTAAAATTAGATAAAATATAAAAAATAAATAATAAAAATGATGAAGTAGAGAAAGAAGTAACAATTATCTGATGCTAAACATTGATCAATTGCGGTGTGATGAGTCCAATAAAATATATAATAGAATACGATTGATTGATTGACAGGATATGATGAGTGTAAAAAAGAGGAAACAAAACAAGAAAATAAAACAATAACATTTGTACAAGAAGAAGAAGAAGAAAACACACTATTTTGATGTTGTAATAAGAACGACACCAACAACAACAAGATGGATAATAATATAACTCGTTTGTTTTCACGCTATGGCATAGGTCTATATGAGATTCATTTTTTTGACCGGTTTTAGAAGATTTACGTTATGTATGCATGTAGGTGTGTGTGCTTTTTAAATTAATTTTTATTACTGAGTGTGTGTGTGTATGTGCTGTGTGTTAGCAGAATTAAAAGCCAATAAACTCATATGGTCAAACAAAATCCAAAAATAATACTAATCATCATTGCAACATTTGACCTCAACCACACTGTGTTAAGGTCATATTAGTAGACATAAATCGAGCCATCTTGGATTGTTGCAACATGGCTAAATTGTTTAAATTATTAAAATGGTACTTCTGCTACTAATAGAATCTCGCCCCCAAAATAATACTATCTCGAATAACTATCTTTGCAATCAAAAATCTGGTCGTCTGACCAAAAAATAGTTCAAAAACTAACTAGATGCAAGGCAAATATAGTTAGCCAGGATACATGTGGAAAAATATTCAAAACCACTGGTATTCGAATTTAAATTCGATCGAAATGAATGTGTGTATGTGCATTTTAGATTGATGGAAATTACAATTTCAATTAAAAAACAACTGGGGGCTAACTCTAAAATTCAGGGATGTACAGGGTGAGATGAAAAAACTGCAACCAATCTCAGACTGCTGTCATTTTTAAGCCACTCGTCCGACAGCTGTTAAAAATATTCCAGTGACAGCTCATTATATTGTTTACAAGCGTACAAAAGCATTTTGGTGAGAATTTTCTAGAAAAAAAGTTATTCGTGAAGGAATTATTGCGTGACAGTGTGATTTCTTTATATTTGTCTAGAAAACCACAATTAGATATCGTTAGAACACTCCAGCATTTAAATGCGATGTCAAGAAAGCAGACGGAAGAAAACAGCAACATCAGCAGAAAGGGTTCGAAAAGTAAAGAAGAAAAATGGCTCGTGAGCTGAACATATGGCAATATCCCATTCGGCAAATATTAAAAAAATGAGCTCGGCGTAAAGCCATTGAAATTGAAAGTGCAAGAACTTACACCGCAACAGAAAGAAAATACACTCAAAAGAGCTAAAGAGTTGCTTCGCTTGACCTTGGGCATTTATTCAATAAAATTTAAAAAAATGTAAAAATGATGGCGTTTGACTTTGTTCCAGTTTTATATCTCAACCTGTATAGCTGTTTCAGTCATAATGTTCAATTTTATCCAGCTAAAATATGGTCGATTTTTTCCCTTAACCAATACAATAATTTGACCTCTGACTAGAAATATATTTACATAAAACCTTTTTGCGAGACTTGAAATGGAAAAACCAGCTGATTGCTTGCGAGTTTTTGCAGGGATTCTGTTTGTTTACGCTTCACAGTTTTCTTGCTCAAAACAATAAAACTTTCTTATTCTCTCAGAAAGAAACTGCTGGACAATTCGCCAATTACCCACGTTGGTGCATTTAGTACCATTTAGATAGAAACAATTTCCAAGAACACATTTTTGTCGTTTTTCTAATTACTTAGTTATAGAAATGTTTGAATACACATCTATTAAAAAACATAAATATGCTCTCCTTATTAAAAACCTGAAACATTAATAATATTTCTTCCAATAAGGCTAATCGAACAGGTATTTAATGAATACTAGTTGTTCTCTGTTTCGTTTTTTTGTAAAACAAATCGCTTTAATGTAAATCGTGTTTGATATATAAAGTTGTTTTTTGAATGATATTGACAAAAACGAAAATGTTTTATCTCAACATACACACTCTGATATGTGGCTTTGTGCTAGTTTGTTTTCATATGACTTAAATGTTTTGAGCCAAAATCTTAAAATTAATCAACAGTAAGACAAAAAATGGGTTGCTGATTAATAGAATAGAATCAAAGAACGTGACTTAGACCTGTTTCTTCTGACTCAGCTCTGGGTCAAGTCCTTAAACTTTTTCTAGCTCCACAAGAGAGCTATTGTTTTTATGTCTCCAGCAATAGCTCTGAGTAAAAACTGTTTAGTTCTAGACTTCGTACTATCTTTTGTAGAATCTGAAATCTCCACTGTTACTAATTTCACAAATCTGTAAAAAAATGAAAGTGAAAACTTGTAGGCATCTACAACATAAGGCTGGAATGACTTAATTTCCTCTTCTGAAACTCAACAACAAACGATAGAATGGCATCATAACGCAAGCGCCATTTCACTTGAACTCGACATTCGTGTAGCCAGCCAAATGTAAAGTCACCTAAACAAAACGAGTTTATCTCAAACCAACAGAAAGTTGTAGCCAGCTTAAATGGAAATTATGCAATGCATATGTGATGAAAGAAAACAGAAAACAAAAGCAAAAAAATGAAATCGAAAAAAGTTAATTTATACATCTGCGCTGTGGCATACAAGTGGAACATCAGCTACAAATTTTGTGCCGGCTTCCAGTGAAAATGATTAATATTCCACTTGCGATTTTGCAAAACAAAAAAAAATCCAGAAACCAAACAAAGGTTCAGTAATGAAAACCTATGGGCCAGCGTCATTTTTTTGATGTGTTTATATATGGGACTACTTAAAATTCGATTTGATGAAATTTAAACGTTAAATGGGAATAGGGGGACGCTTTTATTTCAATAAATTGGTTTTACAAGTCCCTGGTACTGTACCAGTGCAAATTAAAAAAAAAAAAGAACTATTTCGGGTTTCTTGATTTTAGTTTGCCCTAGTAATTCAACTGATTAAATTTTCTCTCTTGATTCTTTCGGCATTCGATTAACCATAATCGTTAAGAGACACAGATTTTTCGATCTACCAAATTCGACTGAGTAAAAAAAAAATTAAAATAAAACTTCGTTTTTAGAGAAAATCAGCAAAAATGGTGACAATTTGGTAAACTACAAAATAGAAGCATGATGGCCAACTTTAGTTGGCCTAAATGTCGAATTTAGAGGAACTTAACTTTAATAATATTGAATCAGAAACGAACCTTAGCAGTTACCTAGCATACTTTTATCAGCTGTGATGGTGTGTTAAATATCAGGAAGTCCAAGCCTTTGGTTACTATACACCGACATCAAAACCAAACGCCTTAAGAAAGTAAATAACACAACGCACAATTTATCCAAATTCATTTACAAATAGGTATCAAAAACAAAGACTTATTTTTCTTAACACCCTCAGATAAGAATCACAGAGAATTGTGAGTCAACGTATGGGGAAAATAGCACAGTAATAATGTGATAACACTGTCATTATTTATATTTTGGTATCTAAAAGAGTTCTGGTTAGTTGATAACAGCTTGTGTTTGGTGATTTGTTCTGAGCCCTGCATTAGTAAATGACAAATGCCCTATTCGCTGAGCCACTTCACACCAGCTACAGGCTGGTGCATTACCAATCTAAGAGACAGAAATTTGTCCGAACATGAAAACTTCAATAATATGTTCATAAGTCACGCACTCTTATCACAATTTAAACAGTCACATATTTAAATGGAAATAGAATAGATAAGCATTGAATCGGCTTGATGTTTGAGCGTTACGATTTTATTGTTCTTTTGTTCCTTTAGTAGAGAGAGAGATAAATAGATTGTAAGTGGAGCGGAATAGACATGGCTATAGAAATAGTGGAATCAAATAAAAAATTCAAACATATGATCGGAATTCCCCACTGTGCAAGGCGACACTCCTACCTGTGTGGAAATTACTCCATATGCATGTGGCTGAATGAATGAATCAACTGCCTGCACATGTGTATATATGTACGTTTGCATGTATTCATTGCCTTGGAAGGACAATGTACGATTAACGATTGCCAAACGTTTTGGGAATTTTTTTGCATTTGCTTTTCGTGTTTTTTTGCTTGTAAGCATTGCACAAACGGCCACGCACATACACACAGAGATTGTTATTATAATAACAGTGCGCAAAGTGACTTGTTTATGCATGTGTTTGGGTATTGTTGTTTGGCATTTACTTCATTGGACGGCATTATCCTGTTAACGCTGCTTCCGCAATGAGAAAATAACAATTTATGCAAGTGTATAGGTGTAGTCCCCTCACAATATTAGAACCGCTAATAACTAACCAGTCTATTTTTCTAACAAAAATCAGTAAAGCAATAGATAAAAGTATAAAAATTGTGTTGTTTCAAACCGAAACACCTTTAATGTCGGTTTGATGTACTTTGATTTAGTTATCTTAGTTGGGCAATGAGAACAAATAGGTACCTATTTATGAACAAATGTAAAGGCTTTCCGGTCGTTAATACTAAAGTACTATTGTTATTAGTTGGTTAGGTATATACTTCATATGTGATAAATAAAAGTGAATAAACAACGAACATTAATGTCACCAAGTCGATGGTGTGCCAACCTAATATACAGAACAAAGGCGTAGAGTATTTTTATCTCATAGAAATATGTATGGTACTTATGTAGGTAGGTATGTACACTTTTTCACAAAAACTATTAACTATTTTTATTATTGTTTACAGGTGTTTTTGGTTATTGTTGTTTAAGCTGTATACAAGTTAAAGAAGCCTAAAAATGTGTTCGGTGCACATAATCGGTAGATCGAATACTAGATATATGTAATGTATTAAGTCTGGTGGGGGTTAGGTCTCATAACAATAAATAAAACATATACCTCGATAGGTACATAGGCATGTATGCACCTAAAAACTTCACAAGACACAACAATTTTGTACTGACAAGCAATTTTTGTTTTTAGAAATATATGTATGAAAATTGTTATGCACAAAAAAGGATATTCCGAGAGAAAGCTAACTAAAAAGCATTCACCCTAATCTACTGAAAATGTTAATAGTTGGTATGAAAGGTGAACTGAAAAATATGTTGTTTGTGTGTACTAAAACCTATGCAATAAAAGAATGGCAAATTATTAAGGATTCCCACCTTTTTGAATGGTCCAATAGGAATATTGTTTCTTTTTTCGTTGGTAGTATTGCTCTTCGATTGTTGGGTTGGTTGGCGGATTGGTCGATGTGCTAATGAAGTGTGTTGGTGTGTGTAAACACTGCTCGGGACGTTTTTATACTCTCTTTGTTTAAAAAATTGGAGAAAGATACTATCCGATATTTATTATTCTATTAAATTAAATGAAGCTACACAGTTTGAATAAAATTCACTTGTTATTCTTTATTTTTTGTTATGTATTCTCTGTTCTTTCTTTATTATATCCGATTTGTTTCCGTTTATTTTTTCATTTGCCTTTCTTAAATGTTTCTCATGAAATTACATTATTTGCCGTCTTTGTTGGGGGGGTTCAACGCAAACACACACACACACACACACACACTCGCATATGTGCCACCTATATATGAACAGCAGCGTATTGTTTGTATATATCTCCCCAGCTAGCTTTTGTTTACTTTTGTTTTTTTTTATTTTATTATTTTCTGTTGTTGTTTTCTTTGTATGTGATGTTTTTTTTTTCGTTTTGTTTTAAAGGCAAAAAGTGTCTGTATCGCGACGGTTTAATCACATTAGCACACACGAAACTATGGATTTCTTTGTTGTATTTTCCTATTTTATTTACGGCCGTCCAAACGAACCAACTCGCGAGGGGCTACACAAATGAATGTGGTGAATTGCCAAGTTGTACTCTTTAGTTGAGAGCCAGCAAGTCAACAGCAGTTAGCACCGCTATTGTGAATGAACGAGACGATGGTGAGTTTCAATTTGAACAAGTGGGGCCCATGAACATGCCCCACAACCACCACACTGTTATTTTTGCGTTAATCGACACTTTTTATTGTGTATATATGTATATGAACAGTTGCTGTAATCGTTTCATGCTAATATTTTTTGTACAGAAAAAAGGAACACAGCATTTCGAGTGGTGCTTCAAAATTTAGAGCTAATAGCTACAAAACAAAAATATGAATTTTATTAAAAACAACAATGTATCCACCGCCGCACCCGTTCGCGTACTTGTCGTCTAAGTGACATCCAGCGACTTGAACCGATCAAACAAAACACAAACCTCAAACATGTATACATACATATACGACATATAATACATGCACACATGTATGTATCCACATTCACGTCTATATATCAACCAACCAGCCAACCAACCATTGCCAACCATCAGTGTGACCGAGCGACTCAACGTCCGTCTTTTTGTCATTTTCTGGTCGAACAAAAAGATTACACACATCCAAACGACAATAAACAATATGATGGTTTGTATGTCGGCACACTTCCTTCTTTGTGCTGGTTTGTTGTATACACATGTGTGTATGTAATTTTGGGGGCCTTTAAACTTAAAATTCAATGTTACTTCATAGAGAATTGATTTTTCCACCAAGCGCGCACACACACACACACAAATATATATTTTTTTTACATATATTATGCATACATATATTCATTTGTTGTATAGATATGTACATAGAAGAAAAAAGAAGAGATTTTTCGTCTCAACTTCTGTACAAATACACAATTTTTACATAATTTATATACGCTTACAGATTTTTCATATTGTGTATTCATCGTCATAAACGAACTATACATTGGGGCAGTTATATTAAAGCTGATGATTTCATTTCGATTCACACAAACGAGTTATATTATCACACGGATTTGTCATATTACACGAGCTTTATTCTTCGATTTAGCTTGCTTTATTACTCGTGTGTTCTTGTACATGTATTATTGCTTTGCTTTTTTACTATGTTAATGAAAAAAAGGAAACAAATGAAACACAGATTTTACCTTCTTACACACCTGAAGTCCGAAAAAGTCTGACAGATAAGAAAAATATTTGTATATTTTACAGTGCCAGTATCCACCACACTAGACGGCCGCAGTTATCGAATGTAATTGTGAATGAACAATATTTTCAGTGTTGTATCCTCGGAAACCGGATATAATATAGAGGGAAATAAGAAACTCACAGGCTAATTGGATTGTACCATGGTACAATAAGGAGGGACTGCTTCGCAAATCTACAGAAATACACATCTCAGGCCATGCCCGTTTCCTGTCAAATTTGCATGCAACAAGTTTTTTCATTTATTCGATATTTTTAAAATGAGTTAATTAGCACGAAAAATAAATCCTTTCAAAAATTAGATAAATAAAACCTTTTAAAAAATATGATTTAAACAGTTTGATCTTTCAGTTACATGGCAAAACTGGCAAATAGCTTTAATGCGGAATGTCTGTTTCTTCCAATCATTAATTTTGAAAATATTTTGTTTTTATTTTTTCAAAACAATAAATACCTACACAAACTTGACAGAAGTCGGGCACACTTAGAAAAAAAATTGTAATCAGCTGGTAGCTCTACCTTACCTTTATGTTGTACCATGGATTGTAAGAAAAAGGTTGTTCAACTTTATGAAACTAGAAAAAATTCAACTATAGTATAGTATAATATAATATAGTAAAAAAAATCTATTATATAAAACATAAAACATTAATGGAATGTTGGGATTATTTCAATTATGGAATTATTCAAAAAGTAAGACAATACAGAACAATACAAAAATGTACAATTCGAAAATATACATTTATTTTGCATTATAATAATTTCAACGGTAACCGATTTCCTCTTTATGATATCGAGAAAAAATCCAAAACTTATAGATTCTTGCAGGTAATAGAACAGAGCATTTGTTTTGACAGAATAAGGGCACCAAAAGGAAAATTTTGTATTTAGGAGGTAGCTTTGTTCTACCCATAAACATATTCATTTCTGCATTTTCTGTAATGTACCATGTCAAATTTCACTGAATAAAACAGAATCCCATCTCTGATTTCTATGTATACGATAAATTTATAAACATTAATGACAATCAAATGAATTATTTTTAAAAAATTATTAACATATGTTTGCATGACTTTAACTTCTTTAATTCTGTCATGGTTCTACCCATGATTGCATGGTAATCAGCTGGTGGCACTTCTTTCCTTTTTATCGTACCATGGTGTAAACCAGCTTTTACCAAGATGGCGTTTTTAATGCACATCGATTGATGTTAATACAAAAACGAAGGTATCGATAGTGTCATCGATTGTTTATCAGATCTACTCTTCTTTCATAGGGACGCGTTTTTTCATATTGCTGATAATTTTCTTTCGCACATATCCAACATAATTTTGGAAAGAAAAACATTTGTATTTGAATAAAAAGTTGCTTAGACACTGCAAACAGAAAAACTAAGAAAATGTAAGTTGTCATTGTGTTCTACAAACCTTTTTTTTAGCTAACTACAATTCATTTTTAGGGCGCGGGATCTTTCTCCGAACGGAGAAACTGTGGAGAAAAACAAGGAAAGCAAGGAAGCAAAAGACGTTAAGGCAGTGAATAACAAGGTAAGTTCATCATCAAATTCAAACCGCGGAAGGGAACGAGACCGTAGGAGGAGAGGAAGTGCATCATCTAGCAGTGATTCGAGTGACAGGTGAGGCATGCACACATGTTACGTTGGTTGTAAGAATGAATTCTGATTTTTGTTTTTGTGCAGTTCGTCGGACAGCAGCTCATCGCGAAGTAGCTCTGGCTCCGAATCACGTTCCAGCTCGTCAAGCTCAAGTGGATCATCGTCGTCGTCATCATCATCTTCGTCGCGCAAAAGCGCATCATCGCATTCTCGTAGCCGCAGTCCACCCCCAAAAAGACGTGAACGGTCTCGCAGTCCACCACCAAAACGCCGTGAACGTTCACGCAGCCCTGCTGCAAAGCCGGTAAGAGAAAGAACACGTTCGAGGTCGCGAAGTCCCATTCAGAAGCCTCGTGAACGAACAAGATCCCGTTCACCACCACCGAAACGCCGTGAACGTTCCCGCAGTCCAGTTACTAAGCCCCGCGATCGCACTCGCAGTCGTTCGCGAAGTCCTCCTGCCAAGGCCAGAGAGCGTTCCCCAACTCCTAAACCAACACGCATACACATTGGACGATTGACAAGAAATGTCACAAAGGACCATGTAGTTGAGATATTCAGTTGTTTTGGTGAAGTAAAAAATGTGGAATTTCCAACAGACCGCTACCATTCAAATTTCGGCAGGGGTATTGCTTATGTAGAGTACGCTACGCATGAGGAATGCGAAGCAGCAATTAAACAAATGGACGGTGGTCAAATAGACGGACAGGAAGTTAACGTGTCAGCTGTTCTAACACCAAAAATCAGAGGACCACAAAGACGCCCTTCACCAATCAATCGTAGACAGAATGACCGTTGGCGTGCGTCTCCAAGATTCAACAGATTTAACCGAAATAGACGTTCTCCGCCACCACGTGGTGGTCGTCGTTCGCCTCCTCGCAGGCGTTCTCGGTCTCCAATACGCAGACGCAGGCGCAGCAACAGTTCGGACAGCTCTCGCTAAGTAATTTAGTTTTGCGTCACAAACTAAATCGGGCTAACTAAAACATAGCGTATATTTATCTTATTCTTCATACATTTTCATAAACATGTAAATGTAAACCCTATATTCTTGGTTCAATAAAAAATATAAGTTTCAGTGACAAGCCAATGTCAGTGTATAAAACTACAAGCATCCGCTGGTAATGGACAGCCTTGAGGATGATTCGTATAGAAGAAACAAGGCCGTTTTTTTACTGTTTGCACTTTGTTGCACACTTTTTGCAGTTGCTGAGGTTTCCGTATTTTAACTATATCTGGTTTGAAAAGTTCAAATATTTCATGCTTATTTCGTAGCAATGTCTTAAGACCACCACATTCCGATTTGATTTGCTTTAAGTCTTCCTTTTGTAGGCCGCTAGCAATTTCAGACATTGCCAATGAGCGGCCTGCTAACCATTCGGCACCGGTTAAGTCTTGTCTCGGTGAAGCATCTGTTTCGTTCAAAAGAAGCCCAAATATCTTCAGGACTATACCTTCTATCACAGTTTTGTCGATTTGTGTACAATTACGTACCGTTTCAACTTTGTCTCGCAGTTTAATTTCAATGTTGTCGTTGTTTGGAAAGAGCTGTTTCTCTCTTTTCACAAAATGATTGATTTCTTCGATTTGACTTAAATGCGATGTGGATGAGTACCGGCGTCTTCGACCAATAAATGCAATGCGTTTTGTGCTTGGGATTTTCAGACGATCTCGTTCCGTCTCGAACCCGCAAACTTTTGATATGCTTTCGACATAGCAACAAAAATCGTTGTAAGTGGACATGGAGGAATTTCTTCGTTGGAACTTCCGACCAGAGAATTCAAAAGCGCAACATGGTAAAAGAAAATAATTCATTCGGTAGTGGCTTTTTGCAGCCAACACGGGCATCCAAGGAGATAATTCATCTGAATGGTTGCCTATAATCCAATCTACCTCAGGTGGAAGATGAAATGTGCCAGGGTCAATAGTTTCCTCCCTAAGGTTGTTTGCAACTCCAGTAGGGTAAAACTGACCAGATTTTACGAGATCTTACGTCATAACCATAGCCCTTGTATCCTTCTTCGTTTAAAATGTAAACTAGGAGACCATTACCACATCCCAAGTCGGCGAATGACACGGGAGAATGACCCATCGAGTCGCTTTGCCATAAAGCGATCAAATATGCAGCAATAGCTAAGTCTTCGTAAATGAATTTCAGTGGGTCTGTAGATTCCTTGGCATCATTCCAAAACTGAAATCGAACAACGATTAGAAGACAAAGCAAAATCATAGTTTTTTAATATCAACTTACCATCATTGCCTTTTCGCTGTATTTTCGTTTAAATTCGTTGTATAGAGTATTATATTTTTCGATGTCCACTAAACGCAATGATCCGCCACTCACGTTGTCAATGCTAACTTTGGACCACTTTGTCAGTTTAGGCTTTAGAATATATTCGGACCATCGATCGCCTTTTTCGGTATCTGCAAGTGGATTCAAGTTCACAACGCCAAGATGACCATCACAGAAGCTTACTTGGAAATCGTCTATATCATCGGAATCGAACGATAAACGAAAGATACTTTTTGGAAAATCTAAAATAAAACAGCTTATGATGACCAAGAAGGAGGCTTGTGTATAATCTTTGTCGCAGGCTTACCCACTATTCCAGTGGCATGTATGGCATCTTTGCTCTTTTTATGGAGACATTTGAAATCAATTTCAAATCCTGAACATTTCGCAGGAACTTCAGATACATTTTTTAGGTTACCTAAAGACACTTTGTCCACATTGTTGTCCTCATTGGAAACACCTGGCTTAACTCTCACTTCATTTATGACGCAAGCACATATTTTCCTATTTACTGTGTGATAATTATTGATCAAAATCGATATCGCATTCCAAAACCCCTGCAAATCCATTTGGTTCTCCATGATATGACTAGAAGTTAACAGCTGCACACAGCACATTTCATGATATAAGAATACAGGTAGATGCCTCACCACTTGTGAATGTTGATATTTGAAAATTATACAAAAAAATTCTGCAAAAGTAAATAGAATTTTATTTCCTTACACGATAACGTTAAGTGGTTGTTAAGATATGCATTTTCATCATATTTAATAAAATAAAATCCGTTTTTTATTCAAAAGTTTGAATTCCAAAAATGCTTCGGCAGTTCTTTGCGTCACCAGCTGTGTTGATGCGACCACCTGTATTATTTTATCAATCAAACCCTTACATGCGCTCTCACACATGAACACACAAAAAAAGTTGCCCAGTAAACATTTTTGCAAAAGTGTAAAGTACTTCGAGTTTTTTCTCAAATTTTATTTAAAAAATTACTTTCTTCCATTTTCTCATTGCGTTTTTTATTAATAATCTGAACAATTTTTTGGGTCTATGGTACAATGGCAGTTGGTAGAATGGAGCTTCACATGGTACAATGGAGCTACCCAGTCAAAGTATATACACAATCTGTACATTGTTTTGAATAATGGGGTGAATACAGAAGAGGACCTCTATTCTGGCGTAAAAGTACATTTACATACAAATCTGTATACGGGATAATTGATCAATCACACTAAATTTTACTACGAATAGCTTCCGTTGAATTTATTGTGATGCCTGGTAGGCATAACGTGTAAGTTGTGCTTACACTTACACTGCCTTCATGCGGTCCTCAATAGTCTTATCAGATGACATTTTAAATATGCCTTGTTTTTACCCGATTACTTTTTAAAGGCAAATCTTTTTCTGAGCTAACCCTGTTAAATGACCCATTACAATAAATTTGACCATGGAGGACATATGTTATCTTTTTTGGAGATTTGCTAAGATTTTTTATGTAAACACTCATAACAGATATCTTCATAAGGCATGGACATGGTAAAGGAATACAGGTAGTCGCATCGACACAGCTGCTGGGACAATGAACTGTCAAACTGATGTTGAAATTGAAAATGTTGAATGAAAAATTATTGAAGTTTGTATAAATTGTTGAGAGATACATATTATATCAAACTCTGATTTGCGTCGTATAAGAAAACTTATTAAATCTACTTATTTTTGACAAAACATTTTGAAAATTTTGACATATCAATGTTCCCAAGCGTTGATACATCTACTTATATTCTTCTACCATGGGCATGGATGTGAAGCCTTATGAAGATATCTGTTATGGACCTAATGGTCATGTATTTTATGGTGCTAGTTCTGTTTCTCCTTTAAGTGAATTGTTTTATTGAACAAGTCTGATCGTGAACTACTCAACACGATCTTATGTAATTTGACTTATTTCTCGTGTTTTACGTGTTTTGTTTTTAATTGTCGTTGGGGTATTTTAGTCAAATTCGTGTCCTGCTTTGCACAAAATGTCCGCTCTTAGGCAAATCCACAAGGTTTTGAGATGCTCCTCCAATGTTGCTGCCGGTCTTTCTAGGGTTAGTAGATTTGCCGAAGCAGTTTAATTATGTGTTTTCGAGATATAACTTTCTGTAACTCTATTGTAGAATATTGTTCCAATTTTCAATGCCGCCAGATGCAGCAGCAACGTTTCCTCCGATCATCCGTCAATGTTCCCCGGTGCCAAGGCACCATTTGTGTCTGAACCTAACTTTACCTTACCTTCGGACTATTCTCCAATACCAATTTATCGAGTAATGGATGCGGAAGGTGTTGTCAACCCAAGTCAAGATCCTAATCTAGATCGTGATTTCGTAACGAAAATGTTCCGCGACATGGTCCTTCTGAATACCATGGATAAGATTTTGTACGAGTCCCAACGACAAGGGCGCATCTCATTCTATATGACTAATTTTGGCGAAGAAGCCAGTCATATTGGAAGTGCTGCTGCCCTAGAAAACAGAGATTGGATCTATGGACAGTATCGTGAGGCCGGTGTTTTGGTGTGGAGAGGGTTCACAATCGAACAGTTCATTGATCAGTGTTACGGTAATGTTGCCGACATTGGAAGGGGAAAACAAATGCCAGTTCATTATGGTTCCAAGGACTTGAATTTTGTTACTATTTCGAGTCCACTTTGTAAGTTTTGCTAGAGCTTTCTAAGAAAATCGAATTGAATGAATTGATGTATACTTCCTTTAGCCACCCAAATGCCACAAGCCGTTGGCGCAGCCTATGCCATGAAGCGCAAACCGAACAATGACTCCATTGTGGTATGTTACTTTGGTGAAGGTGCGGCATCTGAAGGAGACGCTCACGCCGCTTTCAATTTTGCTGCTACCTTAAGTTGTCCTGTAATCCTGTTTTGGTATGAAAACAAATTGTACTTCAATAGATCTTCCTTACTTAAAAAAAAACTTTTATCTAGTCGTAACAATGGATTTGCTATCTCAACACCATCCCATGAACAATACTGTGGTGACGGTATTGCTGGTAGAGGCCCCGCTTATGGAATCGCTACCATTCGGTAAGACACAAAGTGATAAAATATACTTCATCACATTTTACCATGTCTACTTCCTTACAGTGTTGATGGTACTGATGTCTTTGCGGTATATAACGCCATGAAGAAAGCAAGGGAGTATGTTCTTCGCGAGAATAAACCAATTGTTTTTGAAGCAATGGCCTATCGGTATATAATGTTATTTTAAATATTTGTCAATACTTGAAGTAATTTCATTTGTCTTGCAGTGTTGGTCACCATTCCACCTCAGATGATTCCACTGCCTATCGGTCTGCCGAAGAAATTGAAATTTGGAACACCACAGAACACCCCATTTCAAAGCTCAAAAATTATATGAAGAAGAAAGGTTGGTTCAATGAAGATGAGGAGAACGCCTTTGTAAAGGACGTGCGAAAGCAAGTCCTAAAGCAAATATCCGTTTCGGAGAAGAAGCTTAAACCAAACTGGAGAGAAATGTTCCAAGATGTCTACCATGAGATGCCTGAACATTTGAAGGAGCAAATGGGAGAACTGGAGAAACATGTGGAAGCCCATCCCGACTTTTACCCACTCAAAAATTTTAAAGCCTAAGGAAAAGAGATGACTACAAGCGACACCGTTAGCCAAATGGGAATCTTAAAATGTGCATTTATTAGCTTAAGTAGAACAAACGTTTGTATATAATGTATTCAACATGTGATTCGAAACTTGCATTTATTTACCATATTCAATATTTTGTTGAATAGTTTGACCCCACTTTTACGTAATTTACAAGACATAAAAATGTTAAAAATGTTCAGATAGTAAATAAAATCTATTCTCGTTGAGAATTGCCCTTAATTCGCATTAATTGAATTTGAATGGATTCATTATTTTGTAAGCATACTGACTATACTTTTAATTGGGTACACCGATTCTATAGAAGTATTGCAAATAGTGGTGTTTTGAGTGTTCTTCTGCTTCTTGATGTTGGAAAGGCTTTTGATTGTATATCAGGGATGTTAATTTGAAGACATGGGACGAAATCTCACATTCGATTCAAATCTTTTTATTTAAATTCAAATATGAATATTTTAGTGAATGATGCCGATCTGTATTTCCTGCGGTTTTAAAGTCTGTTGTCAAACATGCGACGACCGTCTTTAGTCACTGGATTTAAGCCATTGCGTCTAAAACCAAAGTTTTAAGTTTTGAATATTAAGTCAATATGCCATTGTCTGACTGACTTAGCTAATTTATGAAAATTTCGGACAATATTCTATATTGCCTAAAAATTTTATTAAAGCACTTCAGTACACAAATCACATTTACATCTAATAGACTTACTCATTTAGTATTCGATGGCATTGGGCAAATATTTATATAACTTTTTTCAAGCCTCTGCTTGTAGAAGATAGCTTGTGTAGTAGTATAGTTTTAATCGCAAATTTTATAATATTTTAACATTTAATTATTCAAGGAAGCCAGAATATGCTTGGTGCCAAACCCCTTTTAATGCGATCTTACATTTATCACCATGCTTTCTAATTGTCAATAATTAATATGAGAGAAAGAAAAGCATTGGCTGCAGAGGGCATCAGCTGTAAATTGTAAATGAGTTCAGAAGTAAAATCGCTTTTTTCACACTTTTCATATGTGTATTGACAAATGAAAAAAATAAATGTTTAAAGTGTATATAATATGTATGTTTATATAATTTATTGATTAGACGGACAGAAAACTTTATCTTACATCAATTTGGATGAAAATACATTATAACAAATCTTAAGTAATTTAGTGAGCCCTCTTACTCCAACTAATTAAAAAAAAAAACATTATCAAAATGGAATAGCTGTGTGACTATAGTGTATACGTCGACCTTTTCCCACAATTTAACCATTTTTCATTAGGCATGCTGTTCCAGGAAAATCAAACATCGCTTTAGTAACTGACCGACATATACATAGGTTCTTCGGAATGAAATTATTTTGGACATAGACAAATCCGATTATGTGTGTGTAAAATTAAAGACAGTAATGAAAGAACAATTAATTAGTGCGCAACTGGTAGTCTCCGTTTTGAGTTATGTATCGAACCCATGGCAATGCTTGGTAGCCACTCTTTTCGATAATTTTTAAGTAACGAACTTGTATTCCCGATGTTGTAAAGTATGGTATCTCGAAATGGACTTGGATTGGAGGCTTGCCCTCCAAGCTATCTTCACTTTTTACACTTGGCAATCCAAAGTGGGCTCGCATTAGATACTCCTTGCCGCCTGGGAATGACTTGATCGTCCAAATAACTGCATTTTGCTCTGGAGCATATTTGCAGCTGCCAATTGTTGTCTTGAATTTTGGTGAATCGGCGTCTGCTGGAACTGGAATAATGATTTCCACGTTGTTGGCTGTAGAACGACGTTTAAACTGGGACTTAGCCTTGATCATGTATTCTACGCGAGAATGTTCATGCCTTTCAATAACGGATTCAATCCAAATTAAGGGTTTGACCTGAAAGCATTGATGTAATTTTTTAAGAATGTTTGGAAAATCAGTACCGAAAAGTGCACACTACTCACGTGTGTATTGAGCCGGTAGGACATCAATTCAAATTCCCCATCAGGTGGTATGAACGAAATCGTTCTATCATTTTCAAAGCGCGACAGACGCACGCATTGGTGGAATTTCACATCCTCCAGTTCGACGGACTTTGATTTCCCTCTACCTGTACTTTCAAACAAGACTTTGTCATTGAGGCCTAGTCTTAGTTCCGGCATACCAGACAGATACACTCTCATCTTAATGGCGCCAACAATTTCACTGCGTAAAACATTTCCATTTGCATTGGCCAAAAGATTGACAGACTCGATGACATCTAAAAATACTTCGTTCTTTCGGTATTTAATGCCCTCCGAACGCCATGAAACTGCATTTGTTACAGCCACTGGTATGCGTGGCTGTATTTCCAATTTATGTCCCTCCTGGGTAATATATTCCTGTAGTATTTTGGAGTCAGTAGTTTGTGGATAGCCAAAATCAATTAGTTCGTCCAGCAGCTCGTAGATAATTACAAAATTGTCACGGATCGACTCTTCTTCCAGCTCCTTGAAATACTCAATAAACACCTGAGCGATCTTGTGCAGGAACACAAACACAAGTGCAATGTTCACATTCTTGTTGCGTGGTGTTGTCGACACGATATACAAGTTATTGGTCTTGATGTATGCGAAGGTGCAGTCTGCGGTTTGTAGTATAGGTGTGATCATACCCTCCTCCTCTTTTTCCATCAGCAATGGCATAAACTTGTCAATTACAGCCATGTCCATATTGTCACCGCGGTAGTTCCGCGATATTAGGACCTTACCCTTCACGTCCAGCACATATATGGCCGAAGACGACATCTTTGACAATGTTGACAATGTAAGACGTACTGTCCAATTCAGCCGTGTAGCCAATACAGAAAAAATGACTCAGTAATGAATCTGGCTGTGGCTTTCGTTGCACTTTTTCCCTAGTAGCGTGAGGAAATGCAAATCTTGCTATCTAGCTGACTCCTTAGAAAGATGAAAATTATTTAGAAACTGTAACATACAATGTTTTGCAATAATCAAACGCGAAATTGGACAATTTTTTAAAAAATTATTTCTATTTACTTACAAAAAAAATTACGTCGACTTGGTCTTCATCAGGGTTGTGTCGTTCGGGAAAGAACTAGTTCAAAAGACTATTCTCTGATAGGAACATACGGAACTACATTCCTCAATTTCGTTCATTTTTTCTAGTTCATTTATTTAGTTCATTCAGCTGATCTGTAGGGAATAAGTGCACGTTTAGATTGCAATGGTATTAATTGTAAATTACGCGTTTAACGATTTGTCATTTATTTGATTCATTTTGTTTACTCCAAAAGTATGGAGCATTTTTCTTTCCTATCAGATTTAAATCAAATTTGTTATACTTCATGATGCAGTTTAAGGAAGCACTGCAAGGTTGCGCCTTTGTTAGGCAAAAATCTTCAAATTGCACAACATTATGTGGTATCTTACACTAATATGGCAAAAAAGTAACTGTACTAGTCCTGTAATAGAGAGTGAAACGGTAGAAACATGTTGCCGGTTGTTTTCTGAGGGTTTACTGGATGTTACTTATGAAAAAATTTCTTGTAAAATTGTGCGCGTATGGTTTTTTGTTAATTTTTGCATGAATGAGAGAACCATTACTACTCTCTCAAAGGATTTTACCGAATAAATTTTACAGGAATATTAAAAAGGCAATTCTTTTTCTATAAAAACTTTTGTACAGAAAACATTTCTCATTACAAATTTTCATAGAACAATGTATTCTTGTTTTATAAAAATATGTAATGAATAATATTTACTTTACGAAACTTCTTTTCCCACCATGGTTCGCTCTTATTTACTGGACTTTTAAGTGGTCGAAGAACAAGAAATAAGTCCCAGATACCGATTGACTAAACAGACAGAGTTAATATTGCGCCATGAGTTCAACGAGAGGTACGAGGTTAACAACGAATGAATTGAATATTGTTCCAATGGTTCCTTTCGAGGAATATTTCCTTTGATCACTGTTCCTGACATTTAGTTGATTCGTTTGTTAGTTCCATTATTCCATAATAGAACTTTTCAAATATTTCGTCTTCCTCTGAATCTCTGAATAATAAAACAAAAAACAAAAAAGAAATCGTCAAGACAAGGTTCTGAGAACAGAGATAATTTGAAGGAAAATGGAGACGATTGATATAGCCCGACTGGAGGAGGCTGTGGTCATATTTTATCGTTCAACCTCTCAGGAGCAGGCACATTTACACGAGTGGCTAACAAATGTCCAAGCCAGCAAAATGGCCTGGCAATTTTCATGGCAGCTAATGCAGCTGGGAAAGGTTTTTCAAATGATTTCCATGATCCATCTACATTGTTCATTACCAATATCCTGCTTTTTAGAGTCAAGAAGTCCAGTTTTTCGGAGCAATTACTTTGCACTCGAAGCTAATGAAATTCTGGCATGAAGTTCCTCCCGAAAACCGAGACGAGCTGAAGCAGAAAATTTTGGAAACCATTATACAATTCGCAGGTGGACCGAAGCTGGTTCTCAATCGTTTGTGCATAGCGGTATTGTGTCAATGAGTTTGCATTGTAAAGTGAGTGTGAATGTAAATTGTTGTTGGTTTCAGTTAAGCGCCTACATAGTTCACATGTTGAGTGAATGGCCAAGTGCCATAGAAGACGTTATCAATACCTTTCAAAATCAACAAATACCGAATGTATCGAATGAGACCCAATTGTGGATATTATTGGAAGTATTGCAAGCCATTCCTGAGGAGGTTGGTACTCTTTCTATATTTCATAGATATTGTTGTTCATTAAAATGTTGTTGTCCTTAGATGCAAGCTATATACAGTTCTGTCAAGAGAACTGTTCTGCGAGCAGAGGTGGCCAAGAGGACTCCGCTTGTAATAGAAACCACTGAGCGTTACCTTCAAATGCAGCTGGAAAGAGAATGGGACACAGAGACATTTAATAACATGACACGAGCGGTGAAATGTGTTGGCACTTGGGTTAAGTAAGATATTTGTGGACTTAAGAAGGGCTGCGCTCATTACTATTTTCGTTTTAGAAACATTGGCTTTCCTATTGAAAACTGTGTCAATATCGTCGACATCATTCTAAAGATAGTTAATAAATGCTATTGGCCATGTACACAAGATCCAGATGGCGATGGCTGTATGTCAGCAGATGAAAATGATTTAGCTGAGACTTGTTTGAAAACTCTCGTTAATATTATTATCCAACCTGACTGCCATCTCTTCCCCAAGACGGCATTTATCCTTATTAAGATGTTTCTTGACTCTCTGTGCAATATCACCAAAATGGAATGGAAACCTGATAATAATAATGAAGACATTGTTTCCTACATATACACATTGTTCGTGTCGGCGGTTGAGCGGCATTCTCAGCTATTATTAAGTGGGATCACAACAACAGATCCCGAACTGTCGTCTCTATACACTCGTCTTGTAAATGAGATATTGCAATGTACAGATAAGCCTGGTATATATCCTGTTGAGGAATCGTGTAGCAGCATGGCTTTAGGGTTTTGGTATCTGCTGCAAGAGGAAGTGCTCGCAATAACCAACGAGGAGGAACGCTTGAAGTGTTGCGAATACATTAAACCACTATATGCTCATCTAACTCGAATTTTAGTTAGAAAGTCTGAGCAGCCTGACGAGAACTCTATCGACAAGTGGAGTTCAGATGACTTGGAAAGTTTTCGTTGTTACAGACAGGATATTTCCGATACATTTGTTAGTAAATACCTATAGCACTGTTTTATGGACATAACAGATGTATGTATTTCGTTTCTCCTACTTACAGATGTATTGTTACGATGTCTTGCATGATCAAATCTTGGATATTTTATCTGCCGTTTTGGATGAGACCATTGCCCAACTTCAGACAAACCCTAATCAGTGGACTAAATTAGAAGCATGTATCTATTCTTTCCAATCAGTTGCCGAACACTTTGATGGAGAAGAAACAAAACAAATCCCTAAATTCATGCGAGTGCTTAACGAGATTCCATATGAGAAAATGAACGAGAAGCTTCTGGGCACAGCTTTGGAAGCTGTTGGTTCATATTGTCAGTGGTTGCGGGGCAATCCAATGTGGATACCATCTGCCATAGAACTGTTGGTACGTGGCCTCAACTCGTCCATGTCGGCACAAGCAACGTTGGGACTTAAGGAACTTTGTAGGGATTGCCAATTACAAATGAAACCATACGCTGAACCCTTGCTCAATGCATGCCAATCATCCTTGGCATCCGGACAAATGAAGAATTCCGATAGCGTAAGACTTATGTTCAGCATCGGAAAACTCATGAGCCTCTTAACACCAGACAAGATTCCTAACTATCTAGATATGATTGTGAGTCCATGCTTCGAAGAATTGTCTACTATATGTCAAAGTGGTGCTGTAAGTCATCATTTATTTCAACGATTTCTTTAAATATTTGTGTATCGTTATATTACTTGCAGAAGACGCCACAGGCAAGAATACGCACCATATTCCGCTTAAATATGGTGTCAACTCTGTTTTCATCGCTTAACACGGATATCGATGACGACGACCTACCCATCGAAGATCTGCAAAACATGCAGCCAGTTTTGATTGTGATGCAAAAAACAATGCCAATTTTTAGGCAAATTGCTGAGTTATGGGTAGAAGATTTGGATGTTCTAGAGGTACTCACATAGATGTCACTTTATTTTTTTCTATTTATTTTGAAAGCGGCATGTTTCCCAATTGGTTGACGATTAAGTCCTTCAAAGTTATTATATTATTTTATTTAAATTCCTTCGTTATTCTTTTTTTAGACGGCTTGCGCGGCTCTCACACATGCAATTGTAAATTTAAAGAATAGCTTCAAACCAATGCTCCAAGATCTTTGTTACTTTATTGTTGCGATTTTCCAAACACGTTGTTGTGCCCCGACTTTGGAGATTTCCAAAACGGTAATTCCAATACCATACAAACAATTGTACAAAGTAAAAAAATAATAATATATTTTTCTTCTAAAGGCCATTGTCATATTCTACAGAGATGAAGATTGTAAAGCTCTCATGCAGCAACTAATGATAGAATTCGTAATGCATAGTTTTAAATTATTTGAGGTAAGTAGATGACACATCAATGGTATTTCAGCACACTGCAAGCAAACTTAATTTTTATACAGTCGACACCTGAAAATGGATTCTCCAATGTAGCCGAAACGATAGAAAAATTTTACGCTTGCCTAACGCAAATTATCAAAAAGATTCCACAGTCTTTGGATGATAAATCGATCGCCTATGATCGTCTCATATTTTATGCGCTCAAAGCAATGACATTACCAGAAAATGGACCTATCAGATTTTCGATTCAATTCCTATCGCATTTCGTAATGCAATCCCGGAACTATCCACATATGACACAAGCTGTACTTGCAGCGGGCGAGGAAATATTGCGCACGGCTATAGTTTGTGTGGCCTGTGTTACTCCGCGACAACAAGTGGAAAAGTTTGCAGACATTTTTCTGAGTATCAATAAGAAGTACCCCGCAGAGATGGCAGTTTGGTTGAAAAATATAATGCATGCCCCTAATTTCCCAACGCCTTTAGTGGACGATGCTGATAAAACAAAATTTGTTACTCAAGTCATAAGGTAATTACATTTTAATGATTTAAAAAATATCGGCTAACGTGTCTCTTGGATTGCAGGGAAAAGGTAAACAAACGACTGCTGCAGCAGCATCTCACCGAATTTGCTATCAAAGCAAGAGGGCTTAGTGATAAATTTCAGTAAGGGGTTCTAAACATGATCTATAAATGATTATCGTGTAACTACATATTTTCCATGGTGTTTATTTAATGGCTTCTTATAAATGTACATAAATCATACAAAATTGCTATTATTGCAAATTGAGCAGTCTGTTTAGTTTAAACACTTAAACTTTCTCGCACTAACATACAAATATAATATATTTACATTTATATCTTAGTATTTTCGTGTTTTATGCATCGCTCGAATGACTTATGCTCATTATGTACGTTAAGTATGTTTATGCCATTGAACTAGAGAGTATAGATATTTCGTATATCGAAAGATTTATTGTCTGAAAAGACTTTGCACTACTTCGATCGTGCAGAAATGAATTGAGATTTGTGGAAGACAGTCAAATAAAGCGTTATCAACAAATATTGCCTTTCACAATTTATGTTCAGAAAATTTCATAAAAAAATCATTTCCCCTTATATAACCATAAATTTGATATACAATTTTGTGCCCGAATCATTGCAAACGTGTGTTTGTACTCATTCATTATTAGTTGAATAAAAATTCGCATTAATATTTTGTAGACTTAAGAAATGTACAAAAGTAATATTGAGTGTATGACATGTATTTTAAAGCGATCTTCTTTAACTATGTGATATGTATTTATGTGTACGTATAATTTGAAGATTTTTTAAAATAATACTTAACCTCTTATTAATGACATATTTTAAAATAATAAATTCAAATTTCTGTGTCAAATATTAGTTTTAATGTATTCAATACATAATTAATGTTTAATAAAATAGTTTTTTTTATTAAAAACAGAGATATGTTTAATTTGAAAAGTGTCATTGGAAAAATAATTCCGAAAATTGTTCTATCACAGATGCTGTTGGAATTCCGTCTATTGGATTCGGAACGTCTGAGCATTATATAAACCATAATTCATCGCCCAGCAAAGTCGTAGTGCCCGACAAGTAAGAAATCATTTTCAAAGATATTATGCACTTCTATATGCTCGTTGGAAAATATTTTTTCTGGTTTTAAAAATCGTATTCTTTTGTTAGCTGAAAAATCATTTGCAATGTAGATGGAATAAGTGTTGTAGTAAACATGAATAATCATGAAACCAACAATCTTTATTTTTCTCGAATATTTCCCATGAATATGCTTCAGTTTTTTGTTTGAAAGTCGGACAAAATTTAATATCTTAATATCTTTATTCGTTTCTTTGATAAGAAAAGGTTTAACCAATTCGGTTAACTCGTATTGTTCGGTTTGCTGGGAATTAAAGAAACTAAAGCTAGTTCGTTTCAGTGAATTTTCAGTTCATTTCTTAAACATCTGTTGCTGTGTTGTCGGCCGTTTTGTTTTGATTCCTTTTGTGTTGTCCGCCTTTCCCTTTTGATTCCATCTTTATTTCGATTTTCTCTCTGTGCTGTCTTTCTTTTCAGTGTTGCCATATTGTCCATATTGTAGTGTCCTTTGTTCGTTACTTCTTTTTCTTTTCTCGGTGGCGTCGGTTGGTAATTCATTCATTTATAACTTACTCAACTGCCCCCAAGAACCAAGAGCGAATAAATAAGTTGAAGCAGTCGTTCCATTTGGCAGAATGGATGTTGACACTGGGAAGATCTGTCGATGTTGCCTAAGTTTGAATTCTAATCCTCTCCTTTCGATATACCAATCAGATGGTGCCGGCGGTTGTGTGGCAAACATGATAGCTTCTATAACCAACTTAGAGGTGAGTGGTACTTCTGTGCTTGCAATTCGCCAACATGCACTTGACAAATATCGTCGCATTATCTTTTCCAGCTTCGGCAGCATGACAAAATGCCCGAAAAGGTCTGCCTGTCCTGTGCTAGTGAGATAAATCGTTGCTATGTGTTTAAGATCAAATGTGAAAGCTCCAATAAAACTTTGAGACAATTGCTGCCGGATGTTGCTGTGGAATGCGATTCGCTTGAGAAGAATTCCGTGAGGGCTATTGGAATACAAACGGATGCTGTATGTGTGAGGAGTACACTATGCCAAACACTGGATTTTGCAAGTACTACAATGAAAACAAAGGAGGTTCAAACGGAAGCGGTTACTTACAATGAATCCAACGAAGAAGGCGCTAATGAGGGGTTGCAACTCACACATTGTGGAGACGATGCCGGCTTTTGCGAAAATAGGGAAAAAGAACGGACTGCCTTTAAAACATTACGTTCTGAACAACATTTCTCTTTGGTTACAAGTGAACACAGTGAAAATGGCGAGTCATACATTGTGGTGGAGACTGACAGTATTAATAACGATGAGTCTAGTATGCCGGAAGAGCACAAGTATCTTGTTCAGGAAAGTGTTGATCCTGCCGGCGATGAGATTATTGAAAACAATGAGGAGACATCCTCTTTTGACTTTTATGAAGATATGGAGCAGAATATGCCAGAATACAGTGAGACAAAATCTTACAATGGTGTTGGAAACGAGTGTATCAACCAAGCGAACGATTATAGAGCTGATGATGCTAATGAACAATATGCTAACGAAACAGGTGTGCAGACCGACATTGCTTCAAAAAGATTGCGTTCTTCTGGAAAGCGAAAGGAGCAACACAAATGCCCCATGTGTATAATGGCATTTGTAAGTTTAAAAGTGCTAAGACGCCACATTGCCAAGCGACACTCGAGCGTTGACATAGACGACGCCGTCTCCAAAACAGCCTATACCGCTGAAGTACAACAAGAAAGCGAAGAAAATTTGTCTAATTCGGATGTGGTTACAGATTCGCAACAAGAATTAACCGAAGTAAATGTTCCCAAACCTCGTCTTTTATCCCGAACTAGACATTCAAATAAGCTCAACGAACAACAATACTCCAGTTTCAAGTTCTATTGTGAATATTGCCAAGCTGGATTTGCCCAAAGGAAGACATTGACATACCACATGAAACAGAACTGTATGACTAGTAATTTTAAAGTAAGTTTCAATTTGAATTTTAAACTAAATAAGGTCTTCTACATATTTTGGTTTATGGATTCCAATGGGATTATTTGAATATTGGAAAAAAAATCGAATAATTCCGGTGGAAACTATACCCTGGAAATTTGTTCAGTTTCCATTTAAGAAATGTTGAATTTTTATTACTTCTTATACTATTGCTCATTATATAGTGCGCCCAATGTGAACGCATTTTTATATCGAAGGAAAAATTAGACGAGCACAATCTGACACATAAAAATCATCCATGCTTGGAATGCAAACACGTGTGCGATAGTGTTGAAGAATTGAGTGAACACATGATTGAGGTTCACAATCGAAATGCCCGAAATCAGTGTCATGTCTGTAAGAAAGGTAGGTCCTGGAACATGTTACTAATTTTAATAATATGCTTATTAACCTGAATTACTCAAGTCACTATTCCTCACTCCACAATATTTCTCATTTAAAATTCAAAGTGTAATGAGTAAATTATTTCCCTACATTCGATTCAATCGTTTGTTACGAAATCATGAAGATTGAAATCGATTTGTTGAAACGAACGTGTTTCTTTTTTTTCAGTATTTACGATGAAAGCGTCTCTTATTGACCATTTGCGTGTGCACAGTGGTGATAAGCCATTTGTATGCACCATTTGCGGTAAGCGTTTTACACAAAATTCCAATTTACGCCAACACATAATGCGTCATCAGAACAAAAAGGATTTCATGTGCGATCTTTGTCCGAATGCCTATGTCACTAAGGCAGAATTGTTTTCACATAAGCGAACGCACACCGGAGAAACACCATTTAAATGCAATTTTTGCAATACCAGCTTTACTTCGTCCTCCTCTCTACAAAAGCATGTTCGAAAACACACTGGGGAGCGGCCATATTCCTGTGACATCTGTCCCATGAGATTCACCGCCCTGAACATCCTTAAAAATCACCATAGAACACACACGGGTGAGCGGCCGTACAAATGTCTATTCTGTGAAAAAAGTTTTACGCAAAAAGGCGATTGCTTACTACACCAACGTACTCATGAGTTTGGCGAGATTAAATGCTTTTGTGGATCAACGTTCTCGAAAATAAATAACCTAAGGATACACTTGAAAGTAAAGCATCCAAATATGACCGATGAGGAAATTAGATCAATAAATGATCTACTGAAAGTCAAGTGCAACAAGGAAGAAGATACTGAAACACACATAACGCTGATGGAAGTAGGCGATGATGACGAGGGAGAAATGACATTGAATACCTCACGCGTAGATAATGGCGATGAAATGACGGAAATAGCTATGTAATTTGTGTGTTTTTATAATAAAAAAAATATATAAAAAGCCTATGTTTGAAAAAGAAAAATTTGTTTCATTCGTTTAAGCCAGTGTTCTGGATGCCTGTATGCCTATTCTTGTCGATGAAGTTATTCAATCTAAAAAATGGCGATGTTCATCAAAAACTGTATCGCATATATAGTTTTGTCAAACTAGAAGCACAAATAGTGACCCATACTCATTAAGCTTTTTTCTCGTTAAAATCTAAATCTAATATTTTGAAAATCGAATAAATTTAAGAATTCGGAAATGCAATAATTATGTATATAAAATTTATTAATATGATTTAGTATAAATTAGAGATATATATAGTAGACTTTATGTATCATAATATAGATATAGATTCTCATATAGTATGTATATGTACATGACTGTAAATGTAAAATAAAATAAAATAGATGGCTAGATAAATACATTAATCAAACAGTTTTAAGTCCCTAGCAATTTTTTTCAACTTATTGTCTAGTGTTTTGTCTTCGTGCTCACAAATATAGCTCTGTCTAGTTGTGCATTCCTGCCCGTGGTAGTTATATGCGTGCTTTGCACTGTTATAGGCTAATCTTAAACATCTGCCTTGGCCGGGTATTTCAAGGGTATTATTTAGAATTGACTCATTTTTATTTTCAGCTCCTTTGTCTTCTTTGTCGCTGTCCACGTCAATTGTATTGGATTCGGTCTCACTGTCCTTGGTGGGGGTGGTGATGCCTTCTTTATGTGACATCGCTATTGAGGTTAAATTCATATTGGGATTAACGGGCTTAGCCGAATTCGACCAAATCCAAATTAGTCCGGGATTTAGACCACCCAACCAATAATCACGACCCCGATGATTGGGCTGATTCAAAAGGTAAGCCATAATTTCCTCATTTTCTGATATCTTTTCGAATTCAGCCAAATGTGCGTTCAAAGCTTTGCAGGCTGAGTTTGCCGTTTTCCAATTCACTTGTTGATAGCTGTTAATGTAATAACAATTGTCGCTGATCCGGGTGAAGTTGGCGGGACAAGGATCTCGAACTAAAAAAGAAGAATTAAAATACAGATTTGATCTTCTTGCAACATAAACTAGTTTCAATGTTGTCTTTTACCTTCTTGCTGTTTGTTCCCGGCCATAAGATAGTAAATCAATTGTTCAGTCCTCCGTACTCTGCTCTCCAAATAATCCACACGATATACTAGTTTTTCTATGGCACCCAATAAATATAGATCGTTCTCCGACACTGCTCTAAATGTCTGCGGAGGTCCTCCTCGAACATTGTGCTGTTGCAAAGGAAGTGGCCGGTGTTGTTGCTGCTGCTGCTGAGCAGGAGATGTTGGTGGTAATTGCATGTTACCGCTGGGGGCTGTGCCGCCGAAAAGTTGCTGCAGAAATCCTGGCGGCTGTTGTTGTTGCTGTTGTATCATTTGGTTTGTCATTGGTCGAAATTGAGGATTCACCACCTGCAAAGGTGCTCTTTTGTGTGGTTCCAACTCGACACCAGCCTCTCCGATACGCTTGTTTATGAAAACATTCGACGCTGGCCTCTTGTATGCCGAAGAATGATAATTAATGGGTGGTTGGGGATTTGGTGGATTGGGTCCCATGCCAGGATTCATCATCATTTGATATGGCGGTGAAGGTGAACCTCCATATCCATTCATTTCACTGAAAAATGGAAGATCCTTAGATTCGCGGCGTCTGGAACTTTGACTGAAAAAATAAATAAGAAAATTGTTGTTTTATTTATGGCCTTCAAGTTTTAAAGAAAATATATTAAAATCCCCGACAACCGGGTTCACCAAAAAAATATGGAATTATTCAACAGAAGTGGATGTCATTTGGCATTATTCATACTTCTGGACTTTTTTACGACACTTCAAGGTTTTTTGCACAAAGTTTTTCCATTGGCAAAATATTGCCGCACTATAAAAATAGATTTATACATTATTCAGCTAGACTGTTATATTTAAAAATGAACTTGGGGTAAAACTATTGAAAATCCAAAAAGTGCAAGAACTTACACCGCAGCAGAAAAAAATAGACTCAAAAGAGCTAAAGAGTTGCTTCCTTTGGCCGTGCATCAGAATAAATGACGAATATTATTGCGAAAATATTCTGGAGGGTGTATAAAAGCCTTGGGCACGCAAACATTTTGGCCGCAGACCTTGGACATCTAAGAGGCACTAAATCAACTCAAGCAAGCGCTTCGCGTGTGACGGTTTCATTGGCCGTTTGAAGGTCATAATTTGTTCCAAAGGTGACCAATTCGAACAAATCTAAAGTTATTCTAAAATTTGATGCTATTTCCGACATTTTTTGCTTTCATTCAATAAAATTTAAAAAATGTAAAAATTGTATTTATTGTATTTGTTCTACCCAAGGCCTTGGATCTACCTTCTGTGAATATGCCATGAATTTAACTCAAAAAAATAATAAATAAATAAATTAAATAAATATATGAAAAATACACCGATATGTCATATTCCTAGTCGAGTAATGTTATAGCAAATTGGAATTCAAAATAGTTGAAGTTTTGAAGATGAGCAAATCCTTCAACTTCTGAAACACTTTCCCTACTTGTTTTCTTTGTCTAAACCTACCTGTATACATAGTCCTCTAAAACCTGGGACCATACCATATCCGAGGAATCTTCGAGCAATAGCTCGTGTGCATTCGTTAGTGACGCTGATTCATTGGCGTATTTTGTGGTAGCCGCCGCTGTCGTTGACGAAATGTTTTCACCATCATTGCCTTCATTTACATTATTGCATAATACCGAATGGGTTAGACTGGTAAACAATATCGCACAACAACACCATAACGCGCAAATGTAAGCGGTGCTATTGTTAGTGTACAGCCCGAGGCGGCGTGTGTGACTGCTATACGACGACACTGGTGGCTTTGGATTAAGGAATCTCTTTATTTTACACACTTTCATTTTTATGTTGAATGTTGTCTAGTTATGCTCTGCCCGGTGCAGTTGATTTGTGTGTATTAACAACTTATTAACAAATAAAAAAACAATTGATTTTCCTACAATGCACTTTGCATTTTTCCGACTTTCGATCTCTGTTTATTTATTTTTTGTTATTAAATGCAAAAACAATTTGAATCCGAATATTGTTTCGTGCGTCTCCACTTCGATGTCGTGTCTGTTGCTCTCCGCGGCTCGTAATAAACTGCTGCACGCATGCCCATTTGGACATCAGGTGAGTGTTTGTTTTGTTTTTGGTCTAGCTGGTTTGTTGTAACCAATGGTTATGTTGGCTCTGTGTGTAGAGTTTGGATCGATGCGAAAATGTAACTTTCTCCGACGCGTCGGATGCTTTATTCATATTCGAAGAATTGCGTTTTCGTTAATTTGTTATCTCTTAATTTGACTCAAGCCCTCAAGGTGAATGAGGTGAGTGTCGGCAATACTAAGCAGATATTTTACTTTGCAGCGTTAAGGAGTGTTTGGAGAAATGAGATATTCCAGAGACTACCATTTTTAATTGATTTGATTTTGTTTTCGATTTTATTAATAATTTTTCGCTTAAAATTAAAATACCAAATTAAATCTTAGCTACCCGTTCAGCAGTTGCAAACATCTAATATCTACCTATTTGTGTGCATATGTATGTATATATGTGAACATCGATATCTGCAGGAAATTTGCAGTTGAAAATCGAGTGAATATTTGTTCAAAAATTTTGTTTAATGCAGTATTGTCCTTAATTTCGCATTCGAAATAATAACAATTTAACCATATTTAATAACTTTGGTCACTTTTACAATAGCACCTTAATAAGACATTGAACAAAGATTTAATGAATATTAAAACAGGTTCGATGGCAACCGAGTTGTTTAAGCATTTAAGTAGGGTTGACTCAGACACTTTGTATTATCCCAAAAAACGGTTCAGTTTAGATTTCCCTTAGTTTCACTGAAAGCCCACATCACATAGTATATAATGATGTAGTGGATTTAAAAAAGGTCGGACATTCTTCACAATTGAATTCGTTCAAACATGTGTTATTATCACATTTTGGTTTTCGGATACAAGTGTTTTACTTGAACAGCCTCTCGCCGCACACCTACACATATACAATGGCACTTGGTGTACGAATAAGCCAAGGTCAATTTGAGGCTTCATTGAAATTGGTGACGCATTGGATACCCCCATTGGTAAATACAATGAAGCTTCATAAGTCAACAGTTTGATCAAATGCTAAAATATGCAAATAATTTAAAATTAAAAAAAATGTTTGTTTGACTAAAGTTTTATTTGGGAAATGAAGGGATTCTTCGAAAAAAGTAATATTTATGCTGCATACATATTTCTAATATTGTTTTGTTGGTGCGTATAATTAATATGCTTTCAAATGTTACGTCAACGCTTCAAGCAGAACCTTATTGATTAAGTATCAATTACAAATATTAAACATAATTTTTAAATATTCTTGTATATATATATATATATATATATATATATATATATATATATATATATATATATATATATATATATATATATAAACCCAAGAGTTGCTTTAAAAGGCGAAAGATGTGAACTGCCGAATTTGGTTTTCTCCGATGAGAAAACATTCGTTGTCCAGCAGTTTGTAAACAAAAAAAATGATTTGGCAAGTAAACAGCCAAAGAGGTCAGCTGAAAATGTGCACCTTCGGTTGGCCACCAGAACTCAAGGGCCGGCCATGGTGATGGTGTGGGGCCCCATAACAGCCGATGGTTGCTCTCCGCTCGTATTAATCGACCGTGGTATCAGAATAAATGCCGAATATTATCACTAAAATATTTTGGATGGTGTATTAAAGCCTTGGGCACGCAAACATTTTGGCCGCAGACCTTGAACTTTCCAACAGGACTCGGCACCATCGCACTCAACACGCGCCAACCAAGAATGGTTACAAAATCAGTGACCACCAAAATCAAATCACCACCAAAATCAAATGACCACCAAAATTGCAGGACACCAATCCGTTGGACTATCGTGTCTGGAGTATTTTGGGAAACAAGGTTAGCACTAAAAAATACCAAAGTGTCGATCACCTCAAGCAAGCGCTTCGCCGGAAATGGGCCGAAATACCACAGAGCAACATTCGGGCAACGTGTGACGGTTTCATTGGCCGTTTGAAGGCCATAATTCGTGCCAAAGGTAACCAATTCGAACAAATCTAAACTTCTTCTAAAATTTGATACTATTTTCGGCATTTTTTGCCTTCATTCGATAAAATTAAAAAAATTTAAAAATTATGGCGTCTTTTGTATCACCCTGTATAGGTCCACGTTTTCGTATAGTCCCCATAAAAGGATACCTCCCGACATGCGGTATTTTTATGACTTTTCTCACATTATTCAACGGATTTGTCTAAAAAAGGTATTTGTAGTCCGTAATAGATTGTAACTCATATGGAGGAACATTGTACATATAGGTTCCCGTTTTCGTATAGCCCCCGTATAACAGTACCTCCCGATATTCTGTATTAAGATGGCATTACCCACATTTTTCTACGAATTTGTCTAACAATTGGTATTTGTAACGGTTCCATCGGAATTCGGCATTATGACGATTTAAGCCACATTTTCTGATTTTCAGATTTGTATATTTGTACTTCATAATGGGGTCTACAACTGGCGTCAAAACATAGTCCATATTGGTCCTAGTCACATTTACTCACGAAATTATGCAAAATTTGGTATTTAAGACTCGCAATAGATTACAATCGTTGTAGAATACATTTGTCAATTTATTTTCTATAGAACGGCTCCAATCATTATCCTACCCATTTTACTGGATTCTGTAGTTCAAAGTGGAACACGTTTGAATCCAGATACATTTGCATACAAATGTTTCTTTTTTACCAAATGGTGCAGGGTGTTAGAATTTCCTGTCGAACTTAATGACTTTTTACTTGTTATTGTTTCTCCTAAATCTCCTAATTAGTAATTTTAGTACCTAAAATAATTTCGAATGTAATCGTCGTAATCAGCTAAATGAAATTGAAATATTACGTTGTTTCGAAGTATTCTGACCTGTTTTTATGAAAACGGCGTTAATGTATTACCGGAGAGAAAACGTCAATATTTATTAAGGTACGTTTTTTTGGAAAAGCCCCTGTTTTCTTGAAATATTCCACGAAAATAATGAAGTATTCAATGGAGATAGTGCAGGTGTATCCTTAGATCATTTTTGGACTCTCTCTCTCTCTCTCTCTTACCTCAAATTCTCAAGTCTCAGGGTAAAATATGAGAATGTATTAATGCCTACCTTCCGCACTAATTTCAATTCGCCTACAACTTAAGTTGCATTCATCAATTCGAAACATCGCACTCGGGTTTGGTTTGTTTGTTTGTTTTTTTTTTAATTAAAAAATTAAATAGTTTTCTTTTATTAATTTATATATAAATAAAGGTTTTTCCAAAGAAAAATAAAAGTTTATTATCGATATTTTGGCATTTGCTTTAACAATTAGATATAGTTTATGTTCATATGCAGGTAGTATGTTCTAAGCACAACATCTGACGAGCTGCCTTCTATCCAGCCCCGGAACGGCAATCGAATAGAAAGTAGCGAGGAGAGTTGGTTGTGTGCGTGTGTGTATGTGTGCGGGCGGTCATGTCTGCACGGTGGTATCTGAATGATGATGGTGTTAGGATTCGGTTCTTTTTGTATAATTTTATTATTTTTTTTTTTTACAAGATGGAAAACATATTACAGAGAGACCAACAAATTTCGTTTAATAACCGGCCAATTCGGCGAATGTGGAGTCCATTTCATCGGCCAAAGACTTGTATCTGTCCTTGTTGATGCCCAATTCATCTAGGTTTTTGGAAAGAAAACAAAAGAAAAACAGATATTTTCAGATTAGAAAGGGCGAAAAGTAACAGAACAAAAAACAAACTTAGGTGATAGAACAACAGTAGACAACAACAGGTGTGACAAGAAAAGAAATTAAAAGAAAAATAAAAACACGCACATACACACACATAAGGTGTCAATGTGCCAGTGGTGCAGTTAGATAGTCGGAAATATGAGACGAGTCTTTTTGCTCGGTGTAACGGTGCGAATCAACACAACACTAATCAGTCACACATACACTTGAAGAAATGTTCCAACGAAATAAATGACGCATATATATGTGTGTGTATTTTAAAGAAAATGTATGGGGAGAGAGTGGGTGGGTGTCTGAGTATATTTTTGGATTTAGCAGCACAGAACGTTTAAATGTCAGCCGTGAAGGAGCATGGCTTTGGTATGAAGGATAGATAGTACATGGCAATGACTGACTTATTGTCCACTCAACATTGCCAGTATTTCGTGAGATCAAAGAACGGCGAGTGATTACGAGCATTTATGACTTGAGAAAAAAGGAAAAACGTACAAAAATCCAACATCAAGTTCTTAGCACGATAAATTGTGCAGCGTGCATCTTGTGTCGGACGGTGTATTTGTGTCTGTCTGTGCATGTGCATGTATGTGGGTGTGGGTGTGGGTGTGGGAGTCTGTGCCAGTCTGGGTGGTGCAGAGAATAGTTTATCCTTGGAGCTTGGAGTCAAGTTCATCCATCACATGCCACACAAAAACATAATACAAAATCGAACTCAACAAGTTATAGGTAAATAGGCTTACAAAACAGTTTCAAAATTCGAATGTCGAATTTAATCACCTCATTCGGTTGCTGACTTAGCTTTTGTTTGTGGTTTGTTTTTACAAGAAACGTAGGCAGGTCGATTTTTATATTCTTATAATAAACGCTGTTATTTGTCATTTTTTACAGTGTATTTGGTGTACGTGTGAGTGTGTGTGTGTGTGTGTGTTCTGTGTTCAACTGTACATAGAATACACTCGCAGAATAAAATGGGTGTTGGGCGTGGTTAGAAAGCACACAATGTGTTTTATTTCAGGTTGAAGTGGTGATGGCGTTGTTCGATTGGACCAAGGAGGTATTTTACATGGGGGGACCTGTGTTTTGTTTTACAGAAACGGGAGTCCGTTATAATGTCACTCCAATACAAAAAAAAAAAAGAAACAACGTAACGACGATCGTGAGAATAACTTTTTACAAAATTAAAAAGAAAGAGTGTTCCCACAAATCGCTGCTTGAGCTGTTAGAGGGGCAGTGTGGGGTTCGTGTGAAGAATTCGTTTGTTTTCCTTTTGGAACATATTTTGTTGAGTGTAAGTGTGCGTGTGTGTGTTGTGTCTGTGTGTTTGGTGTGAATATTTGAATAAATTTAATATCCAGTAAGTTCGGCGAAGGTGGAGTCCAAATCGTCGCAGATTGCTTTGTATTTTTCTTTTTCTTGGAAGAGACGGTCTGTAAGAAGCATTATTGTTGTTGTTTTAATATTATTAAGAAGCAGAGCATATTAAAATAAAAAATAAAAAAATATTTACAAAATAAATAAATCAACTATGGGTTAGTGAACATTTGAAGCGTTCAGTCTTTTCCATCCTTTGATACAAGTGTTAGGTAGGGGGTAGCTGGATATTGACATAAACATACCTTCTAGCCTGTCGACTTCCTTCTGGAGACGCTTGACGTGCTTCTCAGCGTGTTCGGCACGTTGTTCGGCTTCCTTCAATTTAACGGTCAAGGTCTTCATTTCACGCTTGAATTCCTCGACACGTTGGTTGGCCTTTTCTTCGGATACTTCCAAAGATTTCAAAGAGTTACCGACAACCTACAACACAAACACAGAGGAGACGTTACCGTACTGCCTTGCAGAGGGGTTGCCCTTCAGTGGTCTTCCTTACCTTCAATTCTTCTTCGAGTTCCATGATCTTGGCTTCGCCGGAACGTACACGATCTTCAGCGACTTCCAACTCGTCTTCAACGAAGGCCAACTTGCGGGATACTTCATCGGATTTGGTATCAGCATCTTCAGCCAACATACGGGCTTCCTTCAATTGGTTGGTCAATTGATCCATACGTTGCTCATCCTGTTGGGAACGGTTCTCCAATACTTGGCACATACTACGCACGGCGGAAGGGGGGAAGACATTATAATAGGTATGCGTGTGTGTATGTGCGTTGTACTGGTCCACTTACCGGTTGTTTTCATCAGCAGCTTGAGAAGCTTCCAACAACTTTTGTTGGGCGCTGGTTGAGCGTTCTTCAGATTTTTCCAAATCTTCCTCAATTTGTTGGACCTTGCGATTCAAGGTGGCTACCTCAGATTCGGTGGCGGTCAACAATTTTTCCTTCTCTTCCAATTCATGATTGGCCTTTTCCAATTGTTCCTTGGATGAAACCAAATCGGCTTCAACTTGGACCAACTTCTTTTCCAAATCGCGAACTTCTTCATTCAATTTTTCGCAACGAGCATTGGCGTCTTTAGCTTGATTTTCACAGGTATCGGCCTTGTCAATGGCGTTATCCTTTTCAAGCTTCATCGCTTGCATCTTCTTCTTGATGGCATCCATGTTTGTGTTTTGTTGTTTAAGCTACTACGGCAGGAAGGAGAAAAAGAAGATATACACTGTAAGAAAGAAAGAAAGGAAAAAATGAAACCAAAGAGATTCAATGATTAACACGTTCGATTTGGGCAATGGTAAATGCATGAATTGGAAGAACTAAGAATTTTACAATAACAACATTGTTGTAATTGTAAAGCGAAGATATTCGGGTTCTTCCAAAGAAATGGTTAAAAGTCAATGCAGATTTTACGAATATCCCCAAAAATTTGTTTTGGGATTTTAAAGATTAAATTGAAGAAATTAAAGATTGGAATTTGATTTTATCAAAATTATAGAAAAAAACGTAAAACTGATTGTCTCTAATACCTTATTAAATATATCTTTTAGTATAAATGTATGATTAATTTATAGTTCTGGCTATTTTAAATATATTAAAGTTTGTATAGCAATACAAAAGAAAAAAAAAACAATGTCTGCATCTTAATAAAGTTTATCGCACTAAGTTTGCAATACGCCCAACAAGTATTGAGAGAATAATAAAAATTCCAAAACTTGAGAGTAGTTTTAATGAGAATCTTTCAAAATCGACATACATGTATTTACGCAGTAAATTTTGCTAAGTCGTTCGAAGTGAGCATCAGTTTTATTAGTGACTAATTAGAGGGGTCTGGGTTTTGGGACGCATTGTTAAAATTAGCTAGAAAACTTTGTTCCGATTGGCCATTGTTGATGAAAAACTTTTCCAAAAACAGTGTTAGACATTCCATGCATATGCAAGTCTAGGTAAATATACCTATTATACATTTTTTTTTGAAAATTCTTCTGGCTATCCTTCTCTCATTAACAAAAATTAGTTCGAGTTCAGAATATGAAGCAATCGAATGCTTCCTATTTAGGTGAATTATGGGTAGGTGGGCGGTGAAAAAGTTTTATTGGCTGTCATTGTGTCTGTGTGTGTGTGCGTGTGTGTGTATTTGAAATAAACAAAGTTACGTGGCATCCATTATACATTTCACGAATCATAAAAGCTTCGTGGCTTGCCCACGCATTTGCCTCGGCACAACAATGAATGTCGGTGAATGAAACACACACACACAAACACAAGTTCACCCATACATATGCACATCAATTCTGGCGAACGATCTCTATAATAATTCGGTACCTTCGTGAAAGCTCGTTGTTATAAAAATAACTCCTCCACACGGAGAAAAAAATTAATTTGGAAAATATTTTGGCTATGTATGAAATTTAAGCTTTGTATTGCCTCATTTTTGCAGCACTTAGCACTACGTATATATATGTATATAAACGTGCGTAGGTGTGTTTATGATCATGTATATGTCTATATTTATGCAGAAAGTTTCAAAATATCAGACTGTCTCTGAATCTTTGGAAATCAGTTTTAAAAAATTTTTCGATTCGAGCGATGACGTTGAGCAATGATCCATGGATGTTCTAGTTTCAAATAAAAGAAATCATCAAATCTCATCGTTATGATAAAGCAGATATAGACTCGTTAATGTGAATTAGATAAAGAAATCTGTACAAAATTATATTATTTTATCATTTGTACAGTTTTCTTTAACTTTAATTGTATTTAAATTATTTTTAATTTTTTTTTTCAAACTTATCATATAAAAATTTTAATGATCATTTTCTTAATAGATATTTTTTTGTAATTTTGAAAATTTTCCAAACACCCACTCAAAAACAATTAAATATTTGAATTAATTTTCATAACTATATAATAATATGTTAAAAATAGTAAATATTTCCAATGTTAAGCATTCTAATTGTAATAGAAAAATACTGTACAAATATGATTTTAGTGATATTTTATTTAAAATGCTATTTTTTTGCATTTCATGAGCTTTCTGATGGTAAAAAGGTTATTTGTAGGGAAATCTGTGTCTGTTTGAATTTTTCATTTTTTGATTAGTGGTGGGTGGGTGGATGGCTTTCGACTCAAGGCTGAATAGAGAACGAGAAAAAGCTCATTCAACGCCTAGGTATGGGGAATTTTATGAATTTCCCCAAGACTCTTGGCATAATAATAATTTGTGCATCTGTGAATGTGTTGAATGTATGTATGTATGTGTGTGTGTGCGTGTGTATTTTCATGTTGCCTCTCAATGTAGTTGTGCAAATTATACTGTTGTTGTTGCTTTTGCTGTCGCTTTTGTATTTGTCTTAAACACACTGACATCATTACTTTCAGCCGAAATATAAGCATGTAGGTAGGTATGAACTTTCAAAAAGCAATATTCAGAAAAGCGATTCGGTTACAAATTCCTTATTTGTAAGTGATAGAAATATCAGCAGGTGATGTATTTTTCCGAAATGCGACAGTAGTTAATAATATTATTTGAATTTCATTTTTTCCAATTTGAAATGAATTATTTTCATTTGTTCTTCTCGAAAGTTTATTATGTCATGAAACGCACTCTAACGCACACACACACACATTTTTACACATTCAGTCATTTTCTATTTTATTCACAGTTTTTGATTTCATTTTTTTTTTTTTTTTCAAAAAAATCTACAAAATAATTTGAAATATTTTTCGTTATTTTAAAACACTCGCATCTTTGAATTTATTTATTTTATATTTTTCAGTTTTTGTTTTTTTTTTTTTTTTTTTTTAATTTTTCACAAAATTATTATTACGGTTATATTTCCTCTTCTTATTGAGTATGAATATCCTTATTTTTTTTTCTTTTTGTAAGTGAAAAACAGCGACTAACCTTAGCGTTCCAAACACACTATACGCTGTCGAAACCCCGAGAACACTGATGCAGACCAACTTTTCGACCACACAAAGCCCCGGTCGCGCAAAAAAGTTTACCTACACACGATTTTTTTGTTTGAAAATCTTCACACAAATACAAAAATAATTTTGTTTTGATATTTTAAATAAAAAAATAAATTTCCCCCTAATTTTTATTTCGATCTCTCACTCTCTCTCGATCTCTCGCCTATTTTTCCGCTACACATATGCATGTCTGTGTGTATATTCATCGGCATTCTAATAGCAATTTATAAATCCCACAAGGTGCCCATAATACCAAAAATTTCCCACTGCAACTACTCATTTTCCTGCTGTTGTGCACAGACATGTCATTGTGTTTGTGAGTCCAAATATACATACTCATGCATGTATACATATACCCACACACATGCCGCAAAATGTCCATGTGAGTGTTACCTTCTTTCTTTTGGACGTTCTTATTCTTATTTAGAAGATCCTCGCACACTCTCCTCAACATATTTATGTGCTCTCTCTCGCTCGATGTCATGTCATTTCATCTCATCTCATCGCGATCTCTACGTCTGCTTTTCATTCTAAATATTCCGTGTGTATCTATGATTTTAAAAATAGATCAATATTGTGTGTATAAGTTTTGAAATTTCTATTAGAAAAAAATTTAGCCAGTCTATTTAGTATTTGAAGTATTTGTTCATCATCTTCTTCTTCTTCTTTTTTCTGTTTGGAGCAAAAGTTTTCAATTTTACGCCTCATTCAGAGACACACACATAAACATAGAGATATTTCACTACGAAAAAAAAAAACTAAACCAACTGAAAATTTAGGTCATTTTGTAAAATCTTCTTGTTTTTTTCTCACATTGTAAAAAGTTACAAGAATTATTTGAACAAAAATGAATTTGAGAAAAAAAAATAGAATGGATTCGTTCAGCTGTAGCTAAAACTAATGTGGCAGGGCGTCTTACAAATGTTTATATCAAAAATATACTATTTGGAAATTTGATCTAAATTTGTGTTGGTGGGTGTTTTCCAAATTTTATCATAGAATTTTTATATTCATCGAATAATGTGGGTGGTTGTTTGAAAAAGAAAACAGCAACAACAACGAATGTATACAAATTTTAACATATTCCACCAATTAAGGGTAATACGTAATCATAATCCGCAAAAAAAATATATGTTTGTACATATATACACATGTGTATGTATATGCGTGACACTGGAGAATTTCTATACAAAACCCACATACATCTGTATGTATGCACAATGTATATCCTTGAGCTGAAAAGTGTGGAAATTGTTCAAAATGAATCGAATACTAATGCCTTTTGTTTTAAATATCACGAAAATATTTTGACCAATATCTGTGCAATTTGCTTAACAAAATTATTACAGTTTTGAAATGTCAGTTTCTCTCCTATTCGTTAATAAAAAATATTGCCATTCTCGGTTTTTAAGAATTTTGCTACTTAATAATAACAACAACATAATATAAGAGTGGAATAATAAAATTTTGAACGAAATTGGAAAGAAGTTAAAAAGAACTGAACGACCAAAAATCGTTGGATTTAAAACTCAAAATCTTAGAGTGAAAATTTGAATAGAATCTAACAAAAGTAAAAGTGAAAAGACGTAAAACGCTTTTCTGACTGGCTTCTTCGTAGAGGAACAAAGGAGCTCTAGGTTGACTTAGTTCAACGTCGGTCCATAATATATACCCTACGCTCCGTTGACGTTTTATGAAGAATCCAGCCGATGACTCAAGCCAGGCAAAAAAGCGTTTTATGTATTCTCACACTTAATTCTATTTTCTTCCCATACTACCGATAAAATTTTAACTAAATTATTAGATGTGGGTGAGTTAAAAAAAATGCAACAAAGTCAAACGCTATAATTTTTAGATATCTTAAATTTTATTGAATGAAAGAAAAAAAATGTTGGAAATAGCATCAAATTTTATAATAATTTTAAATTTGTTCGAATTGGTCACCTTTAGCACGAACTAGGACCTCATTCCCGGCGAAGCGCTTGTTTGAGGTGATCGACACTTTCGTATTTTTTAGTGCCAACCTTGATTTCCAGACACAATAGTCCAGCGGATGGGTATCCGGAGAAGTTGGTAGCCAATGTACGCTGGAAATGAAGCGAGGAACTTCATGTTGTAACCTTTCTTGGGTGGTGTGTGCTGAGTGTAATGATGCTGAGTCCCGCTGGAATGTCTGTGTGCCCAAGGCTTTAATGCATCCTCTAAAATATTTTGAGATAAAATTCGGTATTTATTCTGATGCCATGATCGATTAATACGAGCGGAGAGCAACCATCGGCTGTTGTGGCGGGCCACACCATCACCATGGCCGGCGCTTGAGTTCTGATGGTCAACCGAAGGTGCACATTTTCAGCTGACCTCTTTGGCAAGAAAACACGATCATTTTGTTTGTTCACAAACTGCTGGACAACAAATGTTTTCTCATCGGAGAAAACCAAATTCGCAGTTCACCATTTTCGGCCAAGCGAAGCAACTCTTTAGCTCTTTTGAGTCTATTTTCATTCTGTTGCGGCGTAAGTTCTTGCACTTTTTGGAATTTTAATGGTATTTTTTCAATATTTGGCGAATGGAATATTGCGATATGTTCAACTCACAAGTCATTTTTCGGCCACTGCGACGCGGGTTTCAATCAAGTCGCTTCTTCACCTTTCGAACCATTTCTGCTGATGTTGCTGTTTTCTTCCGTCCACTTACTTGACTTTGGGGTACGCTACCAGTATCACGGTAACGAGCTATGGCACGAGACACTTACGATTTATTCACATTTAAATGCTGGAGAGCTCTGACGATAGCCACTTGTGGTTTTCCAGCCAAATATAAAGAAATCCCACTATCACGCTTGAATTCCATCACGAATAACTTTTTTCCGGAAAATTCTCACCAAAGTACTTTAGTACGCTTGTAAATAATATAATGAGCTGTCACTGGAATAATTTTAACAGCTGTCGGACGAGTGGCTAAGAAATGACAGCAGTCTGAAATTGGTTGCATTTTTCATCTCACCCGTATGTTTTTGTGTTAAAGTGTTGACCTCTTGGTTGGGAGGTACTACATATCTAATTTCTACATGCTGGCCGAAATATTGTAATGTTAAAATTTGTAGGAAAATCATTTTTGAAATATGGAGGTGTAGGTTCCGGAAGCAGTGGGACGATATTGTCACACAAATACTACGAGGAATACTCCTCTTATGTTCTATGAGATATTTGTTTTTTTTATTGGGGGTTATTTGTGTGTGGAACTCGATCTAAGTTTAATAGAAATATTACGACGTGCTAACTCTGGAGGAAATCGGATATTCTCTGGCACATCAACCAGGCGGACGAACATAGTGTTTAACATTTTTGTTCTTCTAGGAGACCACACCAAATTATAAATAAAAAAAAAATGAAAATATTATGAAACAATAAAACAAATACCGTATCCCAACACAGATCGTTTTATAGTAAGGGTTTTTGTTGTAGCAAACAAAATCGAGGGAACTGTGGAGGATTGGTGGCTCGTTCTGAACAATTGGTGAACATTGAAATTTGTCTTAATTAAATTAATTAAAAGTCTTTATAAACAAGTAAAAAAGCAGGTTTGTTTGGCCGGGCCGAACTATTAATACCCTCCACCATTTGGAAGGAACTTGAAAACTTTCAAAAAAACTTGAAGACGAATTTCCAATTCCAATTTTGAAACAATTCCGGTGAATAATGTTGCTAAAACCATTAAAATACCGAATATCGGGATGTACCGTTATATGGGGGGTATACGGAAACGTTAACCTACATACGATTTTTTTTCATAGGCTGTAGTACCCATTACGAACTTTAAATACGAAATTTGTTACAATTCCGGTGAACAATGTCATAAAAATACCGAGTATTTGGAGGTACCGTCATATGGGGGTATAGGAAGACTTGGATGTGCATAAAAAAATGTTTGTCATAGGCTGTGGTACCCATTACGAACTTCAAATACGAAATTTGAAATAATTTCGCTAAATAATGTCGCTGAAATCATGAAAATATCGAATATCGGGAGGTACCGTTATATGGGGGCTATATGATAACGTGGACCTGCATACAAAAAAATGCCCCATTTACGAACTTAACCTGACTACTGGTTAACCATACATGTTTAGCCTTCTATCTAAATTTTTCGAAAGATAGTGTGATAACAACAGACAGACGGACATCGCTAGATCGTCTTAGAATTTTACGCCGATCCAGAATATATATACTTTGTAGGGTCTATTATAAATATTTCGAAGAGTTACAAACGGAATGAAAAAGTTTATATACCTTCCATAGAATGGTGGAGGGTATAAAAAATGAAGGGATTTGACTATTCTGAAAGAGTAAAAATAGTATGGCATCCCAACAACTAAATACCACTCTGGACAAAATCTAAAATACGTCCGTATCTGCACATTATAACTCCCGAAGAGAGTTTCCGATCTGGTACAATCGGTCCAGATTTTCGAAAACAATGTTTTTCTCTCATAAAAACACAGAAGTATACACTCAGCTTACAAATCCTAAAACAAAACTGGGAAAATAGGTTAGTAAACCTTTCATCTAAAGTACTTCTTAACATCCAAATTTTAAAAACCTATATATATATATATATATATATATATATATATGTGTGTGTGTGTGTGTGTGTGTGTGTCGTGCGGTACCGTTATATGGGGACCGATATGACCCATCTTCGAAATTGACCGGCCAACCTATAGCTTCCTATCTTTATTCGTTTTGACTGTGGCGTAATTACTACGTATGGGCGGATGGGCAGGGCTAAGTCGTCTTAGAATTTTACGCTGATCAAGCATACATATACTTTCTTGGGTCTGAAAATTATTATTTCGATGAGTTTCAAACAGAATGACGAACATAATATACCCTCCATACTCTGTATGGTGGAGGATATAACAACTAATCTTACATTTTTTGAAAGCGTGCCCCTTCGTGAAGAAGTAACCAAAATAGTTGGCTGATATTTTGCATTGTAAGAGAGAAACAAATATTACGATGTGGAATGCTCGGATTAAATCAAGGCCCAAATAGGACAGGAAGACTACTTTTGACAACCATTTGAAAATAAACTTAGTTATATTAACTTTGACGTTTTTAAATGTTAAATCACAATATATATTCTCACAGATAACGACCCTATCAACGGGATTCAATTGTGGACTTTTTAAACCCGTTATATTGCCATTTATATTCCTTCAAAATTTATTTCCCAATCAAATTAAACGGATATAACGCCAGTCTCGTTAGACATATTATGTTACCTATTTATTGTATCCGATTGGTCCAAACTTGGTACATCGTAATATTATTGTCAAACCCCTTCTGGTACCCCCACAAAATGTCAATATTTTCAATGAAAATAATTTACTACACAGAAAGAGAAAGGATGTTCCGATTTTGTTCCAACTTTCCGAATCTTAATATTAGCATCAGAGCTAGCTCAGGTAATAAATAATTATAACTGTTATAGAATTTGAAGTAAGTGTCCAAATTACACACATCACAATATTTTTATTAACCCAAGGTCCGATGTAAAGATAGAATATATCAGCTCATCCATCTGGTATCTCCCCCACAAAGGCTCAACCCTTTAAATCTCTTTCTGAGTGAATTTATGCATGTTCACCTGTATTAAGAGCACAGGTCGAATTTTTAGCCAATACAATTGATTTTTTTTTCTGGAAGGAGGTCTACTTAACCTAAATTCGAAAATATCACAAATTGTACTCCAGCACTTGGCGTGCATATTTCCCAGTTGTACAGTCTACGTCCAAAAAAGGGCCTCATACCGAATTTCAGATATTTTACTCAATAAGAAGCCCATGGGATTAAACTGTTAAATGATATACATTGAATTATGTTGTTATATTGTTTTATACCCTCCACCATAGTTTGGAGGGTATATTAAGTTTGTCATTCCGTTTGTAACACCTCGAAATATACATTTTAGACCCCATAGAGTATATATATATATTCTTGATCAGCATAACATTCTATGTCGATTTATCAACGTCTATCCGTCTGTGGAAAACACTCTAGCTTCCGAACTAAATGAAGTAGGTTGATAAAATTTTACTCAAATGTGTATTATGTCTGCAGGACTTTTGGTATTGAAAATGGGTCATGTAGGTCCACGTCTTCGTATAGCCCCCATATAACGGTACCTCCCAATACGCGGTATTTTGATGATTTTAGCGACATTATTTACCGGAATTATTTCAAATTTGGTATTTGAAGTTCGTAATAGATACTATACAGCGTAAAACAGAAAATTCTCTGTGCAGGTCTACGTCTAGTCCCCATATAACAGAACCCCCAATATTCGGTATTTTGATGATTTTAGCGACATTATTAACCAGAATTATTTCAAATTTTGTCATTGAAGTTCATAATGGATACTACAGCCTATGACAGAAAATTGTGCGCGCACGTCCTTTTTTAACCCTCATGGTACCTCCCTATATTCGCTATTTTGATGATTTTCGCTACATTATGAACAAATTTTTTTCAAGTTTCGCATTTGAATATTGTAATAGCTTGTGACAAAAGTTGCCTATGCAGGTCCAAGTCGTCGTATAGACCCTAATATACGGCTACATTCGGTATTTTTAAGATTTTAACAGAATTTTTAACGGATTTTATTTTTTGAAAATTGTTAAATTTGTATCTAATGGTGGAGGGTATTCAAAGTTCGGCCCGGTCGAACTTTCAGCTTTTTTACTTGTTTATACCTTCCACCTTGGAAGGAGGGTATATTAACTTTGTCATTCCGTTTGTAACATCCCTAAATAATCGTCGTAGACCCCATAAAGTATATATATTTATATATTTGTCAAAAATTGGTATTTGTTGGTCATAATGGGTTGTAGCTTCGGTGGCGAAACATTGTATGTATTGGTCCACGTTTTGGTATAGCTCCCATATAACGGCATTTGCCATACTGCATTTTGATAATTTTTGCGACATTTCTTCGCGGATTTGTCTAAAAATTGATATTTGTGGGTCCTAATGGGTTCTAGCTCCGTTAGCAAAACATTGTACTTATAGCCCCACATAGCGGACCTGATATTCGGTATTTTGATGATTTTTGCCACATTTCCCCACGAAAATCTCTAAAAATTGGTATTTGATGGTCATAATGGGTTCTAATGTTTCCTTTACCCTAAGGTGGATGGTATTAAAAGTTCGGCCGAACTTAATGTTTTTCATTTTTTTAATACCCAAATAAAAGACAATGTTTATTTAGAAAAATACTGTTTATTTGTAAAAAGTGAACCAAATGATACGCTAATAAAAATGATTTTCTTTATTAAAAGCTATAAATTGTTACATTACATTAATTTTTTGGTATTTTCATCCTAAAAAAGGCAAATGAACGATCGATATATCGCTAACGCAAACATCTCAATGGTGAGTAGGTATTTGTGGGATACGATTTAGGAGTATGAATGTCTCAAATGATGGTGCAGCGGTACATAAACGAATATAAGGGTTGGTGGGTCTAACGTATGTGTGTCGAAAGATTTGGACCAGTCGGACCTGGTTTAAGTAAACTTATAATGGGATAAGCTAAAATGATGAATGTACTGTATAATTGTCGTTAGTAGGCAGATATTGTTAGTTGTTTATGTATGTGTGTATGTGTAAAATACATGTATTTTGTTATGGAAAAATGTGGAATGCAACGTTGTCCTTTGTAAATACATATTTTTGTTAAATACATTTGTTTTTTTGTTATGAGTACTTTTTTCTTTTCCCAAAAAGGAATTGTTGTGTGTGTGTGTTTGTCCTTTTCAATGTGTATTGGACGATCGCTCGGCGCCTGATTGCTTGGTTAGTAGTTGTTTAGTTCGGCATATTCTAGTTCTTGGGCAATTGTTTTGTACTTCTCTTTGCTCTTGCTAACTTCCTCTGCAATAAAAGGCAATAAATGCGTGAGTAAAAACGCCAACATTTTCTTTTGATATGCAAAATTGTATAATGTTTATTATTATATACTTTTATGTATGTATGTATGTTTAAAAAAATAAAATAAAAAGAAGATTTATTACATTTCCGATATACACCAGAGGGTATATCCTTGGCTGATAATGGTACTGGTGATTTTATTACATTTTAATTCACATATAAAGTGTAAAGTAAAATATCGTTTGAGTTGAAACAACAAAATCCAAAAAGTGCAAATAAAAATAAATTATTAAATACGGGGGGTGGGGGTTCTAAAAACGCTCTAAAGTCTACGATTCAAAACTGCACTGCCGTTACAAAACAGGACACACGATACGCAGGTGACTCAGAGCATTTAGACATCTTAAAGTTTCCGAAATTATTCCTTGAGGATGAGTTCGACGAAGGCGGTGTCGAGATCGTCTCCAATATCCTTGTATCTTTCCTTTTCCAAGACAAGGTCGTCTATTTTTTATGGTTAAGAAAATAAAGAAAGAAATAAAAAATAATAAAATAAGTAAACAGAAGTCGGAAAATATAGGAAGAACAGAAAAACATGATTTCCCTCACGAAGAAACTCTCACTGTCACTAAACGCAGATACACACACGGAAGCACAAACATAGTTCCAGCTTGACATACAAATTACCTGCTGCAATGTATGTCTTCAGCTAAGCAGCGGGAGCAGCATCAGCAGTAATGGTATCGGCAGTTATGGCGTTTTATGGCTTTTAATTTGAACGATTGTCTCAAACTTCGTTCAAAGTAAGGGCTGTTATTTTGTTAGGATTTCATTAAAATAGGAATTTTTTCTGTGCGGCGTCATGACATGCAATCAAAGCTTACAAAAAGAATTTGGCAGTATTGTTTTAGCGGTTGTGGTGTGCGCGGACAAATATTTAATCGAATTTATTTAGGACGCTGGAGCTTCCGCGGGCGGTGCGTCCGCAGGAGCGGCAGGTGCTTCAGCTGGAGCTGGTTCGGCAGGTGGCGCTGCCGCTTCTGGGGCTGGGGCTGGAGCAGCAGCATCAGTCGGAGGAGCTGCACCCTCAGCGGGAGCAGCTGGTGCTGCCCCCTCAGCCGGAGCTGCCCCCTCAGCCGGAGCTGCTGGTGCTGCACCTTCAGCTGGGGCGGCTGGAGCTGCACCTTCTGCTGGAGCGGCTGGTGCTGCACCCTCGGCTGGCGCAGCTGGTGCTGCCCCTTCAGCGGGAGCGGCTGGTGCTGCTCCCTCAGCTGGGGCAGCTGGTGCTGCACCATCAGCGGGTGGAGCGGCACCTTCAGCAGGTGGCGCAGCACCTTCAGCAGGGGCAGCGGGCTCGGAACCAGGTGGTGGAGGTTCATAGTTTTTAACGAATGGTACCTCAGCACCTTCTGGAGGAAGATCAATAGCGTACTCAAATGGTGGTGGAGGTGGTGGTGGTGGTGTTGGCTCCTTTGGTGGTGCCGGTTCAGGTGCCGCTTCGCCTGCGCCTGGCGAGCCTGCAGCACCTTCTGCCTTAGGCGAACCTCCGGCAGCGGCACCTTCGGCAGCAGCTGCAGCCTCGGCTTCGGCAGCAGCAGCGGCTGCTGCAGCTTCCGCCTCAGCTTTAGCTGCCTCCGCAGCAGCAATTTCTTCTGGAGTGGGTGTGGGTAGTTTCGGCGTAGGTGGCTTGGGATTGCGTGGTGTGTAGAACGGTTCCAAGCCGGGAATCAAATCCATGAACGCCTCGTCCAAACTATCACCAATCAGGCAGTAACGCTCCTTTTCAATAATGTATTCGTCTTTGTGTTTTAGTTGGAAAATGGATATTGATTTGAAATGAATAGATTGCAATGAAAGAAAACTCAATAATAGAAAATAGTGCATGGAGATAGTAAGAAGAATAGCTTAGGAATCTATCTAAATCGTATAGACAAATATCCACAAGAAGGAGAAGATAGAAGGTGGCGGGAGAGGAAGAGTAAGAGGGTAACAGTAACATTGGCCCAACACGAATGTGTATGTATGTTGCGAAGAACACTTAGGAAAACAGGATTACGCCGGACAGGTGTTATCAACACATGTGTGTTTTTTTACTCATAAAGGCGGATGATCGACACTGACAGTTAGTTAATACACACAAGACAAATCCTCTGGATTCAAAGTCAGGCACGTGCTCTCGTTTTGTTTACATCCATTTTTATTGCGGAATTCCAGTTATAGTTTACAGTTTCTTCTGCGAAAAGGCACAAATATATTTAGGCGGGTGGAGCGTCGGGAGCTGGAGGTGCTGCAGCACCCTCAGCAGGTGGAGCAGCGCTCTCAGCGGGGGGAGCAGCAGCCTCGGCAGGTGGAGCAGCACCTTCTGCGGGTGGAGCAGCTCCTTCAGCAGGAGGAGCGGCACCTTCTGCGGGTGGAGCAGCTCCTTCAGCAGGAGGTGCAGCTCCTTCAGCAGGAGGAGCAGCTCCTTCCCCTTCGGCAGCAGGTTGTGGTGGTGGCTCTTGGCCGGGCTCATAATTCTTTACATACGGCACTTCAGCGCCTTCTGGCGGCAAATCAATGGCATACTCAAATGGTGGTGGCGGGAGTGGTGTTTTTTCTTTAACAGGCTCTGGTGGGGCAGCTTCGGCGGCAGCACCGTCAGGCGCCGCAGCACCTTCTGGAGCGCCTCCTTCGGCTGCAGCAGCCGCAGCAGCTTCTGCTGCAGCTGTGGCTTCAGATTCGGCGGCTGCCGCAGCTTCTGCTGCAGCTTTAGCGGCTTCGGCCGCGGCAATTTCTTCTGGTGTTGGTGTTGGCAACTTGGGTGTCGGTGGCTTAGGATGACGATCATTGTAAACGGGTGGCATGCCCATCAAGTCGACAAACGTTTGATCCAGCGAATCGCCAATGATGGCATAATGTTCCTTTTCGTAGATTATCTCATCTGTTGTGTTGCATTTTTCAGAATGGGAGGGTTTTATGATTTGTGGTGGTGGTGGTGGTAACAGTTTATTTTTTCGGGGAGTTGATCGCACGCAATATTTTTTTATTCAAGAATTTGGTTTTGTTAGCGTTAGTGAGCGTTATTTTGGAGGCGTAGCGGAGGTAAAAATAAGGCACAGATATATTGTTTTAAACAAAAAAGAAAATAAATATTCAATTAATTGAGAAGGAACAGCAGTGGTTGTTGCTTGTAAAATAAGAAAAATGTCAATCTTAAAAACAGCTAATATATTTATTTATGTTACGACAATCGATCGCTGGGGAATGCAGGCAAAAATTACGTAGATGTGTGATCCAATAACAGTTCAACACTTATGTTTGTGTATCTCAATCAATTACATGGACGAACGATCAGTCGGTCAGTCAGTCGGGCGGTCGGCCAGTTAGCCAGGCAATGACTTGGCAGTTAACTGGGCTAACTTTAAAATGTCTTCTCTTCTATCGCGCGCTTCAGAACAAAATGCTGTTGGTGGTTTGTGCAAATTGCAGCGTTTTCTTTGTTTTTAATATTTTATTTTGTAATAGTAGTTATATAATATAAATAATTAAAAAAGAAACTGTAAATTATAGAAATATACTATATATTGTCTTTTTTTGTTTTGTTTTGTTTGTTTTTGTCGCAAAATAATTATTTTCATTCTTCTTCATGGGCATGTAAATTTTAAAACGAAATACATTTGTAAAGAAGAAAATAAATACACAATATTACATATCAATTTAAACAAGTGTTTGTTGTTGTGGGTTGGTATGTAGGCAGGTATGCTCGAAATGAATATAATGCTTAAAAAAGGAATGCTAAATAAAAGCTTGTCGTAGAGTTAGTTTTATAAATTTGTTTTCTTTTTAGAAAAATTTTGATTTTTTTAATTGAAGAGCTTACGAAATATTACACAATCGTAAAAATGCAAAGGATAGGATCTCTTTTTACAACATTAACATTATTAATACAGAAGAAAATACATACAATTCTTTGTAGAAAGGCGATTTTGTGAGAATAAAAACTTTTCTCTTCATTCTCGAAGTTCAAAGAAAAGGTGATTTATTCAGAATTGTTAAGGAAGGTTTTACTGGCAATATGGATGTAGAAAGAGAGAGAGGAGGAAAGGGACATTGTTATTATGTTGGATAGATAGAATAATGGAATGTTTCCTTAATATTCCTTTTTGTCTTTGATTTTTTTCTTAGATTAAAATTTAATGAGGGGAATGATGCTGATACTTGAATGTTGGGGTTCTTGTTGGTTGTGGAAGCATTAACGTCATAGAAGTTAAATGTATTGGAGGAAAACTAAGTCGCTTGAGTTTATCTTAGTATGTGTATGGAATAGTAATAGTATAATTCAGTTAATGGACTATTTCTCTTCTTTAATAACGGACATGTCTCTGTGCATGGGGATGTATGAACGACATTTGTTTTTTTTTTTTTGTTTTTGTTCCCCTCCTTTTCGTTTGTGGATTCTCATTTGTTTGGTGATGGTGTCTACACAACAATCCTTGCTGTATCAAATGAGTCCTTAGGCTAAGTAGTATGGTAGTGTTTTTGCTGTTCTTGTTTTTGTAATTTTGTTTGTTTGTTTTTTTTTTTTTTACTGTAATTCAACTTCGACTATTACATATTTTGAATATCATGCAGGGTGGCCTCCATTTCTTCTTGAAGCAGTTTGTTCTTGGCCCGTTCGTTCATCAAGTCATCTGAGGCATTAAATTATTTTTGATTGTCACACAACACGGGGGGTTAGCATTGGCAAAATTGGGCGGCACAACAATAAACAACACAGGATTGGCGGATTGTTTGTTGGTACCGTTTTGTTTTAGTAAAAAAATGTCAGAGAACATTTTGTTTAGGCAGGCAGGCAAAATAAAAGTTTAAGCGTGTAAGTAACATAAAAAAAAACAAAAAAGAAAATAGAAATTAAAATAAAAAATTATTCAATGAATAAACGAAAACACAGGGAAAACAAAAAAGTGATTAACATTTGACCTAGACTTGAGCGGATATAAATCCATTTCATTTAAAATAATTTAATCTTCTAGCTCCTACTTTGTATGTATTTGAGAAAAAAAAAACTACAAATCTATTTGCAAAGTATTAACTGATGCTTTAGCACTTACCTTCGAGCCTGTCGACTTCCTTTTGCAACTTTTGAACAGAACGTTCGGCGAATTCAGCGCGAGCTTCAGCCTACACAAGGGGGTAAGGTAAGAATATTTTTATTAGTTTCCGTTCAGCGAAAGAGAGAAATAAGCGTGATAAAACAAAGACAATTGATTTCGTTTTTTTATAATGGATATTCGAATTAAGTCGAAGGATCACATTGTCTTTGTTTTCATGCCATTTTGATTAAGAAAAAATAACATAAGCTTCCCAAAAATTAAATAGAAAATTGTTTATACTACCAAAACCAGCGTTAAACACAAAACATATTCTCTTTTTTGCATGTTTTGTAATCAAGGATTTTACTAAACTAATCGTTTTGAATTAACAATAAATGCGTTGTTCTTTCATCACACTGGGAGAGGGTCGAGGTTGGTTGGTTGGTTGGTTGGTTTCATGGCATACAGATATGTATGTAGTATATGTTAGAAAATAATAATAAATGTTAATAGTGATTTAAACAGAGGTGTACTTAATTAAAGCAATATAATAATCAGGCAAGCATAAAACAAATCCAGTGCAATCCGGAATAAGTGATGGTAAATAAGTCTAAAAAGAAAGTCCCTCAATTTGCCCCATCTTTCAAAAACAAAATTTCCCATGGATTTTTCATGATTGCACTGTACTAATAATGACTTTTTCATTCTCTAGCTAGAGTATATTAATTTAGCTTTAATTTTCAATGATAAAACCCAAACGTTGTGTTAATATTACCCATTAATCGTACAAACATCGGATATGTGGCACACAACTTTAAACATTCTTATATTCTTTTGTTCGATTTGGGCTTTCGGGCGGGCATTTACTTCCATTGTAATTTCGACTACTGCAAATAACTACTTCGCTAAGCAAAGTTGTTATACGCTGAACTTAGCGATAATACCACACACATAGACTTACAGCCTGCAAATTGTTTTTGAGATTATTGATTTCCTTTTCGATAAGACTTTGCGTTTCACGGGCCTAAACAAAAAACATGAGCATTTAAAAAAGTTCTCATTTTGGCGTTTCTCTTTCTTTTTCTTTCTCTCAAAGACTACCATTTTTGAATTTGTTGATTTGTCGATTTATGTTAGAAATGATTTGCAATAAATGCACAAAAGGTTGTTTTCAATTTTATATGCCAAAAAGTGTACGTTTTGCCAAAAACACATTCCTCAATCGGTAGAAGAACAAAGAATATGCAAAATGGGTCAACTTTGGTAAATACTCATGTTTTGTCTTGACATATTCTTTTTTTTTTTTTTGGTTTCGTTTGTTTCGGTTCTAGGGCAGCGCGCGTCAATTAAAAAAAGAAAATATCGCATTGATTTGTTGTTTGATTGCTTGTTGTGGATAATCGACTCAACAACTGCCAATGGAAATGCTTCTATGTACATTTTGAACTAGTAAAATTGAGAATAACAATTTGTGCAATTTAATATTTTCTTTCTTTAGTTGTGTATCGAAAGCAAGGAGGCTACTAGCTAGCTAGGCTGGTGTAAACATGTGAGGACTTTTTCACACTACTTTAAGACGTTTTTAATGGTTAACATTTGTTTTAGTATGGCTTGTTTCACATAATGTAGTTACCCCATCACCATTCACAATGGAAACACTTGGCTTCAATTTTGTAATACCTCTTTTAGCTGATGATCCAAAAGTCTGAGCTGTGATTCTAAAGTTTCTTCTTTGTGTGTAGCCTTTCGTTTGGTGATGGTGGTGGTTGGCATCATTTCAGTTCATAATGCAAACGATTCGATTAACATTTCAATTTGGTGGTGGCACGGGCAGGCATTCAGGCAAGGAGCATTGTTACCAAAAATTCATTTTGGAAGGGGTTAATAGAGTTTGGCATGCAAAATTGTATAATGTTTTAAGTGTTAGAGCGTTTGCATTATTTTTCCATTATTATCGTGAATTAAAACAAAAGAAAATGCATCAATCAAAAAAGCAGCAAACAAAATATGAAAAAGAAACAAAAAAAAGAACAAATAACATTAAAAACAAAATTAAAAAAAAAAAAATAAAAAATAATCAAAAATTAAAAAATAATATTTTGAAGGCATCTCTTTAATTAACCAACAACAATAAAACACACACACACAGTTGATGCTAGAACATTTAAACCAAACCCCTAGACTTTGAGACCAACTCCCTTTACATAGGCAGAGTCATTGTCGGCGTCTTTCGGTGCAGATCTTTTCTTTTCAAAATTAAATAGCTTTTTTCTGGGAAGTCTTGTTATTTTTGTGTTTCGCTTTCGCGTGTAGCAAATCATATTTTCTTACGAAAAGAAAATACTTTTTGCTCTCTAAACAAAATCGTGTGTAATTTTATTTGATTTTTATATACCTCCTTGAGACGGGTGTTCAAGGTCTTGATTTGGTTCTTGTATTCTTCCTCGCGTTGGTTAGCCTATTTATTGTTGTTGTAGTTGTACGGACGCATGTACGGCATGAAGGGCAGTGATGGTGTGGTGGCATTTGTATAATTATGTTCGAATTAATAACGCCAGCATCATTACATTGTTCAATGTTAATGCAAGTTATATGTATTTTGGGATGGCAGGGGGAGGGGGATTGTTTGTAATATATTACATAGGGTGTATTGTTGTAGTGGGTTGGTAGGTTGGTTGGTATGTGAAGAGATGTAAAAAATTGTTGGTTTTTTAAGAGAAATAATAAAAAGATTATTAAGAATATATTCTTGAAAGAGAAATTTCATTAACAGATATCAAATGTCACGTGGACCTTCGATAAAACACAGTACACACACATATATACAAATACTAACCTTTTCTTCTGAAACTTCAAGGGATTTCAAGTTGTTACCAACGACGCGGAGTTCTTCTTCAAGTTCAACGATTTTGCTGTGGAAATTCGAATAAAAATGGTGATTTCAATTAATTTCGATATTCAAAATGGAAATGTATCAAAGGAAAATTATTTCAAATTGGTGCATTGTTGAATGCAATTTGAAATTATTTTCCTTTCCATGTCATTATCATGGATGTAAGAACAGCAAGAACAACATCAACAGCATTTAGGTTAGTCAGATATGCAAACGATTACAAACCTTTCAGCTAGTTCAACCTTTTCTTCAGAACGTTCCAGGTCTTGTTCCATGAGAACTAGTTTTCTGGCCACCTTGTTGTGGGATTTTTTGTTTGTTTGTGGTGGTTAGGCATACACAGAGAAACAAAAACGAGCGAGTGGGCATTCATTCAAGTATGATCCAAAAATTGGCGTAACGTTTAAAGTTAGAGGTTGGTTGGTTTGGCAGGATATTATAGCATTAGGTTATTATAGCAGCGTATTGAGCAACAAATCATTGGGGAAATGAGAAAAAGGAAAATATATGTTAATAACAGGGGTTTTCTCATTTTGGCGGCATAAAATCTTTTTTTCTTTGGTAAAAAATGTGAATGTTTCTGATTATCGAACATTGTGATCGTAACGACAAACATTACCAAGCAAATGATAAGTGTATGACGAGACTAAGTCTAACATTTAACTGAAACAGAACATGCTTTATAATTATTCTTCTTCTTTTTTTGCAAACATAAACAGCCAAAAAAATGCCTTGGCTGCTTCGCAACAAATTATTCACATTTTTTACAAAAGTTTAAACATGATTAACTAGCTAGCTAAGTCGTCGTCTTTGTATCGTCTTTGATTTGTACAAAATTTGTTGTTTGCTCTTTTTGAGGTTAGGTTTGGCGTTTTTTTTCTCATTTTTTAGTATTTATAACAATAAACATTTGTAGCAGGCGAAATAACACAATATTTAACATAAAAGAAAAAACTCGGTATAATATTCGGCTCTTCGAAAAAAACATACTTTTCTCCTTGTTCGGCACGTTCTTCAGCACGCTCCAAATCAGCTTCAACCATGGCCAATTTACGGGCAACCTTTTGTGTTGTGTAGTATTTGAGAAAGGTATTGAATTATTTCGCACACAACCCATTTTCGTTGGAAGGGAAAGAATTGAAACAAAAACATATATTTATGAGTTTACAATAGACTTCAAGGGGGGTTGGGTGGGTGAGTTTCTTTTGACACAAAACACTTATTCAGAGATACAGAAGCCGGCTGGCTGTCTGGCAGGCGAGCGGTCGCACAGCAGTATGCACTGAGACACTGCTAGCCGTTGTTTAGCACACTTGTCAACATTGTTTGCAGGTTCTTTGACATGAACTTGTTAATAGGCATTAGTAGCTGCGTTTCGAGCTTATCTTCGTTTGTATCGCTCTTGCTCTGCGCATCAAAGTAACAAATGTAATATATACAACGAGAAACAGGGGAACATCATAAAACTAACACATAACTAAAGAAAACTTGTGCCTCAACAATTGATTGAGTTTGGTTACAATTATGGCAATTTAGGAGCAATAATATTAAATAACTTCTTCTATCGACATAGTGCACAGCACATTGGGAAGCAAAACATTTTTTTATTATATTAACATTCTTGTTGCGATACTGATATGTTTTTATTTATGTAAATGTGGATAGAAATTTTACCTTTCGAACAAAAAAAAATAGGAAAACACATGTAAAAGTTGTAACGACGACAGTTGGCACACCCAGTGCCGAGTCGCCGCCACAATTTACATATGTTACACATAAAGATCGCTTTGTCTACATCAAAGCTAACAGCAGATAGATCCAAGTCATATTAACAATTCAAAGACGAGCAAATTTGTATTGCTGGAAATAAGCCAACAATCTTAACGGACTATTTTCATGAATTAGGTCATGATCTTTTTGTTTTGAAACGAAGAACAGTTAATACCAGCCCAAACGTCTGTTAATACATCATAGCAAGGCAATAATAGCCGTAAAAATATTTGATAGAAAGGTATTGGTTGATGAAACAATCAATGGGGTATTTTTTAATTTTGAAATCACAAATGAATCACATCTTTGAAGATGACTGACTAATAACAAACAAAATTCCATAATTTAAATGTTTGTTTTACCAAAATTTGCCCTTGCTAAAATACTTTATGAATGACTCTTGTGGTTAGTGAGTCGAACGTACAAAGTATATAGGCACATACATTTGTACATTAGTGTGGATTGGGTGTGATTGATTTCGAAATCAATCTAACATGACCCTGTTTTTGGCAATAAAATAGTTATTGAACTACTTTATTTTCAATTTGGATGCATTGAAAACCCCATGTTTGTTATGTTACCCAAACAATTGTTAGCAGCAAAATTGATCCACCCTAATGTACATACATCATATATGTTGATAAACACATTATATGCAGCACTTTACGTTTCTCTTCGCTCTCACATGTCGTTGGGCGCCAAGACATACATGATGTGTATGTACGTACATATGTCATGCATGAATCATAGATACCCAAAATTGATATTCAAAGAAAATGACTGAAAAAGAAATAACTTATTTTTATTGCATAACATTTACTTGTAAAGCGCTTATCTTCGCCGGCAAAACCAAGTAGACAGACGGACGGACGGACGGATTCATTGTGATTCATTTGGAATGTAAAGTGGTTTAATGGAATATTTAACTGATACCTGATAATTCAGATATTTTACCCAAATTATCGTGGTTTTGTTTTTAATGGGGTTAAATCGAGAATAAAAATGGATACAAAGGCGACTATAATTTTGAAATTTTGCCGTTATCCTTTTGAAACCCAGCTATAGAGAGACGACTTACGGCAATTGTATCTATGAGAACAAGTTTATGAAATTTTAATATTTGTATATCACTCATTTGTGCTAATTCTATCTCAAATATCTCAATGATTGTCAAGTATTTAATTTACTAACAAATTTACGAAGTTCATTTCACCATAATGAGTGGAAAAACTGCTTCAAGATATTGGAACACATATGTGTCAGAGTCCTAATATAAATATGACTGTATCATAATATAGTTATGGGATTTATATAGCTATCTTCACATAAAGTGAAATTTATATTCTCTTAGAAATATCTTATAGCATACTTTTGTCATGGATAATATAGCAACGAAATGCTTTAGAAGTAGGGAATGGTATTTGATAAACAAAATACTTTACATCAATCTTTTCCTGAAAATTTACTACTTCAAAATAGCAATAGGTTTACACTTTGCTTTTCATCCATGCTATTTATAATCCATTAATATGTTTTCCAAGAGTATTGTCGATAAATCGTTACCGAAATTAGGACCCAAATTATCTTATTGAAATGAATTTGTATATGTCAACTGTAGGCAGTTCTAATTGAAAATGTTAGTTAAATTCGACATCAGCTGTTTTTATCAACTGAAAAAATTTTTGAACGATTTTTTCGATTTCGAATGCAAGAGTTTGGACCAATTATTCCACCGAACTTTAGAGAAACTTTCATCGATAATATAGAATATAGTCAGTACTCATTGTTATCCATTCCACATTACATTAAGATCGCCTGAAATAAAAGCATTTTTCAAATATCCAACAAGAATACATTTCGCTCCCCAATGCTCTTTATCACGCTGCGTTTGCTCCGTCGATAATGCTAACAACAATAATAACAATTTTTAATGTAATTTTTGCTTTTCGTTTGAAGATCATAAATAAATCTTTATTAACTTTTTTACAATTTGATTGTTATGTTTTTTTATTATAAAAAAATTAAATTATGAATAAGCAAAAATAATGCTCAATAATTGTAATAATAAATAATATAATAATTTGATATTAAAGTGACAAAAAAAGAAAACAGAGCAAGAAATTTCAATTTAATTAGACTTTATACCACGAAATAAATACAAAAATACAGTTAGCGCAGCTGCAATATTTGCCGGCCTATCTTGCACGTTTGAAAAGAAAAGTACATAAGGCAAACTTTAGAAAGTATATTAATGTGACCAAAATTTAATGTTTATCCTCTAATTATTGCCATAATTGTTTTATAGTTTTTCATTCATTTCACATTGCATCATCATACACACCATGAGGTACTATTCTATCAAGTGTACATACGTATGTATGTGTGGTAATTAACCTCTCTTTTTTAACAATATGAAGTATGTTACAGAATTTCAATTTACAAATTGCTAGACAGTTTACAGTAATTTGTTGACTTTCATATCAATAAATATGTATGTATAAGGCGCTATATATACATATACAGTAGTAGTTTCATCTTATTCCGTTAAGCAGCACAAGTTTTCACATATACAATTATAATAATATAGATATTATCCGATTAGTTTTTGTTTTCAGATCTAGAACAACCAACTCTCAGCAACTCACAACTTCTTGGCAAGGCGAGCTTTCGTTATGTCCATTAAGGAAGTTTGGATCAAAGTACTAAAGCTGATAGCACTGTGGGAAATTTGGAAAGAACTTTGGGCATCAATCCCATATCTCGGGTTCCACGTGCAGCCAGCAGCCATTTGATAAATCATTTAAATACAATATATTTTGTTGATATTTCTAGATTTGTTTTATACAATGGAAAACGGACAATCAGGTTTGTTGCAGTGTTGGCGGAGTTGGTTGTTTCTCATCTGAAGTTGCATCATTGGGGATAGAATTAGTAGGGGTTGTAGTAGTTATAATATTGTTATTGGTGGTAGTGGTAGAAGATGAACAACTAGCATCGGCAATAAGTAAGCTATTGAAAGTGGTATTGATTTGCACCTCATCGTATTTCTTGTCAGCCTCCTCAGCAAGGAAACGTGCTTCCTTCAATTGATTCTCAAGAGCGTCCATGCGTTCTTCATCGGCAAGGGCGCGGTTCTCAAGGATCTTGCGAGCACTGCTCGGTGATTCGTTTAAGCGTTGCAGATAGAAGACATCCAAGATTATAAAGTGAAGTATTTTGCAATCAGATTCCGTTTATCCGCACGATCGTTTATTCATCGACCACATTTGCAACACACAGACAGAGGACAGAGGAAGTTGTGTAGTGGTGGTGCAGTCGACATAACAAGAAAGTGCCGAAGAATCACATGTGAGGGTAGTACAAAATACGCAAGACACACAGAGACATATCACGCGTAGGGATACAAACGATGTTTTTTTATTTTGGATTTAGATTGGTTGCCGTAGTAATTTCCGATCCAGGCGGTTGTCGTCATTGTTACAAGTTGTAGGTACATAATCCATAATTTTTGGTTGGTTGGTTGGTGATATTATTAAGAAGAAATAAGAAAGATATATTTACTTAAACAATTACGATGCAATTGCATTTTCAAAGCCACAATCCAAATGCATGCGACCGAAATCATGGTTAACTGATCTGTTGCATCATTGTGTCTTTGAGAATGAATAACAATTTGCCACACACACTATTTGTTGTTTGTGCTCAGCTCATTCATACAATCAATCTTATAATACTAGAACTACATACTAGTCGATAGATACAAACATATGTATACAATTAATAATCGATAATAATTTCTACTTAGTTTCTAATCAACCATATTGGAGCAGATATGGCTGTTGGTGTTACCTTTTCCTTGGGGAGCATTGTATTCATAATAACCCAAACAACGTCGTATTCTAACCTCGCAAAACAAGTGAAAATAGAGAAACTCAGACCTAATAACCCTAGTACCCTAATCAAATCGATTATACAATTTGAAGATGTTAGGTTTTTTTGTGGTACCTCTTCATATTTCTTATCCGCTTCTTCGGCAATTAACTTAGCTTGTGCTAATTGGGCTTCCAAAACAGCTACTCTGTCATCTTCCATATTTGTACGATTTTCAAGGGCCTTTCGTATCCTAATATTTTTGAACAACAGATTTTTTTAAATGAATATACTATCTTTGAGAGAGAAAAGAAATCAAATATGCGAAAATAAACCCTTCACCACATATCTATCAAAATTTAAAATTGAATATTAAATTTTAAATAAAATAAACTTATAAAAATAATAAATTATACAAAAATAGTAGATAATAGGTAAAATATTAAACGTCCCAATACAGTTCGCATTGGAATTTGGAATACTAACCGTTCACTTTCATCAGCAGCTTGGGAAGCTTCAGAGAGCTTAGCTGTGGCAGAACCCAAACGTTCTTCGGAACGTTCCAAGTCTTCTTCGAGCAATTGAATGCGACGGTTCAAAGCGGCAACTTCAGATTCAGCCTGAAAATTAACGTTTCCAAGGGAAATTTGATATAAGATACACATACTAATAACATAATAATAATACAATAGAATACAATAGCGCATACAGCATAGTTGGATAAAATAAAACTCAAAGATATGCTCCAAAAATTCACTCTACACAATAGGTATGTAAAACTATCCTGGAAGCCCAATATAAAACTTGTTCACCCCCACCCTATTCTATGAATACAATGCTCTCTCCCTTCCTTCAATAATGGAGAGACCGGTCCTTGATGTATGCACGCGTGGCCCACCTTAATGTAATTTAGTTCCACCATAGGGCTGAAAATAGAAATTTGAACCAAAACTATGCTCTTTCAGATCACTAAAAGTATGCAAGCAAACGTACATTCCTAATTTGTCGATTGTCAATGTCCACCCAATAATAATAATAGGTGGGAATGACATCAACACTGCTGATTATTTCATTACTCAACTCTCTCTCTTTTTGTTGTGAATCACAGTTTTATCCTGGGTACGGTACTCAAATTACTAATTTGACTGATAGCATTTCTTCCCCACTGCCGATTGGTGGCAGTTTATTCACTTTTTCCGTTCTCTTGCTGTGGGGGCTTTTTGAGAGCTGGTGAGACATTACGTCATCGTTATAACTAGAATGTCTGTATGTTTTAGATAACTTCGTACATACATATGTACGTATAAAAACGAATTCATTTGAAAGCAGCCCAACAACCGAATATTGACAATAAAAAGGGAGTGAAGTGGTGTAGTTCGTCCGTCGTCGTCCATCGCTTCACACACTCAAATAACGTTGCCATGGGGCAAATTTTTTGGGACTTTAAAGTTGTGTCTTGAGCTGCCAGTCAGTCAACAGCCAAGCTCTCTGCTGCTGTTGGTGCCGCCGCCGCCACCACCCTAACACAACAATGAAATGCAAACAAATCAAGAACCGAATACTTTATTTGGTGTTTTATCCAGACATACGTACGTAACGTACGTTGATGATCGACGGACGACGACGTCATGTATATTTTCAATCTCGGACTTTTTGTTTTTGTTTCAGCATTTCAATATTTACGTCTACAATTCACTTTTGTCAATGATGAGACTTGTTCATTTGGGAACAACAATGCCACTCCATACTAAGTCTTTTATCATTCATTTAAAAAGGAACAACGACTGCAACAAAAGTTACTATTGAGGTATTCGAGTAGCTATCTCTAGCACTCGGCCACAATATTTGTTTCGTTTAAGACATATAGGTAGGTACTTCTGGAAACTTGGCAAAACTCAGTTGAAGAAGTCAAAGGAAAACGCAATCAAACGTTCAATGGACATGGCTCGTAAAAGCCAAGTTGAAATAATATTTTAATAAAAGACAATAGAAAAAACACCAACCATCGACATTGGCGCTCTCTCCCTCTCTCTCTCTCTCCCTGTTGCTCACGCTTTTCACATACCAAATATACACAGATGAATTCGTTGAATTCGTGCCTCAACTTTTGAGGGAGACAATAATAAACACTGCTGCTATAACATTGAAAATGGAAATTTCTGCCAAGATGATTTGCCGTGAAATTTGAGCTATCCATAAACAACAGTTAATCGGAAACGACGGCATAACAAAAAAGGAGGGGACAACACTCTCCATCGTCATCAATTAAAAGAGACTATCAACAGGCCAAATAAGGAAGAAATATACCGATGAATAAGATAATAGATAGAAAACATTTTGCTTCAATCATTCATGTCGCAATCCAATCGAATCGACGAAAACTGTTCCCCACTCATTCTAAAGAGGAATCACCCTGTTTCACAGGTATAATTTTAAGTTCTCAGAAAACATTATTGAAACACAACAACAAAAACAACAAGAAAATAACGTTGAAGAGTAATAAAACTATGTCATTTCCACTCTCTTGAGTCGTTTTCAACCACGGGCTTGTTTGATAATACAGCTATCCCTTTCTACCATTTGCCCTGAGATAAGCGGAATATTAGTTAACAAAAGGAGCCAGCCACTAACAACGAACGAACGAGCGAACGAATTTTATGTCTGAACAATGTTAGCATTTACATATTATTTTTTCTTGAATTTTTGGAGCATTCTCTATTTTATTAATATTTTTTGTTTTCCAAATATTTCTCTCGACTTACTTCTTCACGTCTAACCACTTCTAGTTGCAAACGCTTGTGGTATTCCTCACACTCATCTTTGTATTTTTCCATTTCTTCTTTGGTCTGACGCATTTTCTTCTTGAGCACATCCAATAAAGTGCCTTGTGGAATGCTGGTCGTCATTTTTGTTTTTTTCTTTCTTTTTCTTTAAGCTTAAAACTTTGTACAATTTACTTTTTTTTGTTTTAATTTATGAAAAGCACCTCAATTTTCCGATTTGTATTTTTTATTCTACTAAAGATTTACGTTAATTGTTGAAGGAAGATAGACTGAGACAACAAATGAGAATATATTTTCTTTTTTCAATGCAAACGATAGGTTGGTTAGTTAAAAACGACCACCGGTTTTTTATCTGTTTCTTCTTCTTCTACAACTTTTTCTTTTAAAGATTTGGCTGTGAATGTGTAACTTGTTAATATTTTAATAATTCCGCTGTTTTCAACGCTTCTCTTCGTTCGTATAACACTTTCTTGTTAAATATTAACAATATTCTTGTTTGAGAAATGAAAAATTCTGTATTTTAATGCTTTTATGCCCACAAAACACTATAACCACACAAAACGAAGCTTACGTCTCGACTTTTTTGCAGCGAATGAGCTCATATGAATTTTTTGAGTGGTGACAAACGATTACGTTGACAAAACCAATCAAATCGTCGGCTTTCGTGAAGAGGTATGAGAGCTGAGAGCCAAAGAGAGAGAGAGAGTTGAGAGAGTAAAAATATGAGTAGTATGGCTATCAGCACACAAAAAGCCTCGCCTAGATTTGTAGAAAAAAACTCAATGGGAGAAAACGGGATAGCTGTATTTCGTAAAACTCTATAAAACCTGTTAATACCGCATAAAAATAAGAATTTTTGTATTATTCGGCCGGAAAATAATCCAATTGAAAATAATCTCATCAGAAGGATACAAGTATGACGTCGTTTCCACTAACATTGGCCTCGATGAAAGCGGTAAGGATAGAACATTCTTATAAGAAAATTGTTTTCTTCCAGCCAAAGAAAGGGAGTGCGTTGAAAAAGAGAGTTCCCAAATAGTATACACTGTAAAAAACACAAAGAACTAACTTGTATGTATCTGCACATTAAGGTCTAACCAACGGTTGGAATTGACTTAAAATTCTGTATGCAAAATTAGTTTGAAATCTAGTTTACATTTAAAGCACCATATAAATAACATATGCCACCTTATTATTTACATATGTATGAAGCTTTACAAACAAATCCATCGATCATTAACCACGAATTTGCAAAGTTAATCATTTGGCTTTGCTTAAAATGATTATAATTCATAACGGCCATATTTGGATGTTTTTTCTATTTTCATGTTTTGAAAATCTACACATAAGCGGCGATTACACATGAGTGGCAATGAAAAGAAATTAAAAGTGAACTCCTCATATGTAGTGTTTTGGAACTAAAACTACTCGCAGATAGACAAATATGTACATACCTACATATATTCGTACGTTTTATGGTGTGCATGAATGAGTAAATTGCAACTAAATATGGGAAATATGGGTAAACGTCATTAGGAAGGTCGTTGACAATACTATTAATGTGGCGACATAGCGCACGTTTTTTCTTCTTTTTTAATAAGTGACTGGGCTGGCTCTATCACTGCCTGTCGAAATTCAGCCATAAAAAGTCATATCCATATTTGTTATTGAAAATGAAATGTTTAATTTATTGTATGAATCAAGAACGCTGCAAATTGTAAAATGCAATATAAAATTCCCAGTGCTTAGATAAAGTGTGAACATGAGTTATTAATTAAAGACAAAATCATTTGCCATCTGAAGAAATATTATTAACATTGCGTAATTCGGACAATTATATCACACACAAACGTAAACCGAATATAATTAAATACATGCACCTATTCTCAAAAAGAACAGGGAAAATAGAATCAACTGATGCAATTGGCTGGGAAGGCCGTTCAGAGATATGTGATGTATCGCCGATCTTACTGTTTGGCAGTTAAATAGCAACCAAAGGGTTTTCCGATGTTACTCTCTTCAATATTGAAGTGAAATGGCAAAAAGGTATTCATACAAACATAACATAAAGTGGGTCATTGTACAAATAATACAAATAATAGATGTGAAAAACGAGTTCAAAGACAAAGGCTAGCAGCCAGCTAGACACACATCCAAGACAAAACGAAGAACAGAAAATTAAATGGCCATGCTAAAAGTGAGAATGTTCAAAGAGAAATTGTCTTTATTTAGCGCACTAACACTACTTAAGCTGCTGGGCCCCGCTAAAAGAAACATTCGGTCGCTCGCTCGTTCGTTCGTTTTTTTCGATATTTCAGAGCAATGAAATTTGCTATACCGGCAAATTATCCATCCACACAACAAAAAATGTGTAGAAAAACTCAGAAAAATATTTGGTTATTTGCTTGTACTCTTTCTTCACACTGCATATAAGCAAGAAATTTGTATGAGGAGTAAACACAGAAGAAAATTCTTTTCAACGCTACGTAATCGCTAGCTAAATACACACAATGCGAGTATGTATATCGAAGATAAGTGTATGAGTGTTCAGCAGTAGAAATAGATGATGTTCACCGTATATTCCAATTAATTAGAACGTACATTTAGATTAATTTGACCGGCTTAGCCTTGATATTCACAAAAAGGGAACGAAAGGAGAAGTGGGAGAGTGATCGTCATTTTGCCGGTCCGAATACGGAATGCTTGCATACGTTTTTAGTTCAAATCTACAGCATAGTTCTCAAAACGAAATAATATAAATATTCCAAAGTAGTATTGTTGACTTGTCCAATGACACATCTGAGTCTATTTGTAACATCTTTATCAATGGAACAAATCGACCATCAATGTGGCGGGCGGATATTTATCCTCCTCATTGTACAATAACAATGCTGCCGAACAATGTTTTGCATTGATTAATTACCCGTTTCAATTGTGTATTCATGATGTTATGCAATTCATTGCGAATTATATTGAATTTCATCATGGTATCGGAGCTGAAAATGGAGCGGCCAAAGGCAAGACCAGGATAGTCGGCACAGCGATTTTTATTGCGTCTGGCTTCTCGTTCAGCCACAATTTCTGCCGCCTCGCTTGTACATCGAAGATTTGCCCATTCTGCGGACTGGACATCGTCGTCGTCAATCGCAATGCCCTCATCGGTAGCTGCCGATGCCAGATCACTGTTGGATGCCGCATTTGAAATGTCGATGTTGGAATCTAGGCAAGCTGAGGCACGTTTAGACTTATCTTTCTTAGATTTTTTGGACTTTTTCTCCTTATTAGTATCGCCAGACGACGTTTTGTCTGCTTTATCACGCTTTGACTTGGCCTTCTTTTCTCTGAGCGGTTGAATTGCGGAAGAAGAGCCTGAGGTAGATGTCTGAACCACACCTTCGTCTAACATGCTACTGTCATCAGTAGGCGTTGGACTGTTACTGCCCATTGATGTTGTGACTGAATCAGTCAACGGCAAATTAAGTGATGCTTTTATGCGCTGCGCCATTTCCGGATCATCTTCTGGGTCATCCGGATAGCTTACCAAGCTGTCATCGTACGATGGATCAATATCAAAGTTGGAGGACGAAGTGGCATGTTGTTGTTTGTCTTCTGCTTGTTCTGATGCACTATCATTATTCTTATAAAGAGCTGCTAATATTTCTTGGACGTTGGGCGGAACGACGGGTCTTCTGGTGCCCGAAAATCTGGGATGATGCTGATGACCCCTTCTCTTAAGCGAGCTAGGAGTCAGTGACGATGACGATGTGGACATGCTACTGTTACTGATTGTAGAACGCGCATCGTCCTCACTTGGCGTTGTAATGGTTGCTGTGGCTGACGAGGCGGAGGAGGAGGACATCATCATGTCACTCCAACTCCAATCACAATCGCTTAAGGCACCTTCCGAATTCTCCTCAGATGTATCTGTCTCCAGTAGGTATTCTCTGTTAATGGAATTGTACCAGGCCTTCAAAGCGGCATTCTCTTCTTCTTCATTACAATAATAAAGCAGTTTATCCAATAAATCCAATTGCTCTTCTATGGAACACCAACGCGACGATATTATGGAATCTTGATCGTTTGTACAATTCTTTAGTTTCTTCGGATTGGCATGGGTGTTTTTCAGTTTTGCTTTGTTACCACCTCCTTTGTGGTGATGGCTGCCAGCTGGATGGTTGTTGGAATTATTGTTGTTGTTGTTCTTTATTACTTTATTATTCGGACTGTTACCTTTGTTAATCTGTATTTCTTTTGGGTTTTTCTTTAATTTTATTTTTTTAATTTTTGTGGCTGCTGCGTCTGATGATGACAGCTGATTCCTATGGTGAGCGAGATGGCAATAAAAAATAAAAGAAGAAAAAGCATAAGAATGTCATCCGAAAGGGGGAGATATACGGACATTCACCGAAAAATGGGCAACGCGAATGATGGAATGTACGTGGAATTGAGATCTCACAAGTGTTGTTATCTTACCGTGAATGTTGCTGTTGTTTATCATAACCGCCACTGGTTAACAGATGGCGGTGAGCGCGTTTTATCTGCTGCTGTAACTTGGAACGTTTGCGATGGTGTTGCTGCTGCTGCTGTTGAGATAATTGCACAGCGTTTCGATCTTTAGTTACGTGGTGATGCGTATTCTCTTGTTGCTTGGGGCGAATTTTGTTTTGCAATGGGCTTTTCGCCGTTTCTGACACAGATGGTCTTCTCTTAATGTCTGTTTGGTTTCTCTTCAGATTGGTGGTCTTCGTTACATTTGCAATTGTCTTTGGTAAGTGTTTTGATTTTCCATACGATACTACTTGCCATTTATTGTTAGAATTTGATTCACTCAGTATTTTCTCCACCATATTAAATTAAGTTTGAACACGATCTGCGCAGATTTTTGGTTGTTCTCAATATAGCTAACTACTTTTGCATTAACGTTCAATAAAAATCAAAACATTTTATTCAAAAAAATTCCTCCGTCAAGTATTTGCTCTAGTTCTAGTTTTTATTAGGAATGCAAAACAGCAATGTCAAGTTGGCTTTTGGCAAATATTCAATGATATTTTTAAATCTGGTGATGATGATGCTGATGCTGCTGGTTATACGCCATTCACCGCACTCACCGAGCAGTAAGACACCGGCGTGTTGTTATAGTTTTATTGATTTGAACGACAGGGAAATTTTTCTAAGTGACGAAGAGAGGCAGTATCACATTCTAATTCTATTGGTGGTGGCGGCGTTATGATTTGGAAGTTTAAAAATAAACTACACGATCATAATTTCTTGCAACGCGTTTGTTTATAACGTTATGTATGAGTCAGAATAAAATGCGAATCAAATCAAATTTGAACCTTCGTCTGCTCTTCCAAACTACACAAACACAGACGCGCAATTTGTACTTCAAATTAAAAACGATGTTTTTTTTGGGAAAACGTACGCTTAATTCTACTTCAAGTATCCGCAATTGTGGTGGCAAAAGAAACGAAAACTTGTTATTTTATTTTTTCACAAAAATAAAAGCAAGTTTTGTTATTTATCTTCCAGAAGCGTTTTCTGTTAATTAAACATTAGCAGTAGGATACGCGATAAGGATTTTTCTTACGGCCGCGTACGTACAAAATATTCCCGATTTATTTCTTATAACATGTTGCGCACTCTTCACTTTCCTTTGGCTATGGCGTTTGGTTTTTTCTATTCATTCAATAGCGAATTGAAATTGGTGGTGGTGGGTGGGTGGTATGGTTGGTTGGACGGACGATATCGCCCTATTGCAACATAGCAGCGTTATGGTGTATGTTAATAGTAGTTGCTTTCCGGCTTTCAGCAAGAGGTTTCACAGTTCATCATTGTTATCATCATCAATGGTTGGTTGACTCGTAAATTACGTCAATACCCCAGTGAAATTCAATTTTGTTCATTCAAATATTATTGAGTGTAATAACTATTTATTTATTAAGGGATTTTTTTGGCTGGATTTGTTTTGTAGTTAGTAAGTAGTTGGAGACCGCTGCCAGTGGGTCGATAGTCCGGTATGTGCTGCGCTGCTATCTCGTGGTATGATGCGGTATATGATTTTCTATATTGCAGCCAACAATGTGCTCCCCCTAACAAAATCTAAACGTCTAAAGTCGTTGCCGTATTCTTGTACTAAGGCAAGAGTGTGTCTGCCGTTCACACACACTCACCCACACCCATACACACGGTCCGTATGTGATTTGAGAAAAGAGCGAAATTGAAAGAAGAGACCAGCAATTTCCCCCACAAGTACGCTCTAATTAACGATCTATGACCATTATACAACCCACACAATCCCCCCAAAGAACACCAACACAACCGTAGGAGAACGCTCTTGCTCGTTTTGTGCTCAAATACTCTCATTGTGTGTTTTTTGGGGTGTTGACCATCCATCATTACGATCATCATCGGCTCATCGGCATTGGTGGCAAGCAGCAAAAGTTTCAGGAAAAATGATTTTTTTGCATATGTATTTGTGTATACATATACGTGTGTGTACACACATAAATATATAATTATTACTCATGGCACGTAATATTTATTTCTGGAGTAAAACAATAGAGGCAATTTACTTGCGTACGACGGCATTTAGCATATGGTACCTATCTATCTATCTATCTATCTTGGAGATCACATAATGTTTATCCAAATATTTGCGCAAATACGCATACATGTGTGAAGGTGAGAGGACTGTGCATTCTTTAACATTTTTCACAAATAGCTTTCCCTCACCTGGCCTTCAAGGTATTTTTCTTTCGTGAGAATGTATTTGTAAAAAATGTTGAAGGCCAAATGGATAGTTTTCCAAGCAAAAATACAAAGCATAATTTTGTTGCTACATATTTGCTGCCGAATGACCTCCAATAGGGATGGAGTTTGTTTCCCTTCTTCTCTCGGTTATTTGATATTCAATTTGTTTCTTTAATCAAATAGATTTTTGTTTTTGTAAAGCTACAAATGCATATACATTATTTTGATTCTGGGCAACACACACACACACACATACATATAATCGGTGAGAGTAAAATTATAATTGTTCTCTGCTTTATAGAATTCCTAGTCAATTCTTCTACAAAAATTGTATATTGTACATGTGAGTTCATTTTCTTAAAAATAGCTTTATTTGAATTTCGACGCAGTTGGCAACACTGACATTTGGCAAAGATGCCGTATCAGTCAGTAATTGCATAATAAACAGATATAAAACGGAAATGAAAGTATTACCCTTGTATTGTGAGTGATTTCGTTTTCTATCAACTAACGCAACGATGCATATCTTTGAGTTTTATTCATATGTGTATAGATATTTATAAATAGCGATAAAGATACATAATATAAAATCTATAATAATTGATATATATAGGTACCGTTGATGATTGATCCATTTCCAGTTGATTGTTTAAAACTTTAATTCTCCACACAATCAACATTTTATTGTTTGTGCAAAAAGAGAAATATTTCTTAGATCACAACCATCAATCACCGTGTGTCCCTTGTCTGAAGTTCATGCACCACATTTTGGCGGGATTCACTCATATTTTAACAATCGAAAGGTGCATTTTACGCTACGTTTACATTGAAGTTATTAAAACTATGTATATATTCTGATAGGAAAAACACACACAATATAAAATGAATCTTAAATTGCATATCAAGTTAGACGATTTTACGTCAAATCGAAATTGATTTCAATAATCATTCATTGTAACTTGATTCAAAATGCATGAACTTCAAACTTGAATTGCATTGAAACATAAAACAAATGGACTTACGTTTTGCAAAGCTTTGTTCTTTTCTTCCAATTTGCCGGTGACCAAAGTCAAGGCTTCTTGTGTTTGATCCAATTCGTTTTCAACAGTCTGGATCTTCTTTTGCAATTGGCGAGCTTCTTCTTCGGCCTAATGTGGAAACAATAAATTAAACACAAAAACTCATTAGAATCTGTCGGAAGATTTTTTTAAGGAAGCAATGAAACACAAATAAGACTTTTTTTTTTCTTTTAATGGAAGTCATCTTACCTTTTCGGCACGGAGGTTAGCATCGCGGGCTTGTTGTTCGCAAGTAGCAGCACGTTCCAAGGCCGCATCCTTGTCGATTTTCATTCCTTGCATCTTCTTCTTGATGGCATCCATGGTTGATGGTTTTTGTGTTTACGTTTACTCGAGAAGAAACTGCATTTAAAGTAAGAAGAAGAAAACATTAGAAATTGTAATAAAAACACTTGTTTTTGCAAAAATACGGGTAGCTATGATTGAAACAAAAAGTGAAATGTTCTGCAACAATTTCAATAGTTATATGATCAACACGTTATGGATATTACAACACCAAACGGGTTTAAATAAAATACAATTTTTAAATTGTTTAATTGATTGTTTGCACATAGGCGAATTTGTTGATGTTTTTATCTAAAATAGAGAGTAATATTGCGACATTTTAACAGTGTAAGCCATGTTTACATTAAAACCGCCTAGACCGCTTGAATAGTTCTTGTAAACGTAGCCTTAAAGGTGAGGATACATAAGCAGCTTGGCATAATGGCTAGACATATAAATGTCAAATTATAAAGGGGCACGACGGCAGAATTCGAATGCGAAGACTTCAAGCTGTTTATGTACTTACACCTTAACTTTTTTGAAGAAATACAAAACGTGTCTCGAACAACATATAATGATTTAATGTATTTGGCTTTTACTTCTTCTTCTTTTACTTGCTTCCCATCCTATTTTGTTGCTAAATGTCAAAACCTTCCGAAACGACTGGCTTACATATTCTGAATTTTCCCGCAGTTTGGATGGGCTAGACGTCAGATTAGACAATAAAGAAGCTATTATCATATAAAAGTAAAGGTGGGACTACATAAAGCGCTTATGTCGCTGGCTTAAGTTATCGGCTGTCTTCTTCGGAAATGAACAAAGGAGCCTAGGGCCAAAATCGAACTAAGTCAATCTAAAACTCCTTTTATCATCTACGAAGAAGCCAACCGATGACTTTAGCCAGCCAAATATGCCCTTCATGTATTTCCACCCTAATACTTGTCAATTTTTTGGCTTTCCTCAAAAGAAATTTCTCCAAGTGCATAACTTAAAAATGTGTTGTAATGAATTAACAGAATAAGAAGACGAAGAAAAAAACAAGAAACATATGGATTATCGATGTTATTTGTAAAAAACGTTGGTTTTGCTGGTTTCGTGGTGATTGAGACAAATAAAAAAATACAAAACATGAGACAAAAATGTGAATCAAGTCAATGGCATTTTTATTTTTTTTTTTTTTTGCATTTTGTGACTTCTTTTTGTTGTTGCTTTTGTAAATAATTTATTTGATTTCATGACAATCAGTTGTGTGAACAAGAAAGTGTTGATTCGACTTTTTCACATTTCAAGGGCTTTAACATGAACACCACAGAGTTATTACTCACTTCTATAGAAAATATAATCGCTGCGTCCCCCTACAAACCATTGGAACAAGGAGAGAAAAAAAGAAGAAAGAATAAATATGCTTTCTGTTTTCACAAACTCTGTTTAATTCAATGGAATAAATGATTCAAATGGAGTCGTGGGCTGGGGGTGAGGAAGTTGATCATTAAATGACACAAATACGTCAACACCTCACATTGGGAAACAACAAATAAAGGTACACAAAATTCTTGCGTTTTTTTTTTTTTTTTTTTTGGTGATGCGAGTTCGGGAGCCGTATTTCAATCATTACAGATTCCAATCACACACACACTCAATAGCTATTGGTGAAATGTGGGCATTTCGAAATTTGTATTTATAGGTCGCTGTGTTTTGATGGCCTGCAAATTTTATTTGCCGCTGAATGTGAGTGTGCCGAGAACGATTTTTACCCCAAAAATAAATTACAATTGGACTAGAATCTGACAACTAAAGATGTTCAAAGTCGAAATTGAATCTCTATTTTCGAAAAATAGAATATACGGGGACCTCTAACATGTAGATAATTGATGATAACTAATAGCGCATTTACATACAATAGCTCCTATAATTTGTTCACTGCATTTCCATGGTATTTCAGGTATAGCCGAAACAGTTAAAATCGCTGTGAGAACTCAAAATGTACGGAATATATGTACATATCAAATAAATTAAAAGTAGAGCTAAAAAAATAAAAGAGCAAAGCTCCACAATTTGTTTTGTTTTTACCATGTTACAGTAAAAAGGTAAGGTAGAGCTACCAGCTGATTACAATTTTTTTCTGAGTCTGAGACTTCTACCAATTTTGTGTATGTGTTTATTGTTTTGAAAAATAAAAACAAAATATTTTCGAAATCAATGATTGAAAAAAACGTAGATTGTTAGTCGCGCTTTGAAGATATTAACCTGTTTAGCCATGGAATTGAAAGGTTGGACATTCTGGAACATATTTTTGAAATAAAATCCAGGCACTTCATTCATCTTCCGCTTTATTTAAATCATTTTAAAAATGAGGAAAAGTTTGAAATAGATTAAAACAACTTGTTACATATAATTTTGAATAATTTTGACATAGCCTCTGAGCTGTATTTCTGTAGTTTTACGAAGCCGTTCTACCTCCTTATTGTACCAAGGTTTTACCAAATATTTAAATTTTTAAAATTTATAATCGGCAATTACGAACAAAGTAGATTTTTTCGCTTATATTCAGAAGCTTTAAACCAGGTGGGTAAAGTTCTTAATAAAGATAATACACCAATGATTGAAGCTGCTAGTAAATTTACAGATTGATAATATTGAGTTAAAAATTGCAAAGACGTGAATATCTTAACTTACAAGTTACCTTCAACTTGAAGTGCAAATTTAAAAGCTAGGAGTCTTTGAAAAGCAACCCCACTAATAACAATGACAATTCGAACTAACGGTTAATATAGTTTTGACGTTTTTGATTTTGTTTCTTTGGTCTAAAGCCAATGTATGAAATGCGTTCCAGTTTCGATTCATTATGATCCACATATTCATGTGTATATGGACCAGTTTAATGTGTGTGTGTGTGTGTGGATAAAGAACTTTGGAAAAATATATGTGCATATATTTTTAGAAATTTTATTTGAAAATATTTCGTTATCATATCCAAATGAAACATATACCCACGCACACACAGACATACACACACACACACA